ATGCTTGTGGGTTCATGGGAGCTCTATGCAGATGATTGCCCTCTGTTCCCTGAATACCACCCTCTCCCCTGACCTCTCTGCTGGGCTCAACTCTGTGTTTCCTTTGCCTACCAGATGTTTCCATGTGGGTGTCCTGTCATCATCTCAAGCTAAACATGTACAAAATTGAGCCCGTTTCCCACTTCCCAGTTTCCATTTTCTGCTCATGGCATCTGCATTCTCTCACTCACCCAAGCTCAAAACCTGAGTCATATTTGACACCTTTTCTCCATCCTTCCCTTCCCAAATGTAAGTTTTGCCAACTTCCTTGCAACATCTCTTGTAGTTCTTTGTCCTTTCTAGTCTGTCTGCTAATCCAGGGTCTCAGCACACATGTCTTGAATATTTAATAGCTTTCTACTTGGTCTTGCCTGTAGTTTCTTCCCCCTGTTTCATACCTGGCCAGACAGATTTTCCAGGATAATTACTTTTATCCTGTTTCTCTCCTATTCAGAAACCTTCAGGTACTCTCATCACCACAGATGAAGTCCAAACTCCTTAGCCTCAGGCTCAAGAGCCTTTTTTTTGGCCCCAGCCTGTCTCACTGTCATTATTCCACATGATTAAGAGTGTAGGCTCTGGAGCCTGTCTCTGGGATCAAACATCCCTGACAAATGCTGTGTGACCCTGGGCAACTACTTAACCTCTCTGTGCCAGAGTTTTCTTCTTAAAATCCTTTTATAAAAAGTTTTATCATGCTTCTAAGGTTTCTGTGGGGATAAAATGCACTTATACTAGCAAGCCCTCAAACTCTAGTTTTTTTTGTTTTTGTTTTTGTTTTTTTGAGACAGAGTCTCGCTTGTTGCCCAGGCTAGAGTGAGTGCCGTGGCGTCAGCCTAGCTCACAGCAACCTCAAACTCCTGGGCTCAAGCAATCCTGCTGCCTCAGCCTCCCGAGTAGCTGGGACTACAGGCATGCGCCACCATGCCCGGCTAATTTTATATATATATTAGTTGGCCAATTAATTTCTTTCTATTTATAGTAGAGACGGGGTCTCGCTCTTGCTCAGGCTGGTTTTGAACTCCTGACCTCGAGCAATCCGCCCGCCTCAGCCTCCCAGAGTGCTAGGATTACAGGCGTGAGCCACCGCGCCTGGCTTCTAGTTTTTTATTGTACTGGTTTTCACAGAGGTGTGCACAGTGCACACCTAGCCCCATTACACACATGTCGGTCCTCTCCTTATTGCCTGTGCTCAGCCCATTCATTCAGTCAAGAATGCTGTCCTCTGCCTGCTAACTCTTACTTTTCAAGGGCTGGTTACCTCTCATTTCCTTCTATAGATGCTTATTCAGTATTTCTGAAGCACTGCTCAAACTGAGCGAGGTGGTAGTAGGTATGTCAGGAGTATATGAAGCCAGCCACACAGGGCACATCTTCCTGGAGGGTTCATTTTACTTGATAAATAATTTCATCTATTTTTATGTTAAAGCAACTACTCCAGACATATCAGGGAAGTAGAATGCAAAATTGGCAGAATAAACTACAAATAATATTCAGAGTGGAGCTGTCTAGGACCATCCTCCAGCCCCAAAGAGGAATCCATTCATCCTGCAGTAGAAAGGTCTGAGAAGCAGGGACATCTGAGTACAAGGGGCTAGGTGCAGATGAGGTAAGGCAGGGGTAATACCAGTGCAGCAGGAGGTGACAGTCCCTGTGTTCAAGGCCCCTGGAGAAGGGTCCCTGTAACCTGTGGTACTCTCTCCTTCCTGAGAACTCAGATAACTCAATGTCTATACCACTCCTAAGTTGTCTCAGGGTAGCACTTGTATTACACAGTTTTTTAACTTTCGACATATGTAGTCTTCATCTCTTCAACAGCCCTTATCCTGCAACATCTGGAGTGCAGGTGTGGAGTGATTGAGTGGGAAAACAGACCTAGCTATGAATTCAGGCCCTGGTGCTTACTGATTGAGCAAGGCACTTTTCCTCTCGGCCTTGGTTTCCTTATCTGTAAAACATGGGTAATACTTACCTAATGAGATTGTTCTGAGGATTCAACTAGATAACATGTGTGCAGTGTTTAGCACAACAGATGGCACGGATGTGTGGCACAGAGAGGCACTTAGTAAACATCAGCTCCCTCCCAGCAGTGCTGGGCTCTCAGTAAACATATGATTCTCAAATGTTCCCATCCCCAAATGTATCCCCCTACCTGCATCTACTCCCATATCCTCCCCCTCTCTGCCTGTCACAGTGGGTGCTCCTCCTGAAGGCCACCTCCTCCTGTGTGCTGGTTCCCAACCCTCCTTGCCTTCACAAAGATCTCACTCATGCAACGGCCTCCTCTTCTACAGCATCAGTTTCCCTCCCTATCAGATCTCTCTCTTCACTGAGCAATTATGCTCAAGTATCACTCTATCTAAAACAAAAGACAAAACAACAAATAAAAAAACCCTTCCTGATCCCTCATCCCTTCTAGCTACCACTCCATTTCTCTGCTCCCTTACAGTAAAAATCCCTGAAAGAACTGGCACACTCCCTGTCTCCCCTTCGACTGCCTCTCCAGGCAGGCTCTTACCTCCTTCACTCCACAGAACTGCTCGTGTCAAGGCCTCAATGTCCTCCGCATTGCCAAATCCAGTGGGCAGTTCTCAGGCCTCTCTGGAGCATCTGAGACCTTGAGACTCCTCTGCCCAGCCTCCCAAACCCTCCACTCTCCTGACTTCTCTCCAGTCTCACCAGCCACTCCTCTGTCTCCTTTGCTGTGTGCCCCCTTCCCCTGGCCTCTAAATGTAGGAGGCTCCAGGGCTGTCCTCAGACCACTTCTCGTCTCTCTCTACACTCACTCAGGTAATCTCATCTACTCTCATGGCTTTCAGTGCCATCTAGAAGATTCCCAAATATATATCTCAAGTCTAGACTTCCCCAGAATCCCAGACTTCCATGCCCACTGTCCACACCCCATGCCCAGTTGGATGTGTCACAGACACTTCAACATGTTTAAAACAGAACCCCCTTTTTTTTTTCTTCGAGACAGTCTCACTCTGTTGCCTGGGCTAGGGTATCATGGCATCAGCCTAGCTCACAGCAACTTCAAACTCCTGGGCTCAAGCGATCCTCCTGCCTCAGCCTCCTGGGTAGCTGGGACTATAGGCACGCGCAACTGTGCCAGGCTAATTTTTTCCATTTTTTAGTTGTTTGACTAATTTCTTTCTATTTATAGTAGAGACGGGGTCTCGCTCTTGCTCAGGCTGGTCTCGAACTCCTGAGCTCAAGCAATCCTCCCACCTCAGCCTCCCAGAGTGCTAGAATTACAGGCGTGAGCCACTGCACCTGGCCTAAAACAGAACTCTTGATTCCCCAGCCCAGCCTTCCTACAGTCTTTCCCATCTTAGTAATGGGAACTCTGACCTGGCAGTCACTCAAGCCACAACCTTAGGAGTTATCCTTAGCTCCTCTCTCTTAAATCCCACAGTCAACTGATCAGTAGCAAGTCCTGTCAGTCAGTTCTTCCCTCAAAATACAGAGCATCTGGCCACTTCTTACCAGCTCCATCACCCCACCCTGGTCCCTATCTCCATCACTTCTCACAAGGCCAACTCCAATAGCTTCCCGAGTGGTTTTGCTACCTCTTGTCTTCCTCCAGCTCCACAATCTGTTCTCCACCAACAGCCAAATGAATATTTTCAAAACATAAGTTTGATTATGTCATGTATTGGCGTAAAGCCTTCCAGTATCTTCCCCTCTCACTGAGAATAAAACCTAGATTTCTTATCATGGCCTGCAAGGCCCTATGGGACCTGCCTGCTACCTAACTGGCCTCATTTCCCCCTGTCCTCCCCCTCTCTTCCTTGACCAGCCACACTGGCCTCCATGCTGTTCCTTGAAGAGCCTGGAAACACTGCTGTCTTGGAGAGCTGCTACTTATTGTTCCTTCTGCCTGGAACACTCACATGGGTGCAAGCCTTGCTCTCTTACTCCCTTCAGATCTCTGCTCAAATGCCACCTTAGCAGAGGGCCTTCCCTGACCCCTTTAGACTCTAACACTAATTTTGCTTACCATTGACCACCACCTGACATAATATACATGCTTGTTTTTGTCCATCTCTTGACTGTTGATAACACCCCAAGAGGACCTTTTGTACCTGACACATACTAGGTGTAGGGGGCATGGTATAGACTGGAAGAGCTCCTAGTCTCTGCACTACCACTTACCTGCTGTGTGCTTTTGGGCAACCTTAACCTTTCTTAGCTTCATTTTCCCTCTCTGTAAAACCTACCTAGAAGGTTTTTTAGGAGGATTAGAGATAATACACTTAAAGCACCTCAGATACGGTCAGTGCTCAGTAAGATTGGGGCCTACAAAGTCCACAGAGCTGCTGTCTAGGCCTGTTTCCAAGGAGTTAGTCCTGCTGTGTCTGTCTGCCCTTGGGGTGGAGGGCTGATGTCACAAATGAAGGCAACACTATATAAGGGGTTACTGATTCCATTCTCCAAGTCATACCCTGACCCAGGGTCCCCTAAGCATTGTTTCTGGCTCCAGCCAGTTCCCTACCAAAGCCCCTCAGATTATGGCTATGTCCGAGCAGGTCCTGCAAATTGAGAACCATCCCAGGCCTGCTTTGGGACCAGGTAGCCCCCATTATAGGAAGCAGAGGTGCTTGCTGGGAATGCATGAGCCATAGGCTCCAGGGGCCCTTCTCTGGCTAAGCACCCATGTCTGTGAGGTGAGCAGCAGTAAGCAGGCAGGTGGCAGGCAGGTGGCAGGCTGCTGCTCAGCAACAGGTCAGTGAAGGTTAGTAAAGAGCGATTCCCTTGTTGACCACGAGGGGGCACCAGAAGTCGCTCAGCTCCTAAGAGGACTCTGGGTCTGTGTCTTAGGGGATCTGCCTTTCCTCCCTCTCAGGCCTGGGGCTTCCTTGTAGGAAAAGAGGAGTTGTGGTGCTGGCTCTCTCCCACCTACTAACTTGCTGGGAACTGCCAGCCAAAGCAGGACCACAGTAAGGAAGTGGAGGTCAGGATTCCAGGCTCAATATTCTTTATTGATAAGCTTTAGTGAAACCCCTGCCCTGTGAGCTCAGCCAGTCCTGTCCTGGATCCCCAGCTGTAGGTGGATGCATCTTTGCCTCTTAAATCATCTGCCTACTCAATCTATGCCTAATTTGCCACACCATAGGTCAGGGAGGCAAGTGGCAGGCATCAGAAGGGTCATGGCCAGGTCCTTGTCCCCTGAGACCATTCTTCATCCAGGAGGTGCTCAGCTTCACCTGTGTCGGCTCTCAGAGGGGCTACAGGAGCCTGTTGGTCAGATGGAGAAGCTTAGCCACAGAGACCTCCAGATTCAGCTGCCAAAGGCTTCTCCACAGCAGAGCTGAGCTGAGCGGCAATAGCTGGCTCTCACTTCTGTCCTGAGGTCCTCAGGTGGCTAGCAGCAGTGCCAAGGGCAGGAGGTCCTAGGTGGTACCTCACAGGGGATAGAGATGCCAGAGGCTGTGGAAGATGGGATGGGAGGTGGGGATACCCCACAGAGAGACAAGGAGAGGAAGAGGGAGAGAGAGTCAGTTGAATCTCTTGATCTGATCCCACCAGCCCCAGTCCTTAGCCATACCTGTAGTCCTTGGCAAACCCCTCAGTCCTAAATAGATAGTCCCTGGGTGCTGAGTGCACCTTCCCCTACCATGAGCTCACAGAGATGAGAATTATTAAAGCAGCCTGTCCTCCTGAGCCAGGCACCTTGCAGAACCTTCTTCTCTACTCACCAAGGACCCCCAAGTCTGCATCTATTTCTCCCTCAGGTCAGGGCAACCCTGCCCAGGTCAGAAGGGCAGTGATGCCTGGAGAAGGCCCTGGCTCCCCTGAAAGCCCTTCTGGCCTGTCTCTGACCTGCACTGGAAGCGGGGGTCTCCAGGGTGGGTCTTCAGCACCTGATGCACCTCTGGAGGAGGCTCCAAGCCCATCTGCTCTGCCCGATGCCAGCGTTGCAGCCGTGTGATCCCTGCAAGAGTGGGAAGAAGACTCTGGGGCCTCATGGAGGAGGGGGAAGAGGCCAGGCTAGAAAATGTATGTGTGGGGGGAGGGGTGATATTGGAGCCTCCACGCCCCCCAGTCACAGGAGACAGTGCCTGAGAGTCAGGCAGGTGTTTGGGTGTCGCTTCAGAGACGTGTGGGTGACAGGACTGGTTCAGAGATGTGCTCTATGGAACCTGAGTGGGGTTCTCACCTGTGCAGGGCCCATATTGCCAGGCCAGGTCAAACTGCCTCAACAGCTCCAGCTCTGCTTCATCCTTGTTGGGGGACTGGGGCTCGTCTCCTGCAATGACACGCTGCTCCTCAAGCCTGCCCAGGACTTTGCCCTGCGAGACTGGTCTCAGCCCTCTGGCCCTCGCCTCACAGCTGTGCCACTGTTCCCCAGACCTCCTCACACCCCTTGCCTCTGCCCTCCAGCGGCCGTGTGTTGAGAGTAGAGGACATACTACGCTTCCCTACACCCTCGGCCTCTCAGCTCCCCCGTGTCCACTCCTCCTGCCTCCCCCACACCTCAGAGACCTAGCTCGGGTGCCAGCTCCCCTTTGCAGTGCCCAGCGGGCCCCTCCCTCCTCTTCACGACTTGGTAGGCGTCAGTGATGAGCCGCTTCCGGCCCATGGCGGCCACCCAGGCAGGCAGAGAAGGAGGCGACTGCGGGGAAGAGAGGCACCAGCAGGCGCGAGAGAGACAGCTGCTGAGAGAGTCAGAGAGAGAGAGATGGGGCCAGCGACGACGGGCAGACGAGATGACCCAGACAAGCAAAGAGAGGAAGTCGCCGGGTTCCAGGGAATGACGCCTCTCTCCCACCCCCACAAACACGCAAACATGAAAGACTTAAGCCAATGGCAGGCTGCCTCTGTTGGGCGGGGCCCTGGCTCTAGCCAATGGCAGGCAACACAGGGTGAGGGGGCGGGGCAGCTGCTGCAGCTGTGTTCTAGGGGAGGCGGGGTCAGACTGGGGTGGGGGACCTGTCACGGTGCCCCCAACTTCACTACCTCTTCCTGCCCCCCATTGGTCTGCAATGGGTCCCGAGGGACTTGCAGAGCGTTATCCTCAGCCTCTCACTTCCCGTTTTCCCTTCCTAGGCAAATGTTCTTTTCAGCTTCGCTAATCCCCGTGGCCAGTTTATAACTCCCCAGAGCCCAGCTGGAGCCTTCACTCGGCCCCTTGGCCCAGCCAGTGTTGTGGGGGCAGGTCTGGAGGTTTAAAGAGAGTTTGGGCGAATCCAGCCCCCTTCCCTGCTCCCACCCCACCCCCACTGGCCCCAGGAGACCGGGCTGGAGAAGCCCTTGGGTTCTGAAAGTGCCTTTCTCACAGTCTGTGCCCAAAGACACTGTCCACTCTTAGTCTAGGTAAGCGTTTGCCTTTTTGACTCTCCTGGGGTCCTGTATCCTGCTCCTGTCCACCCTACTAGTCAGGAAGATTCCATTCTGAGCAGGCCAGAGCAGGGGTCTTAGTTCCCCCTTGCAATGTGTTTGTATCCCCAGTTCTTCATTGGCAAAATCTTCCCCATCTCTCATAATGTGAGTATGAGCAGAAAATACTAACAACAAACCTAACACTCATATTGCACTCACCATGTGCCAAGTACTGTTCTAAACACTTTCCTGCATATTACTCAATTAAAATAGATGTAATAGGGTTTTTGAAAGTAGGAAGTGTAGATAAATTATCATCACTGCTGAGGGTCAAAGGCATGGTGGGGCCCCACATCCCTCCTTGCTCCCCAGGCTTACGGGGCAGGTGCGTGCACATTGTCAGTGAGAGGCTGGAATTCCTAACAAACAGAAGAGGGAAGGGTGGGTCTGAGATTGATGAGGACCACAGGGGTGATTAGCATTGGAAGCCCTCCTGGAGGAGGTGGGCTGCTGTAAACAGTGTCTCTCAGTTCTCCACCCATGACCTTTGTCCCTTGGGCTCCTGTCATCGCTGACTCACCCCTACTGCCGCCTCCCCCTCACCAACTTCCTGGCAGCAGGCAAAAGTTCTGGCCAGTGGGAGTCTGGGAACCAGCACAGGAAGCAGCCCAGCTCTAATCACCCTCTAGAGATCCCATCCGGTTCTTCCTTCCAGGGGTACCAGGAGGGTGGGGCAGAGACGCCAGGGCTCAGCCTCTGCCTGCCTCCTTCCCCACTGCTCTGGGATCTGGTGCTTTGCATTAGGAAGAGGGCTGGACGCCTGGTACACATGGAGCAAGGGAGGAGAACTGCTCTGGAGAGTAGATCACCAAAGGGGAGAAGTAAGCCATGTCTTCAGGGGCCACCTCCTGCCTGGCTGTCCAGTCAGCTTCCATGAGGAGGGGCTGAGTGGGAGACGGAGCTCATGGGGCACTGCATAGAGCTGGAGGGCCCTTCCCTGTTGGGCTGGACTGTTCTAGTGCCCCCATCTGCCTTGTGGGCTAAGTGGGGCCCACATTCAGGGAGACAGGGGCCCTGCTGAGTTGGACACAGAAACAGACAGGCCCTCTCCACCAGGGCTGGGAAGGGCTTAGGTGTTGAATCCAGTTAGGCACCAAGCTCTCTGTGGAGGGATGGTGCCCAGGCTCTGTGGGATTAACTACCCCCTCCCCAGAGGGTCTCCACAAGAGACTCCTGGGCTGTTCCCAGATGTATGTGGCACCTACCCCCTGAGTCCACAAATCCCGGAGGGAGTAGGGAGCCATGGGTGGGGCAGACCCCTCCTCATTCCTGGGCCCTCCCACCCCTGAAAGCTGATAGCCGTGAGGCCCTGCCACCGCCCAGGGAGCGTGAAATGGGGTGTGCCGCTGAGCGGCCACAGCAGCTCCTACTGCTGCCTGGGCCTATTCCCTGCTCTCCTTTGGTAACCTCCGGAACCCTGACCTGCTCTGTGGATGGCTGTCTGAGCCATCCCTGCCAGCCTCCCCCAGCTCTGCCTGGCTCAAGCCCTCGTCTATGCAGCCTGGAAGATGTCTCCCTTGGGCTTCAGCTCACACCTGGCCCAAGGAAAAGAATCAGAGGGGTCAGCTCAAGTGTAGGCACCCTAGGCCTGGCTTTCTGGCTTGGAGTTGAGGGTACTCACCACAGGCAGCATTGCCTCCTCTCTTGGTCAGATAGCAGAGGGATTGAGCCCTAAGGGAGCAGTTGGCACTCAGGGATTTGGAACCATTCCTGTCCAACTGGCATCCTTCCCTGACTCAGCATCTGGATCCCTAAGGTGTGCTGGCATCTAAGCTGGACCTTGGCCTGCCCATGGGTCTTTTCCTTCTTTGCTCTCCAACCCCATCTATCTCCTATCACCTTCTTGTCTAGAACTCCTTCCCTTACTCAGGCAGCCTCTTGGGCCCATCCCCTAAACTGCTGTCACAGTTCAGGCTTCAGGATGGAGGGCAGGCCAGACCAGAGGTCTGAGTTGGTGGCTAAGTTCTCTCTCCTTGGGGGAATGTCCTGAGACCCAGCCATAGGTTCCTTATGTCAGCCTTGATACCCAGAGGCTGGTGATGTGACTTGTAGGAGCGACCTTTGCACTCAAGGCCCTCGCTTTAGGGGCAAGGCCAATGTCCTGGGGAGCCCAGGAGAGAAAAGAACTAGAACTAGCTGAGGACCACTGCTCACTGCTCCAAGGGGAAGGGGGACTAGGCCTGGCTTAGCTCAGACAATGTGGCAGGACAGGGGGCCTCAGCACTGCTCAAGCACCCTGAGAGCCTCCTCCCTCCCCCAGCTCACAACAGGCCTTGTGGGGAGAGCCAGGTAGAGCTGGGAAGGTGGAGGCAGGTGGCGGGAAGGGAGCAGCTGCCTGGGACCCAGTGGGCTATGGGGCATCTCCACTTCCCCATCCCTCTCCCCAGCAGCCCCCTTCCTCATGCCCCACCACCCACTCTGCAGAGATCCTGGACAGCCAGACTAACAGCCCCTGGCCCCCAACACACTCACACCCACTGGGCCCCATTCCTCACCCTGGGGCCAGTATTCTTTTAGGCAGCCACTCCTAGTGCCTCACTGCCCTCCTAGTATCCTTCCTCTCCCTGTCCAGGTTCTCCCACCTAGTGGGCTTAAGGAATGGGAGCCTGGGGGCGGATAAGGGGGAAGAAAACAGTCTCTGGGTTTTTCTGCCATTGCTGTCTCTTCTTCCCTGCCCTCACCACCTCCACACCTCTGGTCTACACCTCCCCTTTCACCTTGGCCATCCTGGCTCTGGACAAGTTATGGGGAGATTTGAAAGGGGCCCTTTTGGCCATTCCTCACCTTGGCCACCAGGTGTCAGACTTTGTCCAGCTGGGAGGACGGTCCTAGTTAACCATTTCCACCCCATCAGCCAAGCCTTGGACATGAGAGCAATTTGGGAGGAGCCTAGAGGTGACCTCTGACCCAGCAGGGCTGAGAGACCCTGAAGGCTGAGACTGGGGGAAAAGGGACTGGAACTTTGGCTCTAAAGCTTTATCACTGCCCCCACCCCCACCCCACTGACAAGGGCTTTGTCCCCTGCTGGGAAATTCAGGAACCAGGCTGAGTCAGGAAGCTCAAGAATTGAGGGAACAAAGGCAGGGACAGTTGTAGCTCCAGAGAAGAAGGGGGAGCTGAGGGAGTCCCCTGTCAGAGCCAGAGTGTCAGAGCACTCAGCCAGGCCTGAATCACTAGCCCTTGCCCTCTAGGTTAAGGGGAACAGAGGGCTTCCCTTTGCTAGTCCCCATTTGGGGCGGCTCTGGCTGTGATGTGTGTATGTGGGGTGAGTGCTCAAATGGGTCTCTTTACATGCTGAGGAGACCCCTATGTCCTGGGTCAGTCTTTGCAGAAGGGGGAAGCTGGCAAGGTCTGACTATTTTACCCCTGCCATCAAAGCCTCCTCTATACCCACCCCTACCCTCTCAGAAGTTGCCGCCTGCCTCAGTCGACAGTTTCTCACTTTGTGCTCATTCTCCCAGACACAAGCACCCAAGATGGCATGAGCTTTCTAATTCACACATGCTCTCTGGAGCTGACAGGGAGGAGGGCCTTCTCTCCTTCCCTCTCACCTACTCTCCATAGCCTTGTGAGGACATAAGGACTTCTAGAGATAATGTGCCCCCACCCCCTTGACACTGCAGGGCCTAAATTCTTATGTTGCCTCTGCATCCCTGAGCCTCTGACTCTACAGCCACACTTGAGAGGTGGAAGCTAGATAACCAGCAACATGCATCTTTGCCTGAAGCAGCTGTGGATAGAGAGCCAGTGTCAAACTCACTCACAGAAAATACTGATGATCTGTCATTCACCAGGAGTTCCCTGTCCCACAGTGCTGGCATTTTTACAGGAGGCCCTGTGGCACACAGTGCCAAAACCCGAAGGAGGGTTTCACACTCCTGTCACCATCATTAGGAGCTATTTGAGAGAGGGTTCAAGAACTCAAATTCTGGGCCAGGCATGGATTACATGCCTGTAATCCTAGCACTCTGGGACGCTGAGGCGGGAGGATTGCTGTAGGTCAGGAGTTCGAGACAAGCCTGAGCAAGAATGAGACCCCCGTCTCTACTAAAAAACAGAAAGAAATTATCTGGACAACTAAAAGTTTATAGAAAAAAATTAGCTGGGCATGGTGGCACATGACTGTAGTCCCAGCTACTCGGGAGGCTGAGGCAGAAGGATTGCTTGAGCCCAGGAATTTGAGGTTGCTGTGAGCTAGACTGATGCCACAGCACTCTTCCCAGGGCCACAGAGTGAGACTCTGTCTCAAAAAACAAAACAACAACAAAAACCCCCTCAAATTCTGAAATTCCCTCTCTGACCATGCTGTCATCTGTTTCTACCCCTCCAATTCCCCCACAGGAACTTTCTGCATCCTCAGAGTGAGTGAACTCTAGCGGTCCCCATTTGGGGTGCTTCTCCAGGTCCATTTCCCAACTCTGACCATCCTGCCCACGCTGCGTGGCTCAGTGCTCTCAGCCACTCAACAATAGTTTCTAGCAGCCTAGACTCCCTTCCCTGCCTTGCCAGTCCTCAGCCTTGGAAAATGCCCTCTCTTCACTCTGTTCCCACCTCTGGCCATCTCTGGCATGCTAAGGAATTTCACAATCCATGCTGAATGGGCCCACAACAAAGGTGTGTCTGCGGATATCACCTAATTCCATAGGCTCTCCCTTTTTTTGTTGTTTTGTTTTTGCAGATCCACCCCCCTCAGCCCCCACAGCAACCCTTCTGATTTTCCTCTGGTTGTCTCCTTATTCCATTCTCCAAACTTCTCCATTTTTCCCCAACCACCACCTCCTCCCTCAGCAATAACATGTTTAGATCTCTTCTATTTAGAAACAACAGGCTGGACAAGGTGGCTCATGCCTGTAATCCCAGTACTTTGCGAGGCTGAGGCAGGAGGATCCCTTGAGCAAGAGTGAAACCTCATCTCTACAAAAAATAAAAAAGTTAGCTGGGCATGGTGGTACACGCCTGTAGTCCCAGCTACTCAGGAGACTGAGGTAGGAGGATCGCTTGAATCCAGGAGTCTGAGGCTGCAGGGAGCTATGATGATGCCACTGTACTCCAACCTAGGCAACAGAGTGAAACCATGTCTCAAAAAAAATAAAAATGGCCGGGCGTGGTGGCTCACGCCTGTAATCCTAGCACTCTGGGAGGCCGAGGCGGGTGGATTGCTCGAGGTCAGGAGTTCAAAACCAGCCTGAGCAAGAGCGAGACCCCGTCTCTACTATAAATAGAAAAAAATTAATTGGCCAACTAATATATATAGAAAAAATTAGCCGGGCATGGTGGCGCATGCCTGTAGTCCCAGCTACTCAGGAGGCTGAAGCAGGAGGATTGCTTGAGCCCAGGAGTTTGAGGTTGCTGTGAGCTAGGCTGACGCCATGGCACTCACTCCAGCCTGGGCAACAAAGCGAGACTCTGTCTCAAAAAAAAATAAAAAATAAAAAATAAATAAAAATAAAAAAAACAACAATAAAAAACCTTCCTTGATCCTGGTAACCCCTCTGAATAGTTCCTTTACTAGCAACTCTGAGGGACTTTATTTACCCTTCTTACTTTCTTCCTACCACATTCTTTAATCTCACAATTTGGTATCTGCTTCTCACCTGCTCTTTCAGAGGTCACCTGTGACTTCCTGGTTGCCAAACCAATGGGTTTTCTCTGCATTCTTCTCTCAGTTCCTCTGAGGCATCTGAGACTCTTGATCAGCCCCCTCCTTCAAATTCTGTTCTCTTAACTTCTCAAATGCTGTTGTCTCGACACTCTTTAAATCCTCTTAAATCAAATTATTGAGGACTTTACTCTGCCAGGCATTATGCTAAAATGCTGTAGGGATGAATAAATCCTAGAGCCTCCCCTTGAGAAGCCATCTGCTTGAAAAGAAGAGAAACATTTAGCTAACCCTTATCCTGCCCCATCTCCATCTGTCCAAATTCTGCCCATCCTTCCAGAATGATGTCAAATCCCACCTCATGCATTTATTCAAAGGGTAACTATTGAGCACTTGCTGTATGCTACACACTGGAAATACAGTGATGGCTTCAACCACCATTTCCTTCCCAAAGGACGTACAGCCTAGAGAGCCTTCACCCAATTGGATGTGGTTTCTCCTTCCTAGACTTCCATAGTATTTTGCCTGGATCTCTCTTTTTTTTTTTTTCTGCTCTTAATAGAATTCTGCCTTGTATTCTAGCATTTATGAGGAGGGGTTCCTATTCTCTTTTCTAAATTGTTTTGTTCAACACACTAATTGAGCACCTTCTTCCCCCCCGCCCCCCGCACCTAATTGAGCACCTTCTTTAGGCTGGAGTCTGAGTTGGGTGCTGGGATAGAGAGAAGAGAAAGACTCAGAATCTTCTCCCCAAAAGCTCAGTGTATGGGGTTGCTTCCGCTCTGTGCAGACAGGACCTACACCTCACTTACCTGTGTTCCTCAGGGCCCTTTGCTTAGTGCTTTGCACATCACAGGCCACACTCATTTTGCCTATGTATGGTGACAGCCTGGATACCCTCTCCTTTCTATCTTGTTAGGCAGAGGGCAGGGCCTGTGAGTGCCCCTGGCCACGCCTGGGCAAATGTCTCCACCTGAAGAGCCTGGACCCCTCAGGGTGGGGCACGTTTCCCTTCAACTTGGGCCAGATGACTCAGGGACATTCAGAAGAGGCTGGTTCGCCCCACCCACAAGCAAGTCCAACAGCTCCTGCACCTACACTCTGACCTCTCCCTTTTCTAGTGGCTTTTGCACTTACTGGTACCTCCTAGTCTACATCACACGTGTATGCTTTGGGCCCTTTTTGTTTCAGGTAAACTAATCTTTTCTTCCCAGGTTGATTGCAAGCTCAATAAGGACAGGACCCACATTAGGTTTTAGGCTTCTTTTAGCTTTCTTTCACCAGTGACAGGCAGGTAATTGGGGCTTTACTGGGTTTGCCAGCTGATTGACATTACCATCATTTGTTATTTCCTTTGCTCAAGGCATTGTCTCCAGGAGGCCCTTGTGAAATATGCATGTATTAGCTGGGAGCAATTAATCCATTAATTTACCCAGTGGTTCTTAACTAAAATGTCATGACATGCTGATATATCCCAAGTAATCTGTAATTATTATAATTGCTACAGCCAAGCAAGCATTTTACCTTTATTGTTTCTCTTATTCTGTCCAACAATCTTATAAGGGTATTTAATTATCTCCATTTTACCAATGGGGAATAGAAAGCTTTAATTTGTCTAAGGTCTTTCAGCTAGGAGGTCATGAAACTGGATTCGAGCTTATGTCATCCCTTGAATAGCATCTATCCCATTCTCCCACAGTCTAAGCGGAATTTTTCTCTTTCCCCAGATATGTTGTCATACATTGGAGAGAAGAGTAGAGTCATAGCTGAGAACTGTGACTTGTCTGCAGTCTGTCACCTTCCCTGGAAGAGAGTGTTGAGGTGAGGGTCACTGCTCTTGAGGCCCCAGTGGGCAGGCATGGGCATGGGAACCATAGTCCTGGGAAAGCTGGGGACTGAGTGCCCAGGGGCTGACCACTTTGGGGAGAGCACCAGATAGGCAGATAGGTAGCTTTGCACACCATGGGGAGGGAGGACTGGAAGGGAGAAATTCAAGGCAGGGAGACAGACCTACAAGACCACTAAAGCAATCCAGAAAGGTAAGGAAGACTGAGCAAAGGCAGGGAGAAGGAAAACCCAAAATAGACTAAAGCTTCTTAAAAGGACTGAGAGATCACAGGGTGGTAGGACTGGGCTGGGGTGGACAAGTCCAAGGTGCATACATTGCCCCAGTGGGCAGAGGGAGGAGCACCTCTTCCTGAGCTCTGTGCACCTCCATCGGGCTGGGGGTGGAGTAGGAGCCAGGGCGGGCCAGGGCCAGGGCCAGGGCCAGGGCCAGGGCCAGGGCCAGGGCCAGGAGAGCAGCGATGAGCACCAGGAGGAGGGGCAAGGCTAGGCAAAGAGACTAAGTTCTGGGGCAAGCATTTTATTTGTTAATATAAGAATAGAAATTCTGCAATAAATATCATCTAATAAATAACATCTCCAAATAAATAAATATTAATACAACACACTTAGAGTCATGAGTGGGTGGGGCTGGGGGGGCAGGGCCTGGGGGAGCTGCCACCCCACACCCCAAAATGCTACTGCAATGTAAACTTTCAGGAAATCCTGTGGCTGTGGCTACGGTTGCCCTCCCCAGCTTGAGCAACCCACAGATACCCTGGGAAGGGGGGCAGAGAGGAGGCACTGTGATGCTGGCAAGAAAATTTGAGGCAAGGTCCTAATGTTCAACAAGGCTTTTGTTTGCCATTCTGCGCCACTGACTTGCTTTGGTGATTCCTGGGTCTGGTCTGTTCCTGCCCCTCTGCTTTCAGTATTGTCTCTTCTGATCGGTAGGCCACTTCCAATGCAGGCCCCACCCCTTTTATTTTTAATCTCATCTCTCTTTGTTTAAACTTGCCACCATGTTTGTTTCCTGAATTGGATGTGTGGAGTTATCTGGGGTAGAGGAACAATACCCATCCAAGGAAAGAAGGGCAGCCAAAGGGCTTCACCCCAGAAAGGCACATGCTATGGTGGCTTCCCACTCCTGTCCTCCAGGTATGCTTCCTGGAAGTGCTGCTTAAGGGGCTGAGTGGGTACTGGCCAAGTGGTAGGCAGAAGGCAGGAGGCTGTGAGAGCCTTTATGTCACCTTGAACCACTTTGGACTCCCTCAAGCATTACTCCCTGTGGAAACAGAATGGGGCCTTATTGCACCCCTTCCCCAGATCTTTAAGCCTTTGGGAGGTGGGGAGGAGATGGGGCTTATTACATCACACCCCCATCCAAGTCCAGGGGAGGGCCAGAGTCTTGTGGCTTCTGTTTGCTGGCTCAACAAGTGTTGGCATACAGGGTTCTCCCTCCTAGAGTGGGAGCAGGGTTTGAAGGGATAGGGAAGGCGTAGGGTAAAGGTCAGAGATCAGAAGCCATGGGCCTCCAGGTGCAGGGTGACTGCAGCTGCCGGAGGCTGCATCTTCTTCTTGAGCCGGTTGAAGTCCTTGGCTGAGCGCCACAGCCAGGTCTGAAGCTCCTTCAGCAGCCAGAAGTCATCCATCTTCTGGAGGAAGTCACTGTGGGCAGGGCCAGGGGTCCAAGTGGGCTCAGTTCCGGGCAGAGGCTGGGGCAGCGGGTAACCCAGAGTTGCCATGACGCCTGCAATGCTGCCCAGCAGGCCCTGGAGGCTGGTGCAGAAGTGGGCCAGGCTGTGGCGCAGCTCGGCTGTGGCAGCCTGCCGGTTGAGGCCGCGCAAGTAACACAGAAGGTGGCTGTAGGCCTCGTAATTCTGGGTCAGCCGCAGTTTGTCATTGAGGCTTCGCCACACTTCCAAGTTGACAGTGGCCCTGGGCAGAGTGTCTGCCCCCAGCCGAGGTGGGTTGAAGTCAGGCTCGTTGAAAGGGGGCCCCAGGTAGTTCAGCTGTGAAAAGGAGAGGGTGATGGGGAAGGAGGCGGGGCTCACCACTGAGAGGCCTGCACCCAGAGCTTCTATTTCCTGTGTCCCCTGACACTGGCCCTGTCGCCATGCTAGGCCTCTCTGTTCATGGGCTCCCCTGAGTTTCTCTGGCATGGAGGTGACAGGTGAACTCTCCTATGGAGAGGCGTAAAAAGAGAAAGCTGCACAGGAGACACTCAGCAAGGATGTGCTCATTGGCTGAGTGGGCAAGCCTTGGAGAGTGCCCACCGTGGGAGCAGGGCAGAGAGGAAGAGGAGCCACCAGGAACCAGGAGGCGAGGCTGAAGAGGTAGAAGATGGCCCAGGAGAGTGCAGAGGCCAAGGAAGAGGAGTTCAAGAAGGCAGCAGTGCTCAGCAGTGTGGCTGCAAAACAGAGAGCAAGGAGAGTGAGCCTACACATACTGTCGGCTTTGGCAAGAATGAGGTGCCTGACAACCTTGGAGAGAACCATTGCTGGGGCCTGGAAGCCAGATTGCAGGGGGTTAAGGAGTGAGTGGGTGGAGAGGAAGTGGAGGCAGAGGGTGTAGACCACTCCTTCAGGAAATTTGGCAGAGAAAGTCAGGAGAGAAAAAGGGTCGGGAACTAGAGGGGGTAGCAGAGTCAAGCAAAGGTTTTCTGCACAGGGAAATGAGAGAGGAAAGCCGGTGTTGAAAGGCAGGGGTCCGCTGGCATCAGAGCTCTGTTGGCCTCGCTGACGTGCCCAGTCCCACCAGCTGAAGGAACTGGGACAGAAGGTTACTCACTAACACCCCCAAGGAAGGATTCAGCTGATAGGGAGCAGGGCTGCAGAAGGAAGAAACTGAGGCATGGAGGCAGTCATAAGAGTAGGACAGGAGGAGGAATATGGAAGGCAAAATAGCATAGGGAAGAGGCCAAAGCCCTTGCCAGCCCCTGGGGGGCAGCTGGGGCCCAGGGAAAGGGATGAAGGAGATGTGTGTGACTGGGAGAGAAAGGGAGAAGACAGGGGCGAGGCCTGGGATAGGCAAGGGCCCAGGGGGAGGTTCACACGCTGACAAGCACAGAGACAAACTAATTTCCTCGGTGTATCCTGGGGCTGGAGCCAGCTCCCCCGCCACCCTCCTCCCTTTTCTTTCCCTGGCTCCAGAGTAGGGTCTGGGATGTGGAAGAGGAACACGGGAAGAGGGGGCTGGTTCCCCATGGTCCTTGGCTCCTCTGACCCTCCTTCCTCCTCTCCTGGGCTCTCTGAGCACCTCTGGACTGCCCCCAAATCCTTACAGCATAACCTCCATCCCCACCCGAACCCCCTGCCACTACTGGCCTGGGTTCCCTGCAGTCCTCTTCCCCCAAGACCCCCCTAGGAGGCCCAGCTAGGAAGGGAAAGGCAGGCAGAAGGGAGGCCCATGGGTCCAGAGCAGCAGGGCCCCAGGTCTAGGGGCAGAGACGAGCTGGAACACAGGCATGGGAGGTGGGGCCCCTCCATCCCCACCCAACCCCGCCCGTGCAAGAGACACCACAACACGGTGTAAACAGAGGAGACTTCCCCGGCCCCCAGGGGGAGGCGGGCGGCTGGGCTGGCAGCCAGTGGGGCAATGGGCCAAGGCGGGTGCGAGGCCTGCCCACATGCTTAGTCCTGGGGCCAGGGATGGGGAGGAGGGGGCACCTAAGAGGGAAGGGCAGGAGATAGGCCAGACAGGGAGACGGCTTGGAGCCAAAGGGCCCCTCCTTATCACTCCACCCTTCACGAGGACCCTCCATCATTATGTCTGTCTTCCCGCAACTCCTCACTTTGCACCCAACTCCCAGACTCCTAAGCTGGTTACTCACATAGGTTCCAGCCAAGCTGCGGAGTTGGTGCTCCAGGTAGCGGGTGAGGTCATAGGTTTTCTGGATGGAGGGACCAGGCCCTGGGTCCCCTGTGCGATTGAGAGCTGGCACTGCAGGGAGGTGCCAGAGCACCGTGCACAGGCACGCTAGCATCCCCCACGAGTCCCCTGTGGATAGGATGGGCAAGAAGCATGAGGGGGGCCCAGGCCCAAGCAGGGAAGCTGCTGGCAGCCCCTCAGGTGTCTGTCCCCACCTTAGACAGAGGATGGGACACCAGATGGGAGGCAGAAGGGATGGAGGAGGGGGAACACTCCTGGCCCAGGGCTGGTGGGGGGGAGAAGAGGCATGTGTGTTTGAGGACAAGGACTTGGCATGCGTGTGTGTGTGTGTCTATCAGTAGCTATTTGAGAGTGTATCTGTGTGTCAGCTGAGAAAGTGTTTGGCATGTGTACCACAGTATGTGTGCCAACATGTATGTGTGCCAACATGTATGTGTATACACGGAGGGATGGGGCCTGGCCAAGGGACTGTGAATCTGTATGTCTGGGTTCGAGTTGTTCTCCAGTCTTCTCTCCCAGTCTTCCAGTCCCGGTGCAGCTTGAGAGGAGCCAATGGTGGGAAACAGCACATATCAGAGCTGGCACACAGAAAGTGGTCAGCCCGAGGGAGAGTGCAGGAGAGAGGCTGCGGCCATGAATGGAGTTGGCCAGAGGAGGCAAGGTATAGGGTTAGACCAGGCTGAAGGACACAGGGCTGCCTCATAGAGCCAATTTTGGGTATATTCTGGGATATGGTTCCTGGGTGTGGGAAGTATAGGGTGGGGTTAGATTGAAGGAGATTTAGCCTCCACTCTCAGGGACTGTTAGCAGTGTGGAGATTTGCCCCATTCTTATCTAGGGTGTTAGGTGGGGAAAAGTTTGAGTTCAGTGAGAACTTTCCTCAGCCTCCAGCTGTTGGGAATAGACAGGGAGAGCTACACATATGATGAGTTGGGCCTTCAGCCGATGGCGCTGGAGAGTTTGGGTATACCAGGATGCCTAGAGTCCACGCTATAAGGAAGTCTGTGGGAAACATGCTTTTCCAGGCTTTTAGATAAGGACCAAAGTCAGGATTCAGTGGACATTTGGGACTGGCAGAGGCAATTAGGGTTTAGATAGGGTAGGGATATACTTGGGATTGGGCTAGATTAGGTTTAAGGACTGGGTTATTTTTAAAGTTTAAGATTAGTTTAGATTTGGGATTTGGTTGATTTAGTGTGGTTGAGGTTTGAGTCCAGTAGGGGGATGTGGTTAGGTTTGGGCAGGCAGAGGGTTAGCTGGGGCTAAGGTTTGTGGATTTGTTGACTTTGATGTCAGATGGTACGATGTTTGACATGTCAGGAAGAGCAGGGCTAGTTTGGGTTTTAAGCTTGGGTAGGTGGGAGGTCATAAGTGATTTCTTTCCTCTAGATTATATTTTACACTTTCAAAATTTTTCTATAATGACACATGTTGCTTTGATAGTTGAAATAAGTTGGATAGTTTTAACAATTTGGCTGTACTTAGAGTTATGATAGGGTTTGGATTTAAGAAAGAATGAAAACTAGGTTAGTTTTAGAGCTAGGTATAACGCTGGGACAGGGTTTAGAAAGGGTTACAAGCTAGGAATGATTCAGGATTCAAGTTGGATGAAGTGTCTCATAGAGCACAGCAGTCAGGTGGGGACTTACAGTGGCACAACTAGTCAGTCTTGACTCAGATGTTTGGCTGGCTGGCTTTACTGATGGAGCATGGCAGTGGGGGACAGCAGTTATAGAGACCCTGCTCTTTTGGGTGAAGGCTCTTTGTTTGAGGGTGTGTGTGTGAGGGTAGGTGTGCACGCATGCACACGTGGTGTTTTAGGACAGAGAACAGGGTCAGGCACTTAACTGCTCCCTGGGGAAACAGGCTCCCCTTTTCTTTTCCCCCATCTGCAACTTGTGGCTTCCCTCCTGGAGGCTCCTTTCCATGCCTAGCTCCTGCCTTACTCTCAGTTCCTTCCTATTCCTCCTTCACATCCCATCTCCAGGCCCTTCCCCTCTGCACAAAGTCTAGGGATCTAGCGAGTCACCTCCAGCATCCTAGGGATACAAAACAGTGTTCATTTTGGAGACTGGAGACCTGCTGAGGTGGGCAGTGGCCCTTCTAGCCTTGAGATGGCTTTCAGGACTGAGTCTGGCCTCGCTGAAAGTTAGTGGCAATGCCAAGGATCCCAGCTGAAGCAGGAATTGGGAGCTGGGCTTGCCTCTTTACCCCACATTGCCTTAGGCAGACCTGTTAGCCAGAGTTCTGGGACAGAGCTCTGGCTATCCCATGGCAGGGAGGTGTGGTCAGGATCCCAGCTCTGGGCCCGTTTCCCTCTCCCCTTCTGAGCCCTGTGGGACATCCCTGGGGGGGACCAGCTCCCTACTCAGGGACAGCAGGGGGAGAAGCTTTTGGATAAACAAGAGCTAAGTCATCTGGGCAGAAAAACGGCTCATGAAATTAACCAGACAAGGCCGGTGTTTCCAGGAATATTTCAGTTCTGAGGTAACTGTGTCACTGCAGGCAGGGGGACGGGGGGGGGGCAGGGGAGAGCAAAAGGATCTGACTGACCAGCCCATGGACTGACCGGCCCATGGCGAGAACTAGAAAGAAGGAAGGAGTCTCTAGAACCCAGAGGGAGAAGAGACTAGAAGAGGAGAAAGGGGAGGTAAAACGATGAGGCTCTGCCCTCTGCTGTGACAGCGTCCACTCTGGGCAAGACATGTCCATATCTCAGGCAGTGGATCCAATCGGAAAGCTGCCTGGGGCAGAGAACACCTGTGGTTTAGTTGTGAGCACTGCCTCCCAGGGAGGGAGTCTACAGTGGGCTTCCTGGAGCCCTCATCCACCCTCCTCTCCAGGCTCATGGTGTGCAGGTGGACCTCAACGTGGGGGCTGTGTCCTTGGCCCCCTCCCCCAGTTCTGGCCCTCAGCCCAGCCCCCGCCCCAGCTCTGTCTCTGGCTGCTGCCCGCTGATTGTTTACATCCCGTCTTCTCCTTGTGTTTATAAATCCGGCTGAGCACGTGAGGAGCTAATGAGCACAGCTCACGTTTCCTGCAGCATCCCTCCACCCCCATCCTGGCCCCCACCCGGGCCAGCTCCTAATTCCATCCAGATCCCTGGGCCCTGGGAACCAAGGCCCCCCTCTTGAACACACACACACATACTCTTAGCCCACGCAAGCACATGGCCACTCTGACACGGCTGCACAGGCAGGCACACCCGTGTACACATCTTTAGCCAGCTGTCTCAGTCCCTGGCCTATATCCCCCAGGCTGACCTGTCCCAGTGAAGGTGAAGGCTCTGTGGTGCAGCTGTGCTAGGACTGTTAGGATAGGTAGGACGGGTCAGCTGAGAGACTCTGCACCTGGGACTGGTGGCTAAGAGCTGTAACCTCTAAATGTTAGAGCCAGGAAGGCATTACAGGGTTGCAAAGGTAGGGCCGGTGGCCACAGGCTGAGCTAAATATGGGAGCCAGAAGGAAAGGCCCTGCCCTCAGGCCAGACTAGGACCAATATCTGGGTGACCCTGGAGGGATCTGTTGAGAGGAATTGGGGGTTGGAGTGGGTTAGGGGGTGATGTGTACACTGTGATGTGAGATTCAGGCATTGGGCCTGTAGGAAGCTGCCCTGGGGGTGCCTCCTGACCTGGATTCCCAGGGACAGGCCACAGAAACCCATCTTTCCTCGGTCCTCCAGGCTGGCTGCCCTCCTCTCTCTTCTTCTCTCCCGTCTGCCCTCTCCTTGATTCCTTTTCCCTTAGACTGCTGAGAAGTGGCTTGGTGAGTGGGGACACATGGGCCTGGAAGTCAGGAGAACTAGTTTTGCCACCAACCCCTCTGGTGACCATAGGCTTGCATGAGGAGGTTGCACTGTACATGCTAAAGTCTCTCCCAGCTGAAACTTGTGGGGCTCCATCTCTGCTGTCCTCTCCAACATTCCCCTCCCTGCCCTTCTCTTCCAGCCTAAAAGACAGAAGAAACGGAGGCTCAGGGAAAGAAGCAGAGGGTGGGCCAGCCCCTGCTTGTGAAGTCAGTAGCCAGGACAGGAGTTGGGCTTCCGCTGGAGTAAAGGGTTCCTGATTGTGCCACAAGAGGGCCCTGGGTGTGCTCAGGGAGAAGCCAGGGGGCTGCTGTGCAGCCAGCTGAAAGCCAGAGGCAGGGGAAGAAGTGAAGGAAATAGTGCAGGGCAAGCTGCGGGTGAGCTAGAAAGGGTGTTGTTATCAAGAGGGTGCGGGAGGGGCTGGGAGCGAGTGGGCAGGAGCAGGGTGTGAATAGGCAGGTGGGATTGTGGGGAGGAATGTGAAGTGTCCCTGAGCAGAATAGCTGGTGTGTAGGGGGTGGTGTGCAGAAGTGTGAACGGGACAGGAGTGTGGGTCTGTGAGTGGAGGGAAGAGGGAGCCATTACACTAGTCAGAAGTGTCATTTCTGGGGCTGCTGGGTGACAGTTGCTACCATCTCTGACCGTTTCCTTCCCTGGTTGTGTGTAGCTCCAGGGCAGCGAGTGTATCTGAGCTAGTTGGGGGAGCACATCTGGGCTGTTACGGGAATATGTACCTGTGTCCATGCGAGGGCCAGTGTGTGCTGAGGAGCAGGGCACAGGTCTGCCAGGGTCAGAGAAACAGCGTCGGACAGAGAATGCGTCCGCACCCCTACCCAAGCCTCTCTCCAAGGCTCAGACTGCTCCTGCCGTGCCGGCACCGCCAGTTTTCCCCCGCCTCTCCTGGAAGCCCCCTCTACCCCACAGGGGAGGGCCAGGCTGGCCCCTGGCGAAAAATGGGGTCCTCTGAGATTGAGGGTCTGTAGGGACGGCTCCTGGAGCCCAGTGTGGTGTTGGAAAAGTAAAGTGGGGAGAGCAACGATGAGGAGGCTCTGGCGAGGCCCCGGGGACCTAAGGTTCCAAGGGCTCGGCCCGGGAACTGTGCGGCTGCAGCGGCAGCTCGATGGCCCTCCCTCCTCGGCGGTGACCTCTCGCTCCTGAACCCCTCCCGGCAGCAGCGCCTTCCCCCTGTGTGGCCCCGGCGCCCCCGGCCCCGCCCCCCGCCCGCTCCCGCCCGGTTGCTCCCTTCCCGGCGGCGGGGGCGGGGTCGGGGCGCCGGGCTCCCGAGCTCGGCCGCTGCCCTTTCCCGCGCGTCAACTCCCTGCCCTGCCCGCCCACCGTCCCGCGGGCCGCAGGGCTCCCGCCGCTCCCCGGCGGGTGACGGACTTTTTCCTGCCGGTCGGGCCGGGCTGCGCCCGCGTCCCCCCGCCCCCCGCGCCCCTGCAGTAATCACTCCCAGGCCACGGCGGGCCGGGGGCTAGCTGCCGCCGCCCGCGCGCCCGCCCTACCTGCCGCCGGCTCCCCGGCCGTGGGCAGCATGGAGGGCTCCGGCCGCGCCGCCGCGCGCAGCGAGGAAGCCGCGAGTCCCGCCGCCCGGCCCGTCTGGCCGGGCCCAGCCAGGCTCGACTCTGCCCCCCACCCTCCTCTCCGCTCTCCCGCCCGCCTTCCCCTCCCTGCGGGCCGGGGAGGGAGCGACGCGGCCCGAGGTGTCGGCCTCCCCTCGCCTCCCGCCGGCCCGGCCTCGGGCTCCCCCCTGCCTCCCTCCCTCTTCCTCTCCCCAGCCCCCTCCTCCCCTCCCGGCGTCTCCCTCCCACAGCCTTGCTCCCGCCTCGGACTCGCTCGCCCCGACTTTTGCGTTGGGCTCTCGGTCTGCGGGTTCCCCGGGACCCCATCTCGCTGGGGTTCCAGGTTGCCACCTCCCCAGGTCTGCGAGTCGTCCGGGCTCCCCGCCGCACCCCTGGCCACCTCTTGGCCCCACCGAGCGGACTCCAAGAATGCCGCGTCCCCACCCGGCCCCTCTCGAGGGCGCCCCGCCGTGCCTCCTCCGGCCCCGAGCCCCGGCACAGGGCTTCCCGGGGTGTCGGGGGAAGGACGGGAACCGGATCTCGTGGCTGCTCGGTGGGGGCGGGGGCCGGGGCCTCGGACGCCTGGCTCCTACCTGCTCGGAGGTCCATGGGGCTGGGGGCCGGGCCGGCCGGGCGCGGCTCCTCTCCCGGAGGCTGGCGGAGTGGGAGGGCGAGCCGCGGCTCCGGCGAAGCTTTAATAATCCCATCCGCCAGGCCCACTCGCAGGTTTTTTTCGCTCGGTTTCGGATTTTTTTTTTTCGGTGTGGGACATTCTGCAAACTTTTTTTTTTTTTCTGACGTGTAAAGCTGTAACCACAAATTGTAGCGGCCCTCCCCGGGGTGGGGGGAGGAGGGGGGAGGAGGGAAGGGAGGGCTTCTGGGGCTCCCTCTCCCTCCCACAACACCGAGGGGGGGTGAGGTGAGGCGAGGCTGCCGTGGTACCACCCTGGGCCTCCTGGGGGAGGGGGCGGGAAGGGCATCAGTCTGCAGACTCCCGAGAGCCTGGACAGTGGGGTGGCCTCAGTGTGAGGTTCTCTCCTGGTGTCGCCTGGGGCCGCCTGCCCCCTGCCCCGTGCGCAGGGTCCCTGCTCTCACCCTACCTCTGCCTCCTCGCCTCTAACCTTCCCCCCACTTCCCCCTAAGTAAATGCAATGACACACTCTCCTAAATGCCAACGAGCTGGCCTCGAAGCAAGTGATGGTGTTTTTCCTGCTGCCCTTTGTCTGGGCTGACCGCCCCCCTGGCCTATTGTCCCGCCGCCGCTTGTCCCATTTCCAAAAGCTAAAGCTCAGTGAGGCGCCAGGGGCTGGGGCAGGTGACTAACCGGCTCACAATGCCCCCTGGGGGGTAGGAAGAGGGCACCACAGGCCCACTGCCCAGCTCATTCTTCTTCCAGTGACCAGGGAGCATGCACATGGGTGGGGGATTTGTAATTCATTAATCAGCACGAGGCACCGGACCAGTTTCAACACCAGAGGCTTCTCCAGTGACTCAGCGAGAATGCTCCCAATTCTAGGCGATGGACAGACCAAGCGTCCCCATTTGTGAACTGCTTCCCCATAAAGACATTTGGCATTCTTCTTCCTTTGGGTTTTGGGGTTGTTGGTTTTCTCTGGTGGTGAGGGTAGGGGTGGTTTGGCTGTGGAGTCCTCTTCTTCCTTCCCTGAGGCCTGGGTTGGGACTTGCTGGGCAGGACACCTAGGGACCCATAAGCCTAGACCCTCCCTACAGGGTCTCCCTCCCCCTTTCTCCCTCTCCAAAGGGCTGCCAGGGAGAGTAAGCACAGAGGAAACCGCTCTCACCCAGGGCTTGTGGACAGCCCCACTTCATGATTTTTCTTGGAGGACAGTCATTTGGTCTCCAAGTCTTGGGTGCTCTATAGCCACACCACCAATTAAATCATATGGTGATAAGTTGCTTTTGTTGTTGTTGTTGATTTGTTGTTTCAAAGTGGAAGAGGCCCCTTGGTGGGCCAGACCTGGAAGGTGGTGCCACTGCCTGAAGTGACATCAGAGCCTCTGTCCCTCACTCTTGCCCCGGTGCCCCTGGGAAAGGAGGGCGCCCTGCCAGTCCAGTGACAGCCCCTCCAGCCTGTGGGTTAGAGCAGGCATCGTGGTCATGGCCAGCGCTGAGCTCCCAGGGCAGCTCTTCCCTTTTCTACACTGTGAGAAGTGAGGTGGGGGGGTGGGGGGGTGGGGAAGAAGTTTGTTTTCAATTACCTCACTGGAGTGGGACAGACTTTGTTGTTGGGTTGGGTTTTTTTTTTTTTTCTTCTCTTTCTCTCTCTCTCCTCCCCCCCCCCTTTCTTCCTTTCTTTTTCCTAAACAAGGAGAAAAAGAGCTGGGAAAGGAGAGCTGGCCTGGGGTGTGGGGCAGGGAACCTGTGGGATGTTGGTAGCAGCTCTGAGGAAAACTGCCTTGGAGGGGCCCTTGTGAAAAGTGCTCAGGGCCTCCCTCTTCCCTCCTCACCTTCTCCCTGCCCCCACCAGCCAGGACCCTGGAGTTTCAGTGACATTCTTGGTGGGTGAGCCCAATGATCTTTTGATGCCTATGTAAAGGGCAAGAAGGCAGATGCCCACGCCTGACTGGCACTGAGGCTGGCTAGGAGGTATCCCTAGCAGCTACCCTTTCAGAAGGAGGGAGCCAAGAAGGGAAGGGCAGCAGCTCAGGCCCTTCTCCCTCTGCTCTGCAGCCTCTTGCCTCGTGGAGAGTCTGCACAATGTGGTTTGGATTTGGCTGAGCCCCTCAGCACCTTATAAAGCACCTTGCTGAGTCAGGGAGAAAGCAGCCCCATGCGGGGAGAGGAGGAGGGGCAGGAGACAGGAGGGGAGCTGAAGCAGGAGAGTGGGGGCTGCAGAGGAGTGAGAAAAGAGAAGGGACCAGGGAAGGAAAGAGGAGACACAAAGACGCACATGGGTGGGAATGAGAAAGAGGGGAGGAGGCAGGAGCTGAGGAGGAAGGAGGAGCTGGGTGAGGAAGAGGAAGAGATTAAAGCAGAAGAGAGGAGAGTGGACAATGCCATCCCCAGCAAACATTCACCTGGGGGGTATCTGGAAAGCACTGGTTTGCAGGAACTGAGGGCTGCAGCTCTGAAACAGGGACCCAGGCCAGGTAGGTGTAGGGACAATTGGCTTTATACACAACCCCCCAGATTCCCAGTTTGTCTTTGATTCTTAATGTAATGACCCCAAAAGCTGGGAAAGTCGTGTTCTACCTCTGCCTCTTGTCTGGACTTGTATACCTGCCCTCTCCCCTCACCTAGTGGGGGCCAAACCTCTGCCCTCCCCCATCTTCCACACTGCCAAAGGGAAAATCAACTCTATTTCCAAGCTGCCAGTGCCCCTCTGCCATGTCTGGGCAAAGGCAGCAGGCTAGGAGCTGCCAGTTGGGTTGGGGTGGGGGCTGGAATAATGCCTTTATTCTGCCAAAACCCCAAATGAGGGGAGACTGCTGGAATTGGGGGAAGAAGGAAGAAAGGAAAGATAGCGAAGGAGCAGCCCCTCCAGGGTTTCCCTGGGGTAGAGCAGGACAGGTGGCTGCCCTCTTATCTCCATCTGGGGGACCTCAGAGAGTTCCTGCTCCCCTGTGGCTCTCAGAAACACAATCTGGGATTGCTGGTGGGGAGCACAGAGTTTAGAGGAGACACCTGTCCCCATGGTACATTGTATAGGCAGGCATTTTCTCAGTCTCTATTAGGTGCTAGATCCTGTAAACCTGAGGTCCCCAACCCTGGGCTGTAGCAGTCTGTGGCCTGTTAGGGACCGGGCAGCAGAGCCCTGCCACCCCCTTACTCCCACTATGGAAAAAGTATCTTCTATGAAATTGAGGGATGGGGAGACACACAGCAGGAAGTGAGTGGGGACAGGGGAGCCAGCAAAGAACCATTATCTGTACTCATGGCCGCTCCCCATCGCTGGTGCCGCAGCCTGAGCTCCTCCGGCTCCACCCCCCCATCCTACCCCTTAGGCCCCCAACCTCTGTGGAAAAACTGTCTTCCATGAAACTGGTCCCTGGTGCCAAAAATGTTGGGGGCTGCTGCTGTAAGGGACAGAGAGGACAAGGAAAACCCACCCCTGCCTTCAAGAATTTCACAGTCTTGGGACACTCATTAAACCATCTGAGAGCAGCTATAGGTGGTAGTGGGTGCATTTAGAGCCAATGAGAGCATCCGGGAGGAGAGGGCACTTCAGGGTAGACATGTGGGTGGACTGAGCAGGAAGTACGGTGGCAACCACAGGCAAAACACAGAGGTATCACTGGGTGTAGCCCACAGGGCTCCCGTCAGCAGGCACGAAGTAGGCTAGGAGTCAGGATATCTTGCTTCCAATTGGCCAATGTGGCCTTAGGACAAGCCTGTCACCTCTCTGTGTAATGGGGTATGACTACCTCTGCCCTTCTCTCCACAGGATGGTGGGAATATTCAGTGAGCTGATGATGGGGACACTGGTTTGCCACCTTCTCTGGCTTTCCAGACTCCAGGCCTTACCATCTACGGTGGGTGGCAAGTCAGGCCCCATCTATGGTGGGAGGTAGCTGGCGGGGGGGCAGAGCTGGCACCAGGTGATGACTGAGCTGCCCTCCAAGAGGCGAGGGTGAGTCAGTGTTGGCTCAGGGACTGGCGAATATCCCACTCCTCCCTCCCCACAAAGCTAACATCCCCAGGGAAGCTCTCCAGGTGCCCAAACGAACAAACAACAAATGCTACCTCCTGCACAGCTGGAGAATTAGCATCAAAGGGACCTCAGCCCAGGATCCCTAAGCTGGGGGAGCCTCTAGTCTGGTCCCCTCCTGACAGGTAAGCAGGAGTGTGGTACTGGAGAAGCCCAGAGAGGTCTGCCAGCTGGAAATAAGGGACATACACTAGTTCATTCAACTATTCACCAAACATTCCCTAAGTACCACCCATGCCAGGTGCTGGGGACACAGAGAAGAACCGTAAGGGGCCATGGGATGGAGGGGTGGAGGCTGCCTTGGGTATGGGCAGGAGAGGCACATGCCTGCCAAGGTGACCCCCTAGCCTGCTGCCATGCTAGTGTTTCTCACTAACATTTACTTTGCTTAAATACTGACAATAGTTTAAATGCACTGAGCTTGTCCCCACATCAGGCATGGGCACTGTTTCATTTCATCATTACAATAACCTCATGAGGTAGGAGCTATCATTTCCCCATTTATACAAGGAAACTGAGGCTTGGTAAGATGAAGTCACTCGTCTCAAGTCACAATCCTGTAAGCAGTAGAACCAGGATGAGAACCCAGTACTGTCTAACCTCAGTGACATGCCCTTTTAATGATACCACGCAGGTGCCATCCTGGAGATGGGGGAGCAGAAGCGGACTCTTGCAAAGAGTCTGGGTGCTGAGGGGAGACTTTGCTGAGCCATCTAGCCCCAGACATAACTGGTCTCTTCAGGACACTAAGATGTTCCTTGGGACATAGAGTCCTCCAGTACCTGGAGAGTCCTGATGTGGAACAGAGGGTGACCTAGGCTGTCCTGCCCACCACTCACCACTGACATGAACTGACAGTGTCCCACTGGGCTAGGGGGGCAGGAGAGGCTAGTCCCCAAGAGCACTGGAGAGCTCAGCTAGAATTCTGGATTCCATTAGCAGCAAGTTTGGAATCATGGAATGAGCATTACACTGGGAGTTAGATGGCCACCCACTAACAGAACCAGGGCAAGGGCTTCCCTTTGCTTCCTGGGGCTGCTGCTCAGTGGCTGGCAAAGTGAGGCCTAAGTAGTTCAGTACCCCAGGACTCACACCCCTCGGAGGAGCCTCCTCCCCACCGCCGTGTGCGCGCTCCCTCCAGTGCGCGTGTGCAGCGGTCGAAGGGGACATGGGGGGGGGTTAAATGGCCCTGTTTCTGGGTGTGTGGGAGGTAGGTGGGCGTGTGAATGCACACTTTCCCTTTCTTGCCAGTGGACAAGAGCCCAGAGGGCCCTGCCTCACCCTGAGCTGGCTGTGATGTCAGCAGAAACCCTGGGGCAGAGAGCCTCTTACCTCAGCAATGGCCTGGTCCTGCCCTAGGTCCCCCATCCACACCTGACCCAGCTCAGGCCTCCCAAAGAACATGCTCCCCACCCCCTGCAGGCCTGCTGCCTACCTGCCTCTCCCCGGCCCTGCCCGGGCTGTCTCCCCGTGTGCCAGGATGTCTGGGCAATGGGTGTGTGAAGAGGGCAGGGGCGGAAGGGATACCCCCAGGTGCTCGACTCCTCCCTTGCCTGCCAGGAGCTTTCCCTGCCACATTCTCCCAGGATGTTCCGTTGCCCTGGCCAACCCATGCCGCAGGCTCTGTGACTCCGTCTCCCCTGGCAGAGGAGTGGGGTTACCTCTCCCTGGGCTGGAAGATCCTTATCCTGCCCTGCTGACTCACTGCCGGCTCCTCCTGCTCCCTCCTTCCCCCCCATCCTCCCTCCTCCAGGGTTCTCACTGCTTTCTCCAGACTGTCTGTTCTCCTGCCCCGCCCCCAGGTCAGAGGATGGACCCCCATGATGCAGTGATGCAGAGTCCCATCTTACTGGCCTGCTATTCCAGCATTGTTGGAAGAGTGCCTGCTTCACCTCTATCAGCTGTGTGACCTTGGCCAAGTCACTTAACCCCTCTACACCTTGGTTTTCTCCTCTATAAAACAGGGTTGAGGGCTGTGCGCGGTGGCTCACGCCTGTAATCCTAGCACTCTGGGAGGCTGAGACGGGCGGATTGCTCTAGGTCAAGAGTTCTAACCAGCCTGAGCAAGAGCGAGACCCCATCTCTACTAAAAATAGAAAGAAATTAATTGGCCAACTAAAAATATATACATATAAAAAAAAAATTAGCCGGGCATGGTGGCACATGCCTGTAGTCCCAGCTACCTAGGAGGCTGAGGCAGAAGGATTGCTTGAGCCCAGGAGTTTGAGGTTGCTGTGAGCTAGGCTGACGCCATGACACTCTAGCCCAGGAGACAAAGTGAGACTTTGTCTCAAAAAAACAAAACAAAACAAAACAAAAAAAAACAGGGTTTATGATACTAGTACCTTCCTCAGAATAAGGGACAACTGAGTGGACATAGGTCAAATCACCAGCACTTAGAAGCAATCAGCAGTGTTCAGTGTCCTTGCTGGCTGTCCCTTGTGCCAGCCCAGACCTTTGTCTTTGCTAATGATGGCCCCTCTGCTACAATGCACCTGTCACCTGCGAGCCCTCGGGCTGCACATCCAAGCCTTCTCCTCTATTTCATCCTCACCTCTTCTTCAGCCTGTCCCCATTGCCCCATCTGCGTCCCCACCATAGGGCACAGCCACATAACTCTGGGGCCCTGCCACTCTCTACCTTAGTGCAATCTCAGGATATGTCTCCTCTCTTCCCTCACAATAAACAACTCCTGAGGATTTGACCTTGTATCCCAGGCAGCATTCTTGTAGCAGTGAAGAAGGGCTAGAGGTGGGAAGGGTGGGATCTCAGGGTACAGCTGGATCAGAAGGGAGGAAAGGAGCCAACCGTGTGCCAGCCCCGTGCTAGGCCTTCAGGGTGTCCAGAAGACATGGGTGGCCTGGGTCTGTGAAGAGTTCACCCACTCCCCAGCACCCACAGGCATCTTTCTGAGGTCTACCCTGTAGTCCTTAATTTCGGTTTCAGCCTTTGACCCTTGCAAAATGTGTCAAATGAAATAGGAATTTAAGGCCGGGTGCAGTGGCTCACGCCTGTAATCCTAGCACTCTGGGAGGCCGAGGCAGGCAGATCGTTTGAGCTCAGGAGTTTGAAACCAACCTGAGCAAGAGTGAGACCCCACCTCTACTATAAATAGAAAGAAATTAATTGGCCAACTAAAAATATATATAGAAAAAATTAGCTGGGCATGGTGGCGCATGCCTGTAATCCCAGCTACTCGGGAGGCTGAGGCAGGAGGATTGCTTGAGCCCAGGAGTTTGAGGTTGCTGTGAGCTAGGCTGATGCCACGGCACTCACTGTAGCCTGGACAACAAAGTGAGACTCTGTCTCAAAAAAAAAAAAGAAAGAAAGAAAGAAATAGGAACTTAAGAAGGTATACAAAGACCTATAGTACAGAGAAGAAAAAGGTCAGAGGAGGGAGGAGATGTTAGGAAAGATGTCACAGAGGGGGCAGGGAGAATTCAAGGGACAAAAAGAGGGCCACACCTGGACTGGAACCAGTACAGAGGCTGGGGAGGAGCTGGCGTTCGGACCTATGGGGTACAATAACTTCCCAAAGCCTACTGAAGCCCCTACTATATATACTATAAATGCCTTGCTGAACAGTGTGGCCCTACAGAGACACACAGCTTGCCCGCCAGGGGCTTGTGGTCTGCTGAGACAGAGGGCAAGGTGACTTCAATACCCACCAGGGATGTGCCAGGAGGCTCAGTGCAAACCAGGGCACTGAGGCAGGTTGCCTCCAGCCTCCAGCTCTGTAGGGAACCTGGAATGATCCCTGGATTCTCTAGCATCAGAAAGCCCAGCGCTAGCACTCACAAGATGGCCTCTCGGCCTTGCCAGGCTTCTAGCGCAGTGGTGAGGCTGCGGTGAGACCATGCAGCAAAAGGGCTCTGTGCGCTGCAGAGCTCCAAGGAGACTGAAGAGACTTCTGTCTCCTGCCCATGTAGGATATAGCTACTGTTTACTGAGCACTTACTAATTGCCTGGCACGGCAATGGAACACTTAAATACAGCACACAGATAGTCTCACATAGTCCTGAAAGCAGGGTGCTGTTGAACTTTTCATTGTACCAGGGGGAAACTGAGGCCACAGAGTTACATAACTTGCCCAGCATCACACAGGCAGGCAGCCTGGCTCCAGAGCCACCCTGCTCTTAATTAGCAGCCCCCTCCACACCCTGCGACTAGTTAGTTCCCTGAAATCTCCTTCCTCACCCCATCTCCCCTGTAGTAAGCCCACCCCAGCCAAGCAGACTGTCTTCACCATGTGGGCCCCTACGCAACATGGCACGAAGCCGGCACCCACAGAGGCTTGCCTGACCCTGCCCAAGGCCCATCAGCCCCACGTCTGTTCTGCGAACTGAGACAGGATGCGGTGTCTGTCTCCCTCTGCTGGTCCCTCAGGGGACGGCGCAGCCAGGATGCTTTCCCCAAAGCTGGTGGTGGCCTCTCCCCCACACAGTAAATAGGGAGTATGGGGGAGGGGGAGGAAAGGGCCCAGGACTCAGGCCAGGCTCCAGCTTATAGGGACACAGCATTGCCTCCTAGAGCCCGTGCAGCCTGCAGCCTGCCTCCAACAGGGGTGCAAAAGGATCATTTAGGGAGGCCAGGTCACATCCCTGATGTCGTCCCGGTGCAGGGGTTGGGGGGGACAACAGGCCCCAAACAGCCTCCTTCCCCTTCTAACCCATGAATGGAGCTGTCATCCATGGATTTATCTAAACCTTTTGTGAAGCTATTTATATTTCCAGCCAAGACCACATCTTGGGGTAATGAGTTCCATCGGCATCCTCCCCTGCTGGGTGAAGTACACTGCCTTTGATTTGTCCTAAACTTACCTCACTTGCGCTCCAAGGGGGCCCTGTAACTCCAGAATGCCAGGTTTTGGTGAACAAGCCTGAGCTTCCCCCTTCTCATCCCCACTGTGGGTTTAAAAATTTCCATCCCATCTCCTCTCCACCTCCAGCCCTGCAGACTTAAAAAACCTGATCCCTGGTTTGTGCACAGTGCCTGGCAGTGTGGGGACGTCCATTATCTCATGCCAGCATCCAGCAGCTTGCAAGGCAGGCAAAGACCCAAACTCTTCTTGGGAGGCAGAGGACACTGAGGGCCCAGAGTCGTGTGGCCAGCACGTGGCACAGCTAGAAGCAGCAGCAGCCTTCCTCCTGAGCCTCTTCCCCCTGGTTTGACTCTTCTGCCCCTACCCAAGAGGCCTCAGAAAATTTCCTAATGTCTGGGCTCCAGACCTATTCTCTGTGATATTTCTTTGAAGATACTTGCTCCTGGGTTCCTAGTGTGGACTTGCCCTGGCTTCATCTAGGGCGATGACTCGTCTCTAGTCTTGACCCTACGATACTGTGAGGACACACACCAGAGAGGGAGGTGGCAGAACACAGCAACCATAAGAATAGCAATGCTAACAGCAGATTCTAAGAGCTTCATAAACATTAACTAAATCAATCCCCACAATAGCCCTTTGAGGCAGAGACTGAAGTTACCCCCAATTTACAGATTAGGGAACTGAGGCTTGGAGAACATAAGCAATTTGTCCATTTTCACACAACTTGTTAAGTGATAAAGCCAGGATTCAGATGTAGGCAGTCTGGCACCTAGAAACACATTCTCAACCTCAACAGACAACCTGGGTTCAAGTCTTGTGACCTCTCTGAATCCTCTACTCTTCAGTCATTCAACACAGACTTGTTAAACCACTATTGAGTGCCAAACAGTGTTCTGATTGCTGGGAGAAATGCCAGGGAATGGGAAAGGCATGGGCAGAGCTCAGCAGGGGGTGGCAACACCTGGCATGCCACAAACTCATCACAAGCAGGCCAAATGGTGCTCCCCCAGCTTAGCACCCAGCAACTCAGAGCTGCCACGCCCGCTGGGTTAGCCCAGAGTAACCACGCTGTACCGCTTTCTGCCTGTGCACAGACTGGATCCAGATGGACCAGGGTGAACTCCCAAGCCCTAAACTCCTCTGCCCTTCTACCTATTGGTTATCCCAATCTGGCAAAATGCCAACCATGAGTCATCCTGCCTTTGCTCTTGTGTCTATAAGGAGGGCTGCAGGGGACATCTGTGGTAGGACAGAGCAGTGCCTGGCAAATCATCCTCACCAATGACTTCTCAGCGAATGCACTTTTTTGGTTAACTTGTTCCCCATGCCTCACCTCTCTCAGACTGTTCCTTCTTCCAGGAAGCCCTCTCTGATACCCCGGACCAGGTGTGCCCAGTGACATGCTCTTATAGCCCATGTCATCACCATTCCTGCCCCTTTCAAAGGTGTAATTTCACATTTACTTTGGTGATTCTTTGACTGATGTCAGTTTCCCCCGACTAGATTGTAGCCCTCCCCAGCTCAGGGACCTTGACTTGGCCCAAACTTCTGCTCAGAGCTTTGGCATTGGCCATTCCCTCAGAGTGCTTGTCCCCAGCTGTCTGCAGGGCTCACTCCCTCAGGTCTTTGCTCAAATAGCCAATTCTCAGCGAAGCCAGCCTGGCCAGGCTATTTAGCACTGAAGATCTTCTCTCCTGACACTCTTCTCCCCCTTTCAGGGCTTTCTTTTTCTCTGCAACAGCCACCACCTTCTAGCATACGATGTGACTGACTTGTTTATTTTGTTGTCTGTCTCTCTACACCAGGGCAGAAGCCCCACGAGAAGAGGGATTTTTGTCCTGTGGAAAAGTGCACCCAAAATATGTTGAATGAATGAATTACTGCATACCAAGATCTCAAGCTTTGGACTGCCTGCTACTTCAAACCTAATCAGCTGGGTGAGAAGTGGTAGTTGAAGAGAAGAAATTTCCCAACAATTTCCCTTCTTCTATTCCGTATCTGCTACACCTTCCCCACATGCACACATTAACACATACTTGCATGCCTACCTACTCACAGAAGGCCACCTCTACTGTGGGATATGGCAAAGACTGTAAAAATTTGGGGTTTGAAAGAATCCTGAGAGAGCATCTCACCCAACACCTTCATTTTATTGAGGAAGAAACAGGCCCAGAGAGGAACCTGGACTTGCTTGAGGCCATTTATGAGTGGGGCTGGAGCTACACCCAAGTCTCCAAATTCTCTTTGGGTCCCTATACCCATCCCTCACCCAACACAAAGGGTTCCTGGTGGCTCCGAGCTCCTTATTGCCCAATGGACCAGAAGAGCACTAGTGATATGCCAGCTGCAAGCCTGGGGAAGCTTCTCCGCCTCGCACTGGAAAGCTCCCTCCAGCCCCACAGCCCAGCAGACAGGGAGAGGGCAAGCAGGACAGCCAACTGATTATTGCTTCTCTCCCCCACTGCAGGCAGATGAAGGGGACAGAGAAGCTGCAGGGCTCCTTCAGAATCCCAGCACGTCATGGTTGGAAGGGACCTCAGTGTGCTCCCCCCATGGCCCTCTCCATCACATTGTACAGATGAAGAAACAGCTCAAGACAGGGAGGGACTTATACAACATCACACAGCAAGTCGGTGTTGGATCCCAGACGTGAAACCCAGGTCTCCTGACTCCCAGCTCCAGGCCATTTTCTGTTTTCTTTTTTTTTGAGATAGAGTCTCATTTCGGTTGCCTGGGCTAGAGTGCCGTGGCATCAGCCTAGCTCACAGCAACCTCAAACTCCTGGGCTCAAGTGATACTTCTGCCTCAGCCTCCCGGGTAGCTGGGACTACAAGCATGCGCCACCATGCCCGGCTAATTCTTTTTTCTATATATTTTTAGTTGGCCAATGAATTTCTTTCTATTTTTAATAGAGACAGAGTCTTGCTCTTGCTCAGCCTGGTTTTGAACTCCTGACCTTGAGCAATACGCCCACCTCGGCCTCCCAGCGTGCTAGGATTACAGGCGTGAGCCACCGCGTCCAGCCCATTTTCTGTTTTCTAAGCCCTGCAGAAGGTTCAGATGGTTTCTGACTTTTGGCGCGGGGATAGGAGGGTGACTGAAGACTCATGAAGTGGCCCAAGGAAATTCCATCTCCCTTCCCCCCTGCCTAGGGCCTTGCTCCAAGGACCTCAAGGCCATAGGACCCTATAGCATATAGGGGTCAGGGGCAGAAACATGTGAATCTTTGCAGCCTTCCCCTCCGTTGCCTATTCTAGGGAGTTATGCTTCTGTCTCCTGTCCCAGCTGGGATGCTCAGGTAATGAGTGTGGGACAGAGGTGGAGGAGCTGGGAAGGCTTTACTGATTTCCATGGGCGGGGGAGGAGATCAAAAGCAAGTAAACACATGCAGGAGATAATGCGGAGTTGTGGTAAGCGCTGCTACTAAAACAGGGCAAGGGCCCAGCCAGAGACCACAGGGTGGGGTGGGGGCAGAGAAGGCCTAGCTGAGGAAGGGCAACTGCAGCTGACCCCTGAAGGAGAGAAGAGCCACCATGTGAGAAGTGGGAAGACCGTGCAAAGATCCCTAGATGGGAGAGCAAGTGGCAGGTACAACAGGCTATCAGGGGAGGAGATGGGTGGAGGGGCTCCTACAGGTTCAGGGTAGAGTTTGGATTTTATGGCAACCACTGAAGCATGTAAACAAGAGAGAGGCATGACACAATCACATGTACCCCATCGATATGTACAATTATGATGCATCAATAATTTTTTTTATTTGTTTGCTTTTTTGTTTTGAGACAGAGTCTTGCTTTGTTACCCAGGCTAGAGTGAGTGCCATGGCATTAGCCTAGCTCACAGCAACCTCAATCTCCTGGACTCAAGCAATCCTTCTGCCTCAGCCTACCAGGTAGCTGGGACTACAGGCATGCACCACCATGCCGGGCTAATTTTTTCTATATATATTAGTTGGCCACTTAATTTCTTTCTATTTATAGTAGAGACGGGTCTCGCTCTTGCTTAGGCTGGTTTCGAACTCCTGACCTCGAGCAATCTGCCCGCCTCGGCCTCCCAGAGTGCTAGGATTACAGGCGTGAGCCACAGCGCCTGGCCAATAATTTTTTTTTTCACTTTTTTTTTTTTTTATTTCGGCATATTATGGGGGTAAATAATTTTTTTTAAATGAGGCTGGAGGGCAAGGGGCTCAGGGACAAATCTATCCTCTGCACTACTGAAGACCAGAGTAACGCACAGACCAGCCCTACAGGAACGAAGGGATGCCCAGGACACTTCAAAGAACCACAGAGCAGGCCCGGCGCGGTGGCTCATGCCTGTAATCCTAGCACTCTGGGAGGCCAAGGCGGGTGGAGGTCGAACTCCTGCTCGAGGTCAAGAGTTCGAAACCAGCCTGAGCAAGAGCGAGACCCTGTCTCTACTATAAATAGAAAGAAATTAATTGGCCAACTAATATACATAGAAAAAAAACCTAGCTGGGCATGGTGGCACATGCCTGTAGTCCCAGCTACTCAGGAGGCTGAGGCAGGAGGATCACTTGAGCCCAGGAGTTTGAGGTTACTGTGAGCTAGGCTGACCCCACGACCCTCACTCTAGCCTGGGCAACAAAGCGAGACTCTGTCTCAAAAAAAAAAAAAAAAAAAAAAAAGAACCACAGAGCCTTGGTACTGTGGAGAACGAGGGGTCAGCGAGTCCTTCCACTTTCACACGTGGGACTTGGGGCCCAGGGTAAGGGGAAGATCCACTGAGGAACCCCTTTCTTTCACACAGTCTGGGGTCTTATAAAAATGCACATAACCGCGAACTACCCTCAATCTACCGTTCTAAAACTTTTCCAGCGCTTCCTAGTAGTGCCCCTCGGCATCTGGCAGCCCCCTCCCCTCCCCAGGGGCGCAGAGCCCACGCACCGCTAAGCCTTTACTCTTGCTCTTCCCTCTGCCTTCTACCCCTTTCTGCCTGAAGAACCTTTTCTTCTTCCTTCAAATATCAATGAAGAGAACCAATAAAGGATCCTCAAAGCCAGAACGAACAAGCCACCTTCCACCCTTGGCTCCTGCAGCAAGTTGCTTTGACTTCTTTTTACAGCTGGTGACTGCTGCTTGTGTCCGAGTCCCCAGCCCGGACTGGGTGCGGACGGTCTTGCTTCTACCCTGTATCCCCGTACAGACGTCCAGAAACGTGTTCTAAGTTAGTGACCAGGAGGGCTTGCCCCTACATCTCCGACTCCGAGCCCAGTGCTCGGTCCACTGCACCAGGCGCCTCGAGCCCTGGGGCTGCGTCCTCACTGCTCTTCGCGTTGCGGTGCGCAGCCGCCGCGCGCCCGGCCGAGCGGCCCAGCACCCGGGGCGCGGGAGGGTCAGCGGCAGGACTGGAGAGCCAGAAGCGAACCGCAAGCGCGCCCGAGTCGCGTGATAGGGGCCCAGCCCCGGAAACGGACTCGGTCACCTGACAGCGGGTCTGTGAGCGTTTTTCTCACGTGACGGAGGCGCCGGTGTGTGGACCAATAGACAGGCGGGGGCGGGGCGGCCAGGGGCAACGCGCGCTAAGGGAACCGGGTCCGGCGGCCGCCGCGACCGGCTGGGGCTACTTGTCGCGGGCCAGCCGCCTGCCTCGGCCCGGTCGCAGGCTAGGCCCGGTTCGGAGCGGCGCCAGCATGAAGTGCCTGGTCACGGGCGGCAACGTGAAGGGTGAGTTTGCGTCGGCCTGGTGGCGGGGACATGTGAGCCGGCCCGAGGCTCCAGCCTGACCCCTTTTCTGCTCTCCCCGCAGTGCTCGGCAAGGCCGTCCACGCCCTGTCCCGTATCGGGGACGAGCTCTACCTGGAACCCTTGGAAGACGGGGTGAGGGGCTGGGGTATGAGGGGTGGGATGCCAACCGGGAGCCAGTAACCTGGACTCAAGTCTCGCTTCCAGCAGGCAGTGTAACTGTGGGCAGATTTGTCTGCTGAGTTTCAGTTTCCTCCCCAGTTGTGGGACATCAGCTTGGGCCTTGTGATCTTCCCAGACCGGTGTGTGAATTGAAGGCAGTGGGGTGGCGTGGACTTAAGGATAACTAGGGGGAAGGGCAGAGTGTGCGGACCCTTGACGGTGGGAGCAGTGCTGAGACTGCAGAATTCATGAGAAGATACTAGCTGACTCCAAGGAGGAGGGTTTCACCAGGTGTTGGTGGAGCGGGAGGACGTTAGGGCAAGTGTGCAAGCAAATGCAGGCTGCAGGGCTGTGCCCCCACACCACATCCCTGTCCCTGCTTTTCTGCTTTTCATGGCCCAGCTCTCCCTCCGGACCGTGAACTCCTCCCGCTCTGCCTATGCCTGCTTCGTGTTGGCCCCGCTCTTCTTCCAGCAGTACCAGGCCATCACCCCTGGTCAGGACCTGCTGCGCTGTAAGATCCTGATGAAGGTGAGACCCTTTCCTCAGCAGTGGCACTGTCCCAACTGAGGAACCTCCACCAGCTGTGCCTCTGCTCTGGGGCACACAGCAGATCCTAATGGGGAAGAGAGACATGCAGGAGCAATCCCATGCAAAATGCAGTGAGGGACTGGGCACAGTGGCTTACGCCTATAATCCCGACACTGGAAGGGAGAAGGATCAATTGAGGCTGGGAGTTTGAGATCAGCCTGAGCAACATAGCAAGACCCTGTCCCTACAAAACGTAAAAAATTAGCCAGGCATGGTGCATGCATCTGTAGTTCCAGCTCCTTGGGAGGCTGAGGCAGGAGGATCGCTTGGACCCAGGAGTTTGAGGTTGCAGTGAACTATGATGACACCGCTATATTCTAGCCCTGGCGACAGAGCTAGACCTTATGTCAAAAAAATTAAAATGCATGGAGGGGCATAGTAAAGACATCCACAGAGGGACATAAGAGGGTGGGGACATTCAGGTTGTCATAAAAGGTAAGCAGTCTTTTGAAGCATTTCAGGCAGAGGGAAGAGCATAAACAAGGCTAGGAAGTATGTCATGGGAGCCCCTTTCTCAGTGTTACATGATGGGCCGAGGCCTACATGGAATGTGAGAGCTGGCTGGTGGAGGCACAGTGCTGGGCTGATATGTCTTCCCCTACTCAGTCCTTCCTGTCCGTCTTCCGCTCGCTGGCGATGCTGGAGAAGACTGTGGAAAAATGCTGCATTTCCCTGAATGGCAGGAGCAGCTGCCTGGTGGTCCAGCTGCACTGCAAGTATGGTGAGTGGGCAGCTCATCAACCAGAGGGTCCCTAAGTTGAGGGAGATCACTGAGGCCCACTGAGACCCTGTCTGCCCATCCAGGGGTGAGGAAGACTCACAACCTGTCCTTCCAGGACTGCGAGTCCCTGCAGGCCGTCTTTGACCCAGCCTCGTGCCCCCACATGCTTCGCGCCCCAGCACGGTGAGCACACCCCAGTGACAAGCTCAGCCCTGGGTCTCTCTCTTCCTTACTTGGGGCCTCAAGGGCCAATTTAGGAAAGCATCTCCCCCATTTTCCCTACGGAGTTTCTGTGAACCTCAAAGACATCATACATCCCAGTGTGTGCTCAGGTCCTTGTTTGGCTCTTTAGTGGCAGAGGCTGGCAAGGATGAGGGCAGTGCCCTCTTGTTCCATTCTCCTTGTCTTTATGACCCTGTAATTTCCATCTCAAAGTCTGGCTGGCTTTCTGGCCAATCACACCCATTTTAATTCCTCTTCTAGAGAGCACATCCCTGACCTGCCATCAGATTTCTTGTGTGGCCTGAGTAACCTTGAAGGTCTGTCCTTAACCTTGTGGCTTAAAGGTTCAAAATCCAGCCTGGCCATCCTTCTAGAGGTGTTGCCCATCCATGGGCAGCCTCTCTTCCTAACCTCCTGCGATCCAGATTTGAGGAGTCCCCAGGCCAAGGCAGGAGGCTGGGTGGGGGTGTCATACACCAGGAAGGCTGCCTGAACACTCAGCCTTGGGGGATACACTGGGCAGTCAGAGCACAGGGCTGTCCAGGGCCGGGGAAATGGGGACTCCAGTGGAAGCAAGGGCCCCTGGCAAGGACCAGCTCAGAGAAGAGGGGGCTCTCGCCCTGCCCCATGCTGGACGCTGCATTCAAGTAGCCTGAGTTCCTGTTCATTTCTCATGGTGACTGAAAGTCCCTTTGGGTCCTGGCATGTTTCTCCAGGTTCTGTTGAGCTAACACTGCTCAGGACTCTCTTGGGTAGTGAAAGAGGAGAGGCTATCACCTTGGTCTGCAGTGTTGTTTTTTTTCACTCACTCACTTCCTCTATTTTTTTTTTAAATGAGTAATTGTTTCTTTTTCTTATGGACAGTTTCAAATACGTATAAAAGTAGTTGCCAGCTCTTGTCTGCAATTAACTTGAGGCAAATTCCAGTCACTTCCTCTTTATAGCAGTGTGTATCCTTAGAAGACAAAGACTCTTTCTGAAGGCTCAGTTTGTAGGGATAGCGTGAGTGTGGTGTTCCAACTCTGTGTGGCTAGGTTTAGCCAGCCTGTCCTCCTTGCTGCCTGCTCTGGGCTCTGTTCTTGTCCTCTTGTCTGCCTTATCCCTTCTCTCACACCCTGGGAACTTCTGACAGAGCCGGGACCACATCCTGCTCATTCTGTCCTCACCTTCCCAGGGCATGCAAGGCGCATGCACGTGCATGGTCAGCACCCTGCCTCTGGTCCTCTGAGAGCAGAGGCCCTGGGCAGGACCAGGCATTCTGTATAATGCTCTGCCCTCCTCACAGGGTCCTGGGAGAGGCTGTTCTGCCCTTCCCTCCTGCACTGGCTGAAGTGACACTGGGCATTGGCCGTGGCCGCAGGGTCATCCTACGCAGCTACCAGGAGGAGGAGGAGGCAGGTGAGGAGCCAGGGTGGCCTGGGACAGAGCAGAGCTGAGCATGGAGGGGGCTGGGGCCCAGGTTCCTAGGTTCCTCCTGTTCCTGCCCCCACAGACAGCACTGTCAAAGCCATGATGACTGAGATGAGCATTGGGGAGGAGGATTTCCAGCAGCTGCAGGCCCAAGAAGGGGTGGCTGTTACTTTCTGCCTCAAGGAATTTCGGGTGAGCTTCCCCGCCATGCACTCACTGTCCTGTCCTCCCTCCCCAGCCCAGGGCCTCACCCCACTGTTTCTTTCCTCCCAGGGGCTCCTGAGCTTTGCAGAGTCAGCAAACTTGAATCTTAGCATTCATTTTGATGCTCCAGGCAGGTAATTCCCAGTCTGGGGACAAGGGATGGGGAAGGCCCTGGGATGCCAGGAGCTCAATGGAATGACCTAGCTTGGGGCCCCTGTCCCCTGCCCAGACCAGCCATCTTCACCATCAAGGACTCTCTGCTGGATGGCCACTTTGTCTTAGCCACACTCTCAGAGACTGACCCACACTCCAAGGACCTAGGCTCCCAGGAGCTCCATCAGCCAGTGCCTCAGCTTCAGGATTACAGGTGAGGGCACCTGCCTACCCACCCCTCCTCTCTGTGCACCCCAGCCTGAGCCTGCAGCCTCTGCCCCTCCCCCTAACACACTCTCCTGTTGGGCCCCCACCTCTACAGTGCTCACAGCTTCCAGTCCTGCAGGCTCAGCCTTCACGGTCAGCTGTACTGAGACCCCTCCCACCTAGAGAAGCATCCCCAAGGTCCTGCTGGCTTCCTTGTCTGGCTGAGGCCTCCCCTCTGAGCCTCCTTCCAGGCCAAGGAGGGAAGGGCTGCTGGGAGCAGGGAGCTGCCTGGAGTGGGGGAAGCAGGTGGCTGGAAGGGCAGGTGGGTTGGGGAGGAGGGGCCCAGTGTCGTTCAAGCAGAGGAAGTTTGGTCTGGCCCCCTGCCCAGCTTGTCCCTGGGCGCCAGTGCTCTCCAGTTCCTGTCCCCTGGGAAGGTGGGGGGCTTGGGCCTCAAGTGGCCCAGCTCACATGACTGGCTTCTCCCTTCCCCCAGCTGAGCTAAAGTAGACCCCAGGATGCCTCCCTTAGGCCCCTACCTGAACTCTGATCAAAGGGATTCCAGGCCCACCCCCTCCAGGAAGCCACCACTTAACCCCAGCATCCTCTCCTTTCCAACCAAATCAGGAAGTAATAAAACCATGAGAGAGCACCAGCAGTCATGAGGCCCTGGATCCCCCTCTGAGCCCTCCCAGGTGGGGCCCTTCCTCTCTCCTCTCCCTCTTCCTCACTGGCACTGTTTCTGCCTGCAGCACATCCCACCTGGATGACTTTGCCAATGACGACATTGACTCTTACATGATCGCCATGGAAACCACCGTAGGCAGTGAGGGCTCACGGGTGCTGCCCTCCGTTTCCCTTTCACCTGTCCGTCAACTCTCCCACAGCCCTGACCCCCACTCAGAGGAAGACGAAGCTGAGCCCAGTACAGTGCCTGGGACTCCCCCACCCAAGAAGGTAGGGGCTGGAGGTGGGGGCAGGGGATGGGAAGTGAGGAAAGGAGCAGCCCCCAGAACTCTCTTTTCTCTTTCCAGTTCCGCTCGCTGTTCTTTGGCTCCATCCTGGCCCCTGTACACTCCCCCCAGGGCCCCAGCCCTGTGCTGGCTGAAGACAGTGAGGGTGAAGGCTGAACTGAGAACTTGAAGTCTGTGTCCAGAGGCCCTGGACTAGGTGTAGCCCCAGCCCTGGAGGGTCGTAGAGGTGGGCTTGCTGGAGCCAAGCCGGTTCTGCTCCCTCCACAGCCCCTGCCTGGCTGCCCACCATGCACCGTGGAGCTGCCTGGCCTGAGTCCTATTATCACCCCCACCCCCCAACCAATCATGTCTGTTCCCACACCTGGCCTTGAGCTACTATCTGACAGGAGGTTCCTCACCTCTTATAAAACACTGAGCCTTAGGCCAGACTCCAACCACCTGGCTGGAGTGGCCGGAAACCTGTCTTCCTCAGACTCACCTTTATAAGAAAAAAACCTGGCCCCACTGATTCACTTCTGCCAATCATGCCTGTTTCTTCCTCAAGTGCTGCGCAAACCCCTGGGACCCCATGTGGATGACGCAGACTATTTTTCTTGCATTCCCAATACTCTATCCCTGGCTTGGAATTCTAAGAGCCTCTGGGGCCCAGCAACCCCGCACCCTCCAGTGGCTCTGTGCAGAAGGGCTGCCAGGCCCAGTGTTTGGAACAAGGGAGACAGAGGCCATGGCGAGAATCCAGCTTTGACCTTTATTCAAGAGACCAGATGGGTTGCCCCAGGATCCGGCTGCCAGCCCTGAGGCCAAGCAAGGCTGGAGACCCACAATCTGGCCTGCCATTGCCCTGAGCTGCAGACTTGGCCCCAGGATCCTGCTTGCAGCCACCACAGGCAGGAGGGAGCCCTGGGGGATTGGACGCTGCTATCGATTCATTAAAAAAAAGAAAAATACACCAAGGCTCCACGTTCCCCATGATGGGTGGGCCCTAGGGCCCCGTGTGACCCCCCCCCATGGCAACATTTCTGTACAATTAATCCATCATCTGGGGCAGAGGGGCAGCACACGGGGGCTATTTCTTGGATTTGGCGGAATTGCGGGGTGGGGTGATAGGTCGGCCACCGGGGTTCAGGCCACTGAACTGCCCATATTTCCCCTTGTTCTTGTCGGCGGGCTTGAGGATCTAGAAGAGACAAAGCCAGTCAGGCTCACGGGGCTCAGCCCCAGGACCTGCCAGCCCCTTGCTTCCCCACACCCACCTGGAAGGAGCACATGAGGGTCTCATCCACACTCATCATGGCACCAGCGTTGTCAAACTCGCCACAGTAGTTGGGAGCTGAGAAAAGTGTCACCAGCTGCCGTTTGGCAAAGAACTCATAGCCATCTTCTACCACCTGGACAAGGATGGGAGCAGTTAGTTCCGCAACTACAGGCCTGGCGTTCCCCACCCCTGCCCAGACCAGAGTCCGCCAGCCCACCTGGTGCGCTCGGCAGATGAGGTCCAAGTCGTGCTTGTGCAGGAACTTGGCAACCACCTCTGCTCCAAAGGTAAAGGAGACGCCACGGTCATTCTCACCCCAGCCCTGCACATCTTTGTCGGGGTCAGACCACAGCAGGTCGCACAGCAGGCCCTGGTCAGGCACGTCTGTGGGCCGCATGATGCGCCGTATCTGCTCCATGGACTGCAGGTCTGGAGACAGGCCTGAGGGGCACCAGGGACAAGTCACTTCCTCAACAAGCCTTAAAACAAGGATCTCCCTCCTCCAGGAAGCATTTGCCAATCAGCCTTACCCTTCCCACCACCCCTTCACCCCTCTCCTGGGCTCCCCAGAGCCCAGGCAGGCAGAAGTCCATCGCCTTCCCTTCGGCTTTGCAAGTCCCCAAACACAATCACAAAGACATCCCTGCCCTCAAGGAGTGGACAGCTGCCTGGAGAAAGGACACAAGTAAATTCCATGCAGGATGGCGAATGCCATGACAGGGAGGCGAGTGCAGACTGACGCAGTGGGGTGTGGGGGAAACTTCCTGGAAGGAGTGGCATCCACGAAAAGACCCAAGGGAGAGCTGTTCCAGGCAACTGGGAATGTGTCCTCCAGCTAACAGCATCCTTCCAAGGCCCAGGGAATGTGGCCAGGGATCCTTCCCAGGCCTTCCCTGAGTCTGTGCCCCAGAGCCACCCTCACCTCCGTGGCAGCAGAAGATCTTCTCATCTACGATGGCTGCGATGGGCAGGCAGTTGAAGCAGTCAGTGAAGGTTTTCCACAGTTTGATGTTGTAGCGTCTCTTACCTGCCCGGGGGAAGGAGCAGCTCGTGGAAGGCCTGCCTACCCTCGCCCACCCCCAGCCTGGTCTCAGGCCTTCCAGGGAACTTTGGGGGCTACTCAAATACAGCTGGAAAAAGTAAGGCAAGGAGGGCTCAAATCCCCTACTACCTACCAGCCTCCCAATAGTTCTAAAGCACTGAAGTACTTAGGAAGCCAAGTTCCAACCTGGACCAACCTCGGGGCTGGGACCCACCTCCACCCCATGAGCAGGGCCAGGCCAAGACTGGGTCTGATTTATCTCAGCTTCTGGACAGCAGAGTCCAGTCCACATAGGCATCCTGAGTGCTTACAGCAAATGTACTGGAGGGGATTGTCACCAGGCAGGGTCCTGGGGGAATGCACTAGAACCCAGGCAGCCCTCCAGTCAGCAGCCATTCACCAGACCCCATGCCAGCCAGGGAGCACAGGGCAGACAGATATGAACTGACCCAGGCTCTGCCCTCATAGAGCTCACAGTCCAGTAAGTATCTCAGATATTGAAGTTGCTGCTGCCAGGCCAATGTGAAGGTCCCACTGAACAGAAGTGCAGTTCAGGACCTGGGCAGCCTCTGGACACTCAGACCACTCACACTCATCGTAGAAACCGTAGATACGGTTGATGCTGGCACACTCATGGTTCCCACGGAGCAGGAAGAAATTCTCAGGGTACTTGATCTTATAGGCTAGCAGCAGGCAGATAGTCTCCAAAGACTGCTTGCCCCGGTCCACATAGTCCCCCAGGAAGAGGTAGTTGCTCTCTGGAGGGAAGCCACCATACTCGAACAGCCGCAGAAGGTCATAGTACTGGCCATGGATGTCACCTGTGACCCAGGGAACCATAAGCTAGGTGCACGGTCTAGACTCGAAACCAGAGCCAGTATTGGGCTCAAAGGAAGAGGAAACCAGAAACGTTGGGGGACCGATGCCACTTTCAGGAAGCCAAGGGGGCCGGGGCAGGGGGCTCACCACAGATCTTGAGGGGTGCCTCCAGCTCCAAAAGAATGGGCTGGCTCAGGAAAATCTCCCGGGATTTGAGGCACAGACCACGGATCTCATTTTCTGTCAGCTGTACATTCTTTCCAGGCCGTGAGCCCTGCACTGGGGGTAGAATGGGGGTGTCAGGACCCTGGCCCCTCAGCCAGGAGGGTGGGCGTCACAGGTGACCCCATGGGTAACTAGGGGCTCCTGGGCTTCACGGGCTCCTCCTTGCCTGGAGGTAACTGTTGCTGCTGAGCCTTCGAGATCTCCGCCTCAAACCTCCTAAGGGAAGACCCCAACTACCCTCGAGAGGAGACAGGGCCTGCCACCCAAAACCTCACCGCGCAGGACCCCTTCCAGGGCTAGTCTTCACAGGTTTCTCCTTCAACCCAAGAGCCAGGCCAACCCGTGTGCCCCGGCCCAGGAGCGGGGGCTGCTCGCATGTCGGAGCGGGCCCCAGACCTCTCAGGCGCGCCCGCGAATGGGGGGGGCGGCTGTGGACACGGGACCTCGCGGCCTGTCCCCGCCCAGTCTAAGCTGGCCCGGGAAGGGCAGGCCCGCCCGCGCGCCACTTCCGGGCCGGGCAGGGGGCCAGGGCGCGGCAGGCGCGGACCTTCCCCGCCCCGGCCAACCTTCCAGCAGGCGCCCGATGATAGAGTCCAGGTTGAGCTTCTCGCTGTCGGACATGGCGGCGCCGCCGCTCTGGCCCACCAGCTCCGGGCCCGCTCCTGCCTCCCGCCCGCCGGCAGCCTCCTTCCGGCCTGGCTCTCCTTCCGCCCGCCCCAGTCGCCCCCGGCCCGCCGCCCCGCCTCCTCGGCCTCCCGGCCCCGCCCCGGCCCGCCCTCCTCGCGCTCTAGCGCCTCCACTGACTGCAAAGAGCAGCGGCCGGCCGCGGCGCCCCGGGAGGCGGGGCCTCAGGCGACGGGGCGGGGCCAGGTGATGGCTGGTGGGCGGGGCGAGGTTGAATCTGGTTCCGCCCTTTGAGAGTCTCCCAGCCCCGTTCTGAGGGTATGGGACCGGAAGTACTATAGAAGTTGTTTTTCTCTTTCAAGCACTAAATAGTCCTTCCCACCCCTGCTCTGGGTAAGATGGTGGTGTGAGCATAGTATCGTCTCCTCAAACGCTACAGATGAAGTCTTCGAAGTGCAGAAAAGGAAACTGAGGCTCACAGATAGCAATGGCTTGTCAAGACCTCACGTTCCAGGAAGATGCCTTCCTCCTGGGTCGCTGTAGTCCCCAGAAGGCTGAGTGCATTTTGGTCCACACTGCCTTGGGGCCTACTAAATTAATATTTTCTTGTAAGTCCCATAATTACCTTTTGAGTAACGTAATCATATTGCATTGTGCGCATGTTAAAAGTGTGACTTTGTAAAGAGCAAACATTATTTTATTTTTTTTTTTGAGACAGAGTCTCGTTTTGTTGCCCAGGCTAGAGTGAGTGCTGTGGCGTCAGCCTAGCTCACAGCAACCTCAAACTCCTGGGCTCAAGCAATCCTCCTGCCTCAGCCTCCTGAGTAGCTGGGACTACAGGCATGCGCCACCATGCCTGGCTAATTTTTTTCTATATATATTAGTTGGCCACTTAATTTCTTTCTATTTATAGTAGAGACGGGGTCTCGCTCTTGCTCAGGCTGGTTTCGAAATGCTGACCTCGAGCAATTAGCCCGCCTTGGCCTCCCAGAGTGCTAGGATTACAGGCGTGAGCCACCGAGCCTGGCCCATTATTTTAAATAAACCATAATTCTTATTGAAACCCTGAGTTGGGTGCTTTACACACCAGTATTCTCGAAAATGGAGGTGGCCTGGCCTCACTACCTCTGGCAGGCCTTGGACCATCACACCCAGCACAGGATCCGAAGCCCGAAGCTGCCCAAGGGGAGGGTGGGAGGAGCCCATGGCTCAGGGGCACTGGGGCAGGCAGGAAGAGCCTCAGAGGAAAGGGTAACCCCCCCCACTAGGGAGGGGCCCCCAGCTGGTTGCTGAAGCTGTGTGTGAGGAGGAAGTGAGAGGAGGAGGTGAGGTGCTGCGGGGAGGTGAGCTGGGCTGATGGGGACGGGCTGGGCCTGGCCTTTCTGTCACTGCAGGGTCTAGCCCTCCACCCCAATAAAAGAGGACACTTGGGGGCTAGATTAGATACACTGAAGCCTTCCTCGTCTGACCCCCCCAGCCAGGCTGGGGCTGGGAACTGGCTGGATGGGAATGCAGCCCCCAGGCTGGCCAGGAGTGGCCCTTCACACCGGGTCTCCCCATGTTTCTCAGCCTGTGGCATCCAAAGTCTGGGCACCATGGCCCAGGCCCTGGGGGAGGACCTGGTGCAGCCTTCTGAGCTACAGGATGACTCCAGCTCTTTGGGATCCGACTCTGAGCTGAGTGGGCCCGGCCCGTATCGCCAGGCTGACCGCTATGGCTTCATTGGGGGCAGCTCAGCAGAGCCAGGGTAAGTGGGGCAGGGGTGGGGCGGGCGGGATGCCGGTATTAAGGATGGGGTCTGAGAGCTGAATTTTGGAGTGAGGCCCAACTTCAGGAGCCTGGGAAGGGTCTGGCAGTAGGGACTGGGCTGGGGACTCAGCCAGTATCACCCTCCTCAGGCTCCAGGCAGCATCTTAAGGTAGGAAGGACTGGGGGCTGGAAGGGGGTGTCTCTGTATGTCTCTGATCCCCAACCTCCAAGGGTTTGCATCCTCTTCTGGGGCTGGGCTTCCTTTCCCTTTTAATTTTGGGCCCAGGAATCCCAGGTCCAAATCATAGAACCCATACCTCCTCCCCTCTCCTCCCCAAGGTACAGAAAGGAAAACAAGCCCAGATACTGACAGAAACTTGCCCCAGGTCACACAGCAAATCAGGGGCAGAACCAGACTCAAATTTAGGACTCCTAGCTTCTAGTCCAGGGCTCTATGAATTGTCTGTGTCCTTGTCCTTGGTGACAGCCAACCAGCCCCACCCCCAACACACACCCACTCACTCCTTCAGTCCTGTTTCTGCCCACATTGGAGCCACATCCTTTCCTGTCCCCATGACAACCACTAGCAGCTCCTGGGTCACAGGTCACTCCGCAGGGCTCCCCAGAAATCCCAAGGGCCAGGAGCTGGGCTCACTTGGGTAGCATGGAGGGTGGCAGGTATGGGCTGAAGGTAAAAACAGCTGCCCAGCACCTGGGTATCTGTTCCATGTGCTGCCAGGCCAGGTCACCCCCCTGCAGACCTAATCCGCCAACGGGAGATGAAGTGGGTAGAGATGACCTCACACTGGGAGAAAACCATGTCACGGCGTTACAAGAAGGTGAGAGGGAGAGGGGCCCCGCCCAGGCCTCCTAGGCTCATTTCCTCCCGGGCCCACACTTTTGCTCCCTGCCACCCAGAGTGGCGCCTGCCAGCAGGAGCCAATGGGGCTGAAGTAGGGAGCTTCCCGGCACTCCCCACAGGTAAAGATGCAGTGTCGCAAAGGCATCCCCTCGGCCCTGCGGGCCCGCTGCTGGCCCCTGCTGTGTGGGGCCCATGTGTGTCAGAAGAACAGCCCTGGCACCTACCAGGTGAGGGAGTGGGCAGGGGTCCCACCTCCCCTTCCCAGAGCCCCCCCATACTGATCCCTCACACCCACCTTCCTGCCCGCCCACCCACAGAAGCTGGCAGAGGCCCCGGGAGACCCACAGTGGATGGAGACCATTGGCAGGGACCTGCATCGTCAGTTCCCTCTGCACGAGATGTTTGTGTCACCCCAGGGCCATGGGTACGAAGCCAGTGGTGCCCAGGGACCCCCATGCCCCACTGGGTATTTGGGCCCAGTCTCCCCCGTCCCGTGTTACAGCCTTGCATCTCAGGGGACCCAGCAAGGCCCTGGGAGGCTGGGGCCTGGGCAGAGGCCCCCAGAGAGTGGGGAAGGGATGCCCGGAGAACTAGCCCCTAATGGGGTCTTCTGGCACAGGCAGCAGGGGCTCCTGCAGGTACTCAAGGCCTACACCCTGTATCGACCAGAACAGGGCTACTGCCAGGCCCAGGGTCCCGTGGCTGCTGTGCTGCTCATGCACCTGCCCCCAGAGGTGAGTGACCAGGACCTGCTCCAGGAAGCTGAGTCCCCAAACCCTGAACCCTAGGCCCCCAGGGATCCCCAACCCCACAAGCTCTGGCTTCAGGGACCTAGGATCTTTGATTCCTGGACCCTGTCCCAGTGACCCAGAGCCTCATGACCACCAACCTCAGTGACCTTCAAGCCTCACAACCTTCACTCCCGGAGCCTGGGACCTTGACCTCACCCCTTACCCCAGTGGCCAAGGAGTCTGGATATTCATCAGTGACTTGACTCCAGACTACTGATTCTGAACCCTGGGACTCTGACCCCTGACCCCAATGGCCCCAGGAACCCAGGACTTGAACTTTGGGACCCTGCCAACCCTTGCCCAATGAGCCCCAGCCCTGAGGCCCTCAAATCCAATGCCCCGATCCCTGTGACTTCCAACCCCCTAAGCCCATGAGCAGGCCCTGGCTTTTGGAAAGCCCCCACAGGCACTGGGCAGGTTGGGGGGGCACTGAGTCTAGGCTCCTGGCTGTGCCCAGGCCCTCCCCCACCCCCTTTGCCCGTCCTGCCTTCCCTCCCGTGGTCCCTTCCTTGGTGGGCACTACAGGCCTGTGCCCTGTCCCCAGGAGGCCTTCTGGTGCCTGGTGCAGATCTGTGAGGTCTACCTCCCCGGCTACTACGGCCCCCACATGGTGAGAGGCCGGATGGGGGCTGGAGGAAGGGGGGAAGGGGCCTGGCATGCGGGTGGCGGCAGAAAACTGGGGGGTGGGGGGTGGCCGTGCTGGGCGCCGCTGGCCTCCAAGCTCATGGACGCGGCCACAGGAGGCTGTGCGGCTGGACGCCGAGGTGTTCATGGCCCTGCTGCGGCGGCAGCTCCCGCGCGTGCACAAGCACCTGCAGCAGGTGGGCGTCGGGCCCCTGCTCTACCTGCCCGAGTGGTTCCTGTGCCTCTTCGCGCGCTCCCTGCCCTTCCCCACGGTGCTGCGCGTCTGGGACGCCTTCCTCAGCGAGGGTGAGCACGGGACGGGGCCTGGGCGCGCACACGGTGGGGCTTTGCTCGCCCTGCCACTGTCACTCCTGGCGCTTTGGGGGCCTCGCACCTCAGGGCCAGGCGTGCGGAAGGCGTTGGCCGGGCCCTGTGATGCGGGGCGCCAGAGGCAGGACTGGCGCTGCCTGGGGCGGGGCGGGCGGCCGGGGAGGCCTGAGCGCTGGGACTGGGCCAGGCTGGGGCCCTGGGAGGAGGCCAAGCCCTGGCGACAGGGAGCATCTGCGCCAGCAAGACCTTCCTTCCAGCGCGGGTGGGAATGGGAGGCGACAGTAACCAAATTAATAAGATATTTATAGATTGTCATAAGTGCCATGGGGAAAATGAAACGAGGGATGTGACAGAGTGCGAGGGGAGCGGCAGGAGGGGACTGCTGTTTCAAAGCTGCCTGGCTGCTCCGTGGAGGAGGCCTGGAGCCAGGAATGCTGCTGTCCCCAGGGCCAGGCTACAGCGGAGGGACACAGGAGGGAGGGTGTGGGGAGGCAAAGCCAGAGAGGGGGCGCTGGGCCAGGCCAAGAGCAGGAGGGGAGTCAGGCAGGCCCGAGCTGGTCCCCGGGCCCTGCCTCAGTGCCTCCCACCAGCAACCCGCCTGCACTGTTTTCTGTGTGACACCCAGAGGTTGTACCTGAAACGATGGTAGAAATAAACCAGTACATTCACTGAGCACCTACCTACTGCGTGCCTGTGGGCTTCAGGCCAACCCCCCAAACCCCATCCCCATAACACACACACACACACACACACACAGAGCGGAGGACCACCAGCTGGCTTAGAGCTCTGGCCACAGGTGTCCAAGTGGCCATCCATGGGTCACCTCCCCTCCAGCCTTGGACCTGAGGGCAGGGCTGGGCAGAGCTGGGCAGGGCCTGATCAGCTCCATCTGAGGATAAGCCCTGTGCGGGCTCCCTTAAATATCTGCGAAGACACCAGATTGCCCCTTCACAAGTCACAGTTGTCACCAGGCCTCACTGGTCCCCTGGCTGCTCCTCTCAGCAGATCAGAGGTTGCCAGGAAGGGATTTTGAGGCTCCAGGACTGGCTCAAGGTCACGCCGTGGGGAGTGTGCACACACACAAGCATATGCTCTTGGCCCAGGGGTGAGAAACTCTGCCTAGAATCTTTCCAGAATCAGAGCGTCACAGATCCAAGCCGAAAGGCCTTAAAGAGCACCAGCCTGATCTTTCCTCGTGGAGACAAGAAGGCTGAGGCCGGAAGGCTGGTGCGAGGTTGTCAGGAGCCCTGAGACTGATGTGGCCAGTGCAGGGCCCTGCGCCCCGCCAAGTCCAAGCCCATCTTCCCTCATTGCTCCTGGCTTGGGCTGGGGGCAGGGGCAGGTTCAGATATAGACTTGAGGAGGGGCTGGACATGGCGGGCCTCCTGGTGAGTGAGCCCCGGCCTGCAGGTGCCAAGGTGCTGTTCCGAGTGGGGCTGACGCTGGTGCGCCTGGCACTGGGCACCGCCGAGCAGCGCGGGGCCTGCCCAGGGCTCCTGGAGACGCTCGGCGCCCTTCGAGCCATCCCTCCCACCCAGCTGCAGGAGGAGGTCTTCATGTCCCAGGTGGGTGCTCCCTCCCTGCCCCCTGCAATGGCCCAGGCCCTGCTGCACAGCAGGGGAAGCTGAGTCCCAGAGTGGGGAGCCAAAGTGAGAACTGGGGCTCAGTTCCTGTCCTCTGAGCTGCAGAAAACACGAAAACCCCAGGCTTCAAGTGCCTTTCTGTGTTCCCCCAGCGAGGCTGTCTATCAGCCCCTCAGCCCTCAGCCACTTCCTGGGGCTGTGTACTGCCCGCCCCATGGGGACATCATGGTTTCCTGTCCCCACCCCCTGCCCTTCCCAAGTCCGGACAAACTCAGCACCAGCTGCTCCCCACAGGTGCACGGCGTGGCCCTGTCTGAGCGGGACCTGCAGCGGGAAATCAGAGTCCAGCTGGCCCAGCTGCCTGAGTCAGCGCCTGGGCCACCCCCTCAGCCACAGGCCCGCCTTGCTGGGGCTCAGGCCGTCTTTGAGGCCCAGCAGCTGGCAGGGGCGCGAAGGGGCGCCAAGCCTGAAGTGCCCCGAATTGTGGTGCAGCCCCCGGAGGAGCCGCGGCCACCACGGCGCAAACCCCAGACCCGCGGCAAGACTTTCCATGGGCTCCTGACTCGGGCCCGGGGGCCCCCCATTGAGGGTCCCCCCAGGTCCCATCGAGGCTCTGCCTCCTTCCTGGACACCCGCTTCTGAGGGTCCCATGGATTCCGGCGTCCTGATCTCCTGCGTGGCCAGCCCTGCAAATGGGCACTGCACTTTACCGCTGGGGGCTGGGGGCTCGGCCCCTCCCCAGCAAGGCCTGGCGGTGCAGGAGGAGCCCCCATGTCACAAACTGTGTCAGGCACAGAGATGAAGGAAGATCCCAGAGTGGGGCTGTGTGGACCCAAGCCAGCTACCTGCCGGTGAAGCTGTCCTGGTGCCTGGACCCTCACACGCACCCAGGCCAGCACCCAGGGAGTGGGACGGAGAGGCGGCCGCTGGGCCGAGGGACCCCAAAGAGCTCCTGGAATAAAGTCTGACTGAGCAGAGGCCTGGACTGAATTGGATCTAACACCCTCCACCCAACCCTAGACGAGAGGCCCCTGCCCCTCCTCCCCTGCCCCACCCTCCCAGCCCCGCCCTGGGGACACACCAGGGCTGCCCACTGGCTGCTGGGGAAGGTGTTTACCAGCCCAGGAGCCGGGTGCTGCCTCGCCCAGCCTCCTAGGGACAGCCTAGGAGGACAGAGCCTCCTAGGCTCTCGCACCTATGGGAGGAGGGCTCCCCAGTGGATGCCGGCCCCTCCCTCCCTGCCCCCCAGACTGGTTCAGGCCTCCCCAGGGTGGGGGACTCCCCAGGGTGGGGGACTCTAATCCAAGTCCACCCCACCATGGTCCTGATCACATCTGTCAAAGAGAGTCAGGCAAAGACAAAGGCCTAGTGTGCCCAGGACAAAGGAGAAAGGTCCCGCTGGCCCTTGCTCCCCCAAGCCCTGGAGGCGCTCCTTCGGGATGGCCACCATGGAAACCTCCTCCCACACTCACTAATTGCCTCCGTGGGTGCCTGGAGCGCGAACCATCGCCGGGACAACGGGGCTGGTTCCGATGCAGCTGCGTCCCCACAGTGCCTGTTCCTGGGCGCCCCCCTCCCTTCCCGCAGGGAGCACGGAGAGCAGACGTCTCGGAGGCCGAGGGTCCACGGTGGACCGTCAGGGGAGTGTTCAATCTGCCCGTCCCAGTGGCTGTGCTGAAGCATTGCCCTGGCCGCGTCAGAGTCTGGATTTGGAATGTTGTAGTGACAGGGCCACGGGCTGCAGAAATGCACTCACGTTCATGCGGCACCTGCTATGGGCCTGGTCAGGCCCTGGGGCCAGAGCAGAGCTGTCCCAATCCCGAGGAGTCGACCACCTGGAGGAGGGGATCATGGGATCCATTTGTATCTGGAGTTTCCTGGGGGGAAACTGAGGTTCGGGAGGGGAGGGAACTTGGCAAAGCTCACTGTCCGTGGCAGACCAAGGTTCACCCCTGCCCCCACCACTGGCAGCCCATGAACCCGCTTCCCTACTGGGCACCCACCTCAGCGTGCCCTCCTGGGGGTGCCCTCTCCTGCTCCCACCCCCACCATTCTCTGTTAGACCCTGAGTGTGGGCAGCTGGGCTCTTGTGAGTTAAAGAGAGCTTCCAGAGCCTTCCTTCCCTCCCTCCTCCCCTGCCATGGGGTACCTGTAGCTTCATAATCATCCACTTAGCTGTAATTTATAAAACCTTTTCTCAGACCCCTCTCCTCCTCTGCAGGTGGCCCTGATAGCCTTGTTAGAGAGATGGAGGCTCAGTGAGCCCAGTACCCTGCCTGAGGCCACAGCAGGGGCACAGTGCTGTGAGGATGCAGGGCTCTGTGCCTTCTAGACAACGTCTTAGCCTTATAGGAGTCTGACGGTGGAATCTCAGGCACTGCAGCAGGTAGGGTGGCCAGGGCACTTGGCCCTGGGGGCTGCTTGGAAGCTCCCTGCCCTCCACAGTTCAGCTCTTCTGCTGGGAAAATAGGAGCACAAGAAATGCAGCAGCCTCAGCCCTGGGCCTGAGAATCTGTCACGAGGCTGGGGCAAGCTGGGGGCACAATGGCAGTGGCTCACCACGGAGACAGAGTTAGGGAGCAGGTGGTCTCCAGCAGGGCCCCATCCAGCTGGGGCTGATCACTGCCTTTCTCCTACTCAGGGAGGTATTTTCTGGGCAGCTCTTCTGCAGGTTCCATTGTCAACGGAACACAGGAGCCTGAACTGACAGCTCAGGCCAGAAGAGGACAAGCTCCCTTTCGAGCACACGTTCTCAGAGGTCCTCCTCCGCAGGGCCGCGCCAGCCCCGACACCTTTGCACCAGTTGGGGAACGATACTGCTCTTAGGCAAGATGCAGTCCTGCCACAGTGCACGGTGTGGCAGAGTGGGCGGTGACCTCTCGCCCAGGTACTCAGTGAACCCAGAAGCTCCCTACAAACCTGACTGGAAAGGGGCTCAGAAAGGGATGTGATACATCCAAGAGCATTTGCCACTGACGCTGGGATGGCACCCGGAAACGTCCGTCAGCCTGCATCGGAGTGGGGGTGTAGAGTGGACGCGAGTGGGGGGCACACAAAGGAGCGGCAGAGCCTGTGGAGCCCCACCATGGATCAGGGAGGACCCACAGGCTCCAGCCTTCACTGCCCCCGCCATGCCCGAACTGTTCTGGGCTCTCAGAGGCCAAACTTGGGCTCCCTGCAAAGTCCCTGCATGGGAAGGCCCTCTTGCCGTTTCTGAGCCTCAGTCTCCTCCTACAGACGGTGGGAGGATAGCTCTGCCCAGCCTCAAGAGCGTCCTACCAGTCACACTATTACGATGATGAGTCCTCAGTCCAGCTGGGTAGCAGTGGAAGCATAGCTTCTCACCCCACCCCGACCTGGCTCAGCCCAGCCTCAGGTGATGTCCAGGGTATCCTGGCAAGGACAGAGTAGGATCCCCCTGGCACCTGCCTCCCCCAAGTCCAAGGGCCCAGGTACTGGGCTGCAGTTCCTCGACCCTCATTTTCCTCCCTTTGTCCACAAGGCAAAAGCCAGTGCAGCTGGTGCCCAGCCGAGGTGGCCTGGGAGCAGGCACAGAACTGCAGTGCTCGCTGCGTGGGTTTGCACTCATCCTAGCAGAAGGAAGACCCCAGCTCTGACTCCCGCCACCTGCATGACCTTGGGCAAGTCACACCACATCTTTGAGCCTCGCTTTCCTCGTGTGTAAAAGGCAAACAATCATAGCTGCTACCTCCTAGTGTGGAGTGTTTAAGTGACACTGCACACATACAGCCCCCTGCATAGCACCTGGGACAAGGCATGGAACACTTGCACTCTTCACTCACGCCTAGAGTCCCAGAGGGGAGGATTGCTTGAAGCCAGGAGTTCAAGACCAGCCTGGGCAACATAGCAAGAAGAGAAAACAAGAAATACTTGTTGATACAACCAGACTAGCGCCACTGGCAGGCGCCCTGCCCAGCCAAGCCTGGACTAAGCATGCACTCACTGTCGTCCCCATTTGAAGATGAGAAAACTGAGTCCCCAGAGGCTGTGTAGCTTATCACATGTCAAAGTTCATGCTCTAGGGGTGACAGCCATACCCACCCTGCCCCACAGTGGGCCACCCACACAGCCAGGGAACGGACCTTCCGGGCGTCTGCGCTTCACTGTGGGAGCCCCAGCAGGGAGGGCTGTGCTGGGGAATGTGGGCTGGCTTGGGGGACCCTAGTTGGGTCATTTCCCCTCCCTGAACACTTCCAGTGATAGACAGCTGTGTGTCCCCATAGGCTGCTCTGTCTGTAGTAGCAGAAAGGGTCCAAAAGCTGCCACCTCTGTCCCCACGAGTGCCATGGGCGCCTCAGTACCCTCCCCCAGGCCAGGGGGCTCTCAAGGACAGCGGGGACAGGGAGACAAGCAGGGAGAGGGTGTGAGTGTGGGGAGTGAGGTGGAGGAATGGTGACAATAGCCCACCTGTGCCAGGTGCTCGCCCTGCCCTGGGAGAGGGAGCCCGCCCCACCTGAGGCAGGAGGAAAGTGAGCTTCAGATCAGGAAGGGGAGGTGCCGCCCTGGCCCCACGGCAGAGCTAGGAGTGCACTCCAGGAGACGGTGTGAGTCTCTAGGGGGGTCTGTAGCTGTGACCCAGGGCCCTTGGGGTGTGCTTCTGTGGGTGTTTGGGTGGGTTCACCTGGGCATATACGTGTGTCCTGGGGAGACTGTGAGCGGCTGGCCTGGGTGTGGATGGGCAGGGTGGATCTCACAGACATCCCTTCCCTCCCGTGTGCAGGCCTCCAGGACAGGAGAGGTGAGGAGGGGACTCCACAGATGTCTGGAGACCCTGGCCCAGAGGGCCTTTCTGGGAGAGTGTGCGGTAGGGCAGAGTGCCCCGGCTGGGACGCAGGCAGGCCTGGGTGTGGGGGGCGGTGGAGGGAGCGCAGGACTCCATCCAAGGGCGGGGCTCGGGGCGGTGTGCCCCAGCCGGTTCTGCCGCCACCCAGCCCGGGGACAGCCCGTGCCAGCCTCTGCCCGCTCCAGCGCTCCCCTCCCCTCCCCTGCCCTCCCTTCCCATCGCCGTCTCCTCTCCATCTCGTCTCTTTTCTCTTTACCGCAGCCCTACTCTGTGGCCCTGACAGGCCCCGTCCACTTGTATCTGACCCCCGTCGGGACTTAGTCCGTGAAGATGCCCCGTCGGTCCCCGGACTGGCTCTCCGCGCCGCCGAGCGCCGCCCCCGGCCGGCCGAGTCCCACCCCTAGCCTCACCCCACGCCCAGGTCTGGCCGCGGCGCGCGGGGCGGGGCGTCCCGCTGTCCTCGCCCAGCCGCCCGCCGGCCGCGGCCCGCCCGCGTCTATATAAAGTGGCGCCGCCTGAGCCCGGCTGAGCCGCCGCCGCCGCGAGTCCCGTCCGCTCCGTGTCCGCCACCGAGCCCGGCCGAGCCGCCGCCGCCCGCCAGGTACCCCCGGCTCCGTTCCCCGCCCCGGGGAGAGCCAGGGAGGGGACTGCCCGACAGAGCGCCTGTGCCCCGCAGCGCGACCCTTGACACCACACCGCCCCCCACGGGACCCAGGGAGTCCCCCGCTGGAGGGACTAAGCCGGGACCCCCAGTGCAGCCGGGCGCCCCCCCCCCCCACGTGTGCGCTCAGGGGGCAGGAACCAAGGGGTCTGGGTGGCAGAAATCCCTCTCCTCCTTGGGGTGGGGGTGGGGCAGCCTGGCACCTCCTGGCAGGGACAGGACAGAGGCACGGAGCGGCCACCTCTCTGCTCCCAAAGTCTTAGGGGCAGGCAGGTGGGGTAGAGACCTGGCTGCCCTGACTCCCTCCTTTGTCTCTCTGTCCCTCTGTCTCTGCCATCAGTCTCTGTTCATCCAGTCCCTGCACCCTTGAGATGGTGAGTCTCCTGTGGTCCCTCCCCCAAAGGCCCGCATTCCTGGACAGAGGGGGCGCCCAGAGGGCAGCGACTGGCACTCAGAGGCCAAACCCAGGGGCTGCCCTGTGCAGACAGCTCGGACTCACAGCCTGCTCTCCTGCCCTCACCCCTACAGCTGCTGTGCGCCAGGCACGCCACCTCTCCCCCATCAGCCCTGGGAGGTGGCACTGTTAGGCCCCTTGGACATTCGTCCACTCCACAACATTTACTGAGCACGCGCTGTGTGCCCAGCACCATTCCCAGGTTCGGGGACTTAGCAGGGAGCCTGCAGCCTGGGCCCTCGGGAAGCCCACCTTCTGAAGGAGGGCACCAAGGTTCAGAACGTGGCACTGGCTGCTGGGATTCAAGCCCAGGTCTGAGGCTCAGTCCTCCACTGTCCCGGATGCGGCACGTGTCTCCCAGCCAGCCAGTGATCCTCTTAGTCCGAGCCTCATCAGCACCGGGGATGGGACAGGGTGGGCACCAGGCAACCGCAAAGCCCAAAGAGACCTCACAACTTGCTCAAGGTGGCCGAGCCTGTCCCCTGGAGGCCGGGCCCCGCTGCCAGGCCTGCCCCAGACCAGGAGACTGCAGAGAGTCAGAATCCATTCACACTGAGCCTCCCAGCAGCCCCCATGGGAGTCGCCGGCCTCAGAAAGGGGGTGTGTGTGTTAGATTTTATCCAAAGAAAGCATTTCCATGACTCAAAACGTCCAAAAAGGACACCAGCGTTTCCCTCCTAATGCCTAGCACAGGGCTGGGTGCATAGCGGGTCCCTGAGGCCTCCGTGGGGATGACAGTGGGACAGGATCCCCTCCATGCATAGATATCAGCAAACTCCGTGCTGGCAGTTGGATCACTGAGGCCCAGAGAGAAATGAGCAACCCAAGAGAGATTGCTGGGTTCATTCGTTCACCTATTCTTCAGTCAACAAACATTTACCGAGCAGTGCCTGGGTGCCAGGCACTGTTTTAGGTGCCGCGGTTGCCTTGATGTGCAAACAGACAAAGAAAACCTCTGTCCCTGTGAACCAAGCTAAGGTGGACCACAGCGTGGGATGGGGGGGGCTCAGTGGGCCAGCCAGCAGGACATTGCTTCCTGCTCCCGATGGGGGCACGACACAAAACAGTCTGCAAAGCACGCCCACCTACATGCTCCCAGTGACAAGCCTTCACCCCCCAACTCCTTCCTCTCCTGGTCCCTTGGACAGTATGTGCCCTGAACATAATCCAGGTTGGGAGAGTGGGGGCCCTACACCCTTGGGTGACTTCATGTGCCCCTTGCCCACCCTGCCCAAGACCCACCACTTCTGCCCCCTCAGCTCTCCCTGGATCCACTGAGTCCCGAGTGGGATTGCCCCCTGGGCTCCAAGGACCTGGAGGAAGAGGAGGGCCCATGGGGAGGGGGCTCTGGCCTGCCGCCCACAGGCTGCCTCCCTGGCTCCTGGCGCCAGGACGTGGGCCTGGACTGCAAGGGCTCCCCGGAAGGGGCCGAGGCCCGGGCCTGGACTGTCTACTACTACAGCCTCCTGCAGAGCTGTCTGCAGCAAGCTGGCCTTCCGGAGACCCAGGACCGCAGCCAGGTGCCCCGCACAGGTGCCCGAGGGCTCCACGGAGGGGGGCATGCCTGGGGGCAGGGAGGGGCCCTCAGCCTAGTCTGCTTCCCCATCCAGGTCAGGGGCAGCCCTTCCCCAGCCTCTGGTTTGGTCGGAGGCAGGTAGGCATTTCTTCCAAGGCCATGTGGCACCAGTGGGGTTAGGGATTGGGGCTCTCCACCCCACTCCCCACGAAGATCCAGCCCTAGGATTTGCAAACTGTGTTCCATGGTACCAAAGCTGCTAAAGGAGTGTCTGGGGAGCTGCCGTGGAGGCGGCTTGCGGTTGGGACCCCAGGACTCTCCCCTGCTTCATCTGTTTTACAAATCAGGTGGCCACAGCTAGATGAGTTAGCATACATGAGAATCACAGACATGGTCCCACTGTACAGACTGGGAAACTGGGGCTTAGAGAAACAGTGACTTCTCCAAGGTCTCACAGACAGAGCTCAGGCTAGAACTCAGGTCCCTGGTCACCCAGCCTGCAGTGCCTTCTGGACAGCTCCAGAGAGAAGGGAGCCAGCCTCACAGGACAGGACAGGTGGCAGCTCCCCTTCCCCATTCCACTCCCTCCCTGTCCCCTATACTCTTCCCTTCTGATCCCCAGGAAGCACCTGGAGGCCCAAGGGGGAGGGCAGGGATATAGACGAGGGGGCAGGTGGGCAGAAGGACAGCAAAGGGGGCCCCTGGTAAGCTTGGCAATATTCTCTTTCCCCGAGGCTGTCCTGGGGCAGAGGTGACCTTGTGCATTCTGGGATCCCCGAGCACCTTTCTGTCAGTGCTGCTGGAGGGTGGGGTCCAGAGCCCGGGTGAGTGTGTGCCCAAGTTTCCCCACCCCCTCCTACAGAAAGGGCAGCGCTGCCCTAGCCCAGCCACATCCCAAAATACCCTGGCAACCGCCTGCATTCCATTGGTCGAGCTGCCATACTCTGAGCGGGGTGGGTTCTGGGAGCAGCTGCCCCTGCTACACAGGGGCCCGGCTGGAGGTGGAGGGCATGGGGACATTAAGCCTTCCCTGACTAGCCACCTGCCTCCCTCTGCCCACAGGAAACATGCTCCTTTGCCTGTCCCCTGCTTGGATGATGAAGGTGCCAGCACCCGGGCAGCCGGGTGAGGCAGCCCTGCTGGTCTCCAAGGCCGTGAGCTTCCACCCAGGGGGCATGACATTCCTGGATGACTTTGTCCCCCCGCGCCGTGCCACCTACTTTCTGGCGGGCGTGGGGCAGGGGCTTGGCTGGGGCCGGGAGGCAGCGGAGCTTGCCCGCGACCTGACCTGCCCCACAGGAGCTTCGGCCGAGCTGGCCCGGCTGCTGGAGGACCGGCTGCTGACGAGGCGGTTGCTGGCCCAGCAGGGCGGTGTGGCCGTGCCAGCCACCCTGGCTCTCACCTACAAGCCGCCGGGGCTGCTGCGGGGAGGGGATGCCAGCCCGGGCCTACGGCTGGTGGAGCTGAGTGGCAAAGAGGGCCAGGAATCACTCGTGAAAGAGGAAGTAGGGGCCTTTCTGCACTCCGAGGCCCTGGGTGATGTCCTGCAGGTAACGGGCTCCTGCCCAGGTCTGTGCCAGCAGGATGGGACCTGGGCGTGGTTACCAAGTCCTGCTGGGAAGCTGTGCCTACCTTTCAGCCCTGCTGCCGCCAAATCTCTAGGGCAACCCCCTGCTGTCTTGCCTCAGTTTACTCATTGGCTCTCGTGGGGTCAGTGTCCTGCTGTGCAGGTTCATGGGGTAGTGTCGAGGAGGCCCGTTTCCCTTCCCTGCTGCAGGTGGCTGTGAAGCTCAGTGGCTGGCGTTGGCGGGGGCGGCAGGCATTGCGTCTGCACCGACGGGCGGAGCCGGGCGCCGTGGCGGACACGGTGCTGGCGCTGCTGGAGAAGCTGGAGGAGGAGGAGAGTGTCCTGGTGGAGGCTGTGTGCCCACCTCCCCGGCTGCCCTTCCCAGGTGAGACGCACCTGGGCCAGCCAGGGGAGGCAGCTTGGCACGGCCTTCTGGTTTCTCTGTGCTGGGCTTAGACCTTCCCTTCGTCCCCAGGCAGCCCCTCACCTGGGCCTGAGCTGGCAGTGCGTATCTGTGCTGTGGTGTGTCGGACACAGGGCGACAGGCCCCTGCTAAGCAAGGTAAGCGTGGCTCAGGTCCAAGTCATGACCTGCCCACCACTCCCCGTCCCACTGATCTGACAAGGGCCTCTGGGCAGTCTGTGGGCAGAGAGGACAAAATCTTCATGGGGATGTCGGTTGCCTCCAGCGGAACTCCGGGGTCTGACACTTTTTCCCTCTCCTCCAACCTTTCCAGAACCCCTCCTTCATCAGGAGCCCCTGCCCCTGAGCTTGCCCCCCTGGGGGGGTACCAGGGCTGGGGGGCTGAATCCTCTTCCCAGGGAGCTCTTGCCCACAGAAGAGGCTGCCCCAGGGTTCCTGATAAACCGCCAGCGCCTGGAGCCCTTTAGGAGGGGCCTATAAGCTGGGGAGCTCAAGGAGGCTTAGGGGCCCTCTAAGTACCCAGCTCTGAGCCAAGCTGTGAGGGCAGGACTCCACCCTGCCCTGCGGGAGCTCCAGTGGAGTAAGAAAGAGGCATCTGGGCCAGGCATGGCTCACGCCTGTAATCCTAGCACTCTGGGAGGCCTAGGCGGGTGGATCGCTCAAGGTCAGGAGTTCAAGACCAGCCTGAGCAAGAGCAAGACCCCATCTCTACCAAAAATAGAAAGAAATTAATTGGCCAACTAAAAATATATAGAGAAAAAATTAGCCGGGCATGGTGGTGCATGCCTGTAGTTCCAGCTACTTGGGAGGCTGAGGCAGGAGGATTGCTTGAGCCCAGGAGTTTGAGGTTGCTGTGAGCTAGGCTGACGCCAAGGCACTGTAGTCAGGGCAACAGAGTGAGACTCTGTCTTAAAAAAAAAAAAAAAAAAGAGGCATCTAGGGGAGGTGCCAGGGCTAGGGGACACCAGGAAGGCACAGGCCTCAGGGCTGCAGGAGCTATGAGCTAGCAGGCCTGTAGCCTTCAGGAGCAGGGACCCCAGCTGCCCTGGAAGCCTGGGTAGAACCCCTGGCGGGCTCTGGGGACCACATGGGCAATAGCAGAGAATGGGTTAAGACACACTGAAGGATGGGGCTTCTTGGAAGTTCAGTGAGAGGGCTGGCCTGGATCTGGGCACAGGGGGAGGTATGCATATAGGGCATATAGGGGTGGCTCCTCCTGGGCCAGCCGCCTGACCTGCACCCTGCCCAGGTGGTGTGCGGCGTGGGCCGCGGGGACAGGCCTCTGCGGCACCAGAACTCCCTGCCGTGGACGCTGGAGGTGGCGCTGGCCCAGTGCGGCCTGGGCGAGGCGACGCAGGTGGCGGTTGTGCGGGAGCGCATCAAGGCGGCGGCCGAGGCCGCCCTGGCCGCAGTGCTGGCCCTGGAGGCCGGCCTGAGTGCCGAGCAGCGCGGTGGGCGCTGGGCCCACACTGACTTCCTCGGTGAGTGCAGCTGGCCCGGGCTGGGCGCCGGGGCCGGGGCCGGGGCCGCCCGCGCTGAGCCCGTGTCCCCGCCCGGCCCAGGCGTGGACTTCGCGCTGACGGTGGCCGACCGCGCGCTGACCCCCGTGGCCCTGGAGCTGAACGGCGGCCTGTGCCTGGAGGCGTGCGGCGCGCTCGAGGGGCAGTGGGCCGCGCCGGGAGCGGCGGCCGACGCCGCGGCGGCCGCGCCGCTCGTGGAGACCATGCTCCGGCGCTCGGCGCGCTGCCTCATGGCGGGCAAGCAGCTGCTGGTGGTCGGCGCGGGCGGCGTCAGCAAGAAGTTCGTGTGGGACGCGGCGCGCGACTACGGGCTCCAGGTGGGCGGGGCGCGGGGCGGGGCCTGCGCGCGCGGGGCGGGGCCTGCGCCGGGCGCCCGGGCGGGGTGCGCCAACTCCCGTGCGCAGGGACCGGGCGGACGCCCGGGGCGGGCGTTCTAGTTTTGTCCCACGCAAAGGGGGGACGAGGAGCCCGGGGCAGATGTGCTGGGGTGGGCGAGAGGGACAAAGTTAGCGACAGAGCTGGGGCCTTGAATGCCAGGCTGAGGATCCTGGCTGCGTCCTGGGGCAAGGGCGAGCACTCGGAGGTTGAATTCCTCCTGAGAGTCGGCAACCCAGGGCCTGTGGACGGTGCTGGGGAGCAGCTTATAGATCCCCAATCAAGTTCACAGCAGTGGCCTCACATTACAGAATCTGGAGCGAGCCCGGCAGGTAGATGTTGTTATCCCCATTGAGCAGACAAGAAAACTGAGGCCTTCTCAGGCTGGCTCTAATCTACAGTAGCAGCCTCCGAGGGCTCCCCTCTCCCACAGCGCAGCTTCCTCTGGCGACACCACCCTGCAGCCGTTTCCCCACCTCTTTGCCTCCCGCCTTGCACAGCATGTTCTCTTGCTAGGATGTCACTCCACTCCTGATGGCAAGAGTGACAGTGCAGACAGCTTCCCTCCCAACCCTCTTTGATGGCCGGTGGCCGTCCCTGCCCTGGGTGCCAGCTGCTTTTTGTCTGTGCTCCCCCCAGTGGGCAGTAAGCTTTGAGGGCGCCTTCCAGTGTCAGAACCCATGGCGTGGATGACGGCCAAACCACCTGTCCCAAGCCCCAACCCTGGTGGTTTCTCTACAAGCCCTGGCCAGTGATGCTGCCTGTGAACAAGAGACCGCTGAGCCCCCTCTCACCTGCCCCTCTGCCCTCCGTCCCCACCCACCCAGACCTGACCCCTTCGTCCTGCAGCTGGCTGTCCTTCCCGACCTCCTCTTTCCTCGGCTGACTCTTGCTCAAGTATTGCCTCCTCTAGAGTGCCATCCCTCCCCCGCAGGCCGGGTTAGGTGTGCCGCCTCTGTGCCTTCCATTTATGTAATTGATCATCAACAAATATTTGTTGAGCACCTAATGTTTGTGCACCTGTGCCCCCTGAGGGCCCGGACCCCGTCCTACACCTCATCCCATCTCCCCAGCGCTCAGCCCGGCTGACGGGGTGTGCTGCCCTCCTGTGGTTTCCGCAGCTGCACCTGGTGGAGTCAGACCCCAACCACTTCGCCTCGCAGCTGGTGCAGACCTTCATCCACTTTGACTTGACGGAGCACCAGAGGGATGAGGAGAACGCACGGCTGTTGGCAGAGCTGGTGCGGGCGCGCGGCCTGCAGCTGGATGGCTGTTTCTCCTACTGGGATGACTGCCTGGTGCTCACAGCCCTGCTCTGCCAGGAGCTGGGTCTGCCCTGCAACTCCCCGGCCGCCATGCGCCTGGCCAAGCAGAAGAGCTGCACCCAGCTGCACCTGCTGCACTGCCATGGCCCCCCCTGGCCTGCGCCCTCCCTTCATGCTGTGCCCTGCTGCCCACTGGCGAGCGAGGCAGACGTGGCGAGGGCCGTCCACCAGGTCCCGCTGCCAGGCGTCATGAAGCTGGAGTTCGGGGCAGGTGCAGTGGGAGTGCGGCTGGTGGAGGATGCGCCACAGTGCCACGAACACTTTTCCAGGATCGCCCGAGACTTGCAGGGTGAGGCTGATCACCCGGGCATTGGGCTGGGCTGGGGCAATGCCATGCTGCTGATGGAGTTCGTGGAGGGCACTGAGCACGATGTGGACCTGGTGTTGTTTGGTGGGCGGCTGCTGGCCGCCTTTGTCTCCGACAACGGCCCCACGAGGCTGCCTGGCTTCACTGAGACAGCCGCCTGCATGCCCACCGGGCTGGCCCCGGAGCAGGAGGCACAGATGGTGCAGGCAGCCTTCCGCTGTTGCCTGGGCTGCGGGCTGCTTGACGGGGTCTTCAATGTGGAGCTCAAGCTGACTGGGGCTGGGCCTCGGCTCATCGAGATCAACCCCCGCATGGGCGGCTTCTATCTGCGCGACTGGATCCTGGAGCTCTATGGTGTGGACCTGCTGCTAGCTGCTGCTATGGTGGCCTGTGGCCTGCGGCCCGCCCTGCCCACCCACCCACGTGCCCGTGGCCACCTGGTAGGTGTCATGTGCCTGGTGTCCCAGCACCTGCAGGCCCTGAGTTCCACTGCCAGCCGCGAGACCCTTCAGGCCCTGCATGACCGGGGCCTGCTGCGCCTCAACCTGCTGGAGGAGGCCCTGGTGCCTGGCGAGTATGAGGAGCCCTACTGCAGCGTGGCCTGTGCGGGACCCAGCCCGGCTGAGGCCCGCCACCGCCTGCTGGGCCTCTGCCAGGGCCTGGGCATCGATGGGCCCAACTACCCCGTCGCCCACTTCCTGTCTCATTTCAAATAGCGCTGGGGCCAGGAGGCAGGTGGGAGGTGCTGGGCAAGGGCTGTGGTGCCCTTGCTTCCTGGTGCTCCCCCTGCCTCTCTCCCCATTGCCCTGTCCCGGCCCCAGTCTGGCCCACTCTGATGCCTCAGATCTGTTCCAGAGTGGCAGGGCCATTTAGGCACCAAGGTCTCCTGGACTCAAAGGCCACAAAAGCAAGTATCTGGGGGCTGTTGGGGCCTCTTGCCCTCCCAAAAGTCCCAGTCCATCCCACAGCTTCCCCAGGACTCTAGCCTTGGAGACATGACAACAGCTGTATACACACTTTCACCACCACCTCCCCAGGTGGAAGTGGGCCCCAACCCAGCCACTCTGCCCCACCCCTCCAGGTCCGTTTCTCTTCCTGCCACCTAGCAGAGAGAACCTGGCTGGGCCCCTGGCCTTGGACAAATCCCAGGAAAACCTGAGACTAAAGCCCCTGTCTTTCTTTTACCCAAATTCCAGGATAGTTCTAGGGCCTGCTGAAAACTTTCAGCAGTGTCCCACCTGCCTCATTTGTCCTGAGCAGTAGAAGCAGGTGACCTGCAGTCAGCAGTAATCATCTCCCCTCACACGTCCAGTCAGACGCTGCTGCCCCCATTCTGCAGATGAGAGGAAACAGGCTCAGAGAGGAAAAATGACTGCCCCAAGGTCACGCCACAGTGGATGGATGGTCGTGGGACATGATGCAAGGTTCAGGTTTCTGTTTTGATTAAGTCTTATATGCCCACTCAGCTTCTAGGCCACCCTCACCTCCCTACCTTCATTCATAAGTGGCCCTGAGACACGTGAATACCTCTGTCCCATGCGCCATGCACCTTCTCCACTCAGCTTTGGTGCTTTCATCTCTGGCACACTAACTAGCATTGGCAGAGGAGAGTCTGCCAATTCAAGGAAGGCTGCTTTAAGAACCCTGCTTCTGAGCACACAGGAGCTATGGACAGCTCCCCAAGCATTCCTCCCCAAATAAAGGCTTATGGACTAGTGAAGTGTCGGAGTCTGGGACAGGTTCTCTTGACTGGACAATTCCTACCAGGCTCAACTAGATGGGCAGTAATGGACGGGGAGGGAGAGGTGGGTGGGGGACACCTGTAGCATCTGGAGCTAAGGGAAAACCACTCAACTGCCAGGCACCTGGGTTGAGCTTCGGCAGGGGCCTGCCCTACACCTACACCAGGACCCAGCCTGAGGATCTCCTTTGGTCTTTTAGTGGAATTACAACCAGAGGGCCACATCTAACCGGATAACCCTCCACTTGCCTGGAGACCTCTAAATTCTGTTCATCTGAGTTCATACCCAGCCTTCCCTGTGTAACTGGAATGCACATCTACACAGCCTCCAGCAATCAGTACTCACACCTAGTGCCTGGTCTGGCACAAATTTACCCCCACATAGTTCTGCCCAACAAGAATCCATGCCTAATCTAAATTCATAGATCAAGACTGGGCGTAGTGGTGTGCGCCTGTAGTCCCAGCTACTCAGGAGGCTGAGGCAGAAGGATCCCTTGAGCCCAGGAGTTCCAGGCTGCAGTGAGCTGATTGTACCACTGCACTCCAGCCTGGGCAACAGAGCAGCAGGGTCTTAAGAAAAAGGAAAAAAAAAATCACATACCAGGTTTGGTGGGTTCATTCATTCTTACAACAAAGTTTTATTAAGGGTGTATATCAGGCTGCTAAATTACTAAATATGCTTAAATTGACAAGCGAGCAAACTCGAGCAAAAGCCCATATTTACGGTCAGATAAATGAGCCCCAAACCCTTTAGAGCAGGCACCTGGCAACAGAGCCTGGCAGTGAGCTGCTCACCCAGCAAATACTCTCACCTACAGAGTCCTTGAGCCAGAGACACCTTAGGGAGACCTTGATGCAGCCGCCTCCTTTTCAGGAACGAACAGAGAGGAACGCGACCTGCCTCTGGTCACCCAGCCAGCCTGGCAGCGACACTCGGACAGGGCTGGGATTCACACCTTCAGGCACTCCCGACTCGGCCCCATCCAAACTCAAACTCTCTTTTTGGAGAAAGAAAGAAAGAAAAAAGAGAAACGTGCCGAAACTCTTCCTAGAGCCAAAATAGGCGCCCAGGTTGTGGTGCTAGGAAGACAAGAGAGTTCCGCCCAATGAGGTTCCGCAGACTGAAGGCTGGGCGCCCCGGGACTCCGGGACTACAACTCCCGACAGGCCCTGTGACGCCATCATTCCTCCCCGCCAGGCTAAGCGGCCTTCCGGAGGCGGAGCAAAGTCTCTTGCGTCAGAGGCGTGCGCGGCTGCTGTCGCAGAGTGATAACGTGTGCGTCAGGCTGGGACTGTCAGTCAGAGTGCGGCCGGGGTTCGGGCCGAGTGGCCCGCTGGGCCGGTGCCGCTATGGCGGCTGTGTTTGATCTGGACTTGGAGACGGAGGAAGGCAGCGAGGGCGAGGGAGAGCCGGAGTTCAGCCCCACGGTGAGTGGTCCTCCCCGGCGCGACTGGATCCCGGAGCTATCACCCAGCCAAGGCCAGAGTCGCGGCAGCCCCCACCCAGAGTGGGCTCCGACCCTTGCAGACCCCGATCCTTCTCAGATCCCGGCCTCTGTTAAGCTCTGACTCCACCCTCACCCCGACCTCTCTTGCAAGTCCCCAGCCCTTTCTCTTGGTTCTGCCTTTTCTTCGGCCCTCGGCCTCTTCTCACCAGCCCTTGCCTGTCCCCGGCCAGCTCCCATCCCTAACCCCTCCTCTTCTGGGACAAGCATTCAGCTTGCGGGGATGGGGAAGGTATCCTGGCACCTCCCTTGGCTCTTACTCTTCGGTTTCTCACAGGACGTGTGTTCCCTTTCCGAATTGAGGACTGCTGGCCTGGAGTGAGTGAGGGTCGTGTTGGGGGAGGGGGGGATGTAATGGGGAAGGGGACCTGGGAAGAGCTGGAGCCTTGCCGTCATTAACTTCTTGTGTCCACAGGCCTGTGGGACACTATGAGGAGGTGGAGCTGACTGAGACCAGCGTGAACCTGGGCCCTGAGCGCATTGGGCCCCACTGTTTTGAGCTGCTGAGTGTGTTGGGCAAGGGAGGCTATGGAAAGGTACTGGTGCTTCCTCTAGCCTGGAGGCAGCAAAGGATTCTCAAAACAAATTAGACTTGTAGATCAGCACAGCCTCTAATGAGATTCAGAGCTAGAAACATAGAAGAGGGTAGGGTAAATCCTTTTCAATTGGATTTGGAATCGTGACTGCCCCACCCTTGGTGGGGCAGTCTCTTGGTCCTAATGCCAAAGCTTCAGGGTGAGGCTTCTTGAAGATGGGATGTGGAGAGGGAAGTTGATCCTGTCTCCCCTGCCCTACAGGTGTTCCAAGTGCGAAAGGTACAAGGCACCAACTTGGGCAAAATATATGCCATGAAAGTCTTAAGGAAGGTGAGTCATTTATTCAACCAAAATACTGAGTGGTTGCCATTCCCAACATGCTGTGCCAGGCTTTGGGAAGATAGCAGTGAACACAACAAAAGAGACAGCCCTTGTCTTTGGCATCGGCTAGTTTATTGCCTGTTGTGATGTATATTGTTAATTGCCAAATGGGGGCAATTTTGCTTTCCAAGGAACAGTTAACAATGTCTGGACACATTTTTTTTTTTTTTTTGAGACAGAGTCTCGCTTGTTGCCCAGGCTAGAGTGAGTGCCGTGGCGTCAGCCTAGCTCACAGCAACCTCAAACTCCTGGGCTCAAGCAATCCTTCTCCCTCAGCCTCCCGAGTAGCTGGGACTACAGGCATGCGCCACCATCTCAGGCTAAGTTTTTCTATATATTTTTAGTTGGCCAATTAATTTCTTTCTATTTATAGTAGAGACGGGGTCTCGCTCTTGCTCAGGCTGGTTTTGAACTCCTGACCTTGAGCAATCCACCCGCCTCGGCCTCCCAAGAGCTAGGATTACAGGCGTGAGCCACAGCGCCCGGCCTGGACACATTTTTTGATTGTCAGGACTAGAGAGGGGAGTACTACTGGCATCCCATGAGTGGAGGCCAAGGATGCTGCTGGACATCCCACAATGCACAAGGCAGCCTCCCACCACAGAATATCTGGTCCAAGGTGTCTGCAGTATTGAAGTTGAGAAATCCTATGGTAGAGGATAAACCGGTTCCTGAAAAGGATGACTGCTGACAGCAGCACAATTATGGAGAAATACAATGGAGGGACAGAGGGTGGCAGAGGGTAATGGCTGGAGGGACTGAGGAGCTCCAGGTACCCCAGCTTCTAACTGATTCCTGCTCTTTTAGGCCAAAATTGTGCGCAACGCCAAGGACACAGCACACACACGGGCTGAGCGGAACATCCTAGAGTCAGTGAAGCATCCCTTCATTGTGGAACTGGCCTATGCCTTCCAGACTGGTGGCAAACTCTACCTCATCCTTGAGTGCCTCAGTGGTATGAGTGTGGGCCCAGCTAGGGGTATGGGTGGGGAGCCAGCACAGGAAGCCCTGGGAGCTCTGGGGGAAGCCCTGAGAGACTGGGTTGTGGAGGATGGCTGGGGGCTCCCACACCCACTCACCTCTCCGTCTGTCCATCCATCCCGTCATCCCATTCATTCATTCAGCAAACATCTGTCCAGCGCCTATCGTGTCCTTCACCTGTGTTGGGGGTGGATGGGAATGGCACGAGCTGATACGGAGGTCCAGAGGGCGGTTTGTCTGTTTCTGCTCCCCTCCATGTCCTGTTCCTTTTCCCTGTGTGCACTGTATCCAGTCAGGTCCCAGATCCAGCCAATCCACTTTCTGCAGTGGCTTCCATTCCCTCCACTCTCTCAGGGGGACCGGAGTCGGGTGGACAGCAGTTTCCTAACCGGCCTTGAGGCCTCTTGCTCACTGCCTCGTCCCCTCCGCTAATTGCTGGCGCTATCCTCCTAAAGCACGTGCTGCGCCCAGCACTTCTGCTCAGAGTCCCATGACTCTGTGACTGCCCGGATCAAGCCTAACTTCCCTGGCCTGCTGTCCCCCGTTCACCTTGAAGTGGTCCAGGCCTGCTTTTCTTGCCTACCTTGTCTGCACCAGATGAGCCCTGTGAGCTTCTGCCTCTGTGCTCCACATTCCCCCCACTCCATCTCAGCACCCCTTGAAGCCCACCGCACCTCACTTCCTCCGTTCTCTCGTGTTGGGATTCATTTTGTCTCCCTTGGCTCCCCGTGAGATGTTTCGGGTTAAGCTCTCAGAGCTGTTGTTGCAGCCTGGCGTATTAGAGCAGTTGTGTGCATGTCTGTCTCCCCAGTGACTGAGCGTCCTGAGGGCAATGGCTGGGTCTCTTCATCCTGTCCCCAGCTTCACCCAGCACAGGGCCAGGTTCCGAGTAGGCGTCGGTAGATGTTTGCTGAATTGAATTGAATCCCCACGGCAGCTCTGTGAGGCAGGTAGGGCAGGAATTATAAGCCCCACTTTTTCCAAGAAGAAACCGAGACTCAGAGAGCGCAAAGGGGCTTGGGCCCAGCACATGGCTGCTGACATGTTTGTGTTGCAGGTGGCGAACTCTTCACACATCTGGAGCGAGAAGGCATCTTCTTAGAAGATACAGCCTGGTGGGTGTTACTCTTGTCGCTCTCACAAGAGACGCCTGGTCCCAGCCCCACCCCCCACCTTCACCCTGTTCTGTCTCCCGCAGCTTCTACCTGGCCGAGATCACACTGGCCCTGGGCCATCTCCACTCCCAAGGCATAATCTACCGAGACCTCAAACCCGAGAACATCATGCTCAACAGCCAGGGTGCGCACGTGTGCACGTGCAGCTGCACATATGGGGTCTGCAATCTATCTGGAGGCTGAGGAGCCACCTGTATGGAGCCAGGGCCCTGACCTGGCACCCCTCCACCCCCAACATTCTTTCTTAGGCCACATCAAACTGACCGACTTTGGACTCTGCAAGGAGTCGATCCATGAGGGCGCTGTCACTCACACCTTCTGTGGCACCATTGAGTACATGTAAGTGACACCTGTCTGCTCCAGGGTTGGGAGGACAGCCAGAAAGGGCCTAGCCTGACTGACGGTTCTTCTGGTCCCCAGGGCCCCTGAGATCCTCGTGCGCAGTGGCCACAACCGGGCTGTGGACTGGTGGAGTCTGGGGGCCCTGATGTACGACATGCTCACTGGATCGGCAAGTCCTGCCTCCCTGGGGGGAGTGCGGGAGGGGTGGGAGGAGACCCCTTCCAGGGCAGGCACAGGGCTGGCAGGAGGCCTGCAAGGCTCCTCTCACCTTCTGCCTCCTCCAGCCACCCTTCACCGCAGAAAACCGGAAGAAAATCATGGATAAGATCATCAAGGGGAAGTTGGCGCTGCCCGCCTACCTCACCGCAGATGCCCGGGATCTTGTCAAAAAGGTGGGGCTCCCTCCTGCCCAGGGTCATGTCCACATTTCTGCTCCCGGGCTCTACTGGCCACCCTGCATGCATGCCTGCGCCTCTCCCAGCTGTGGGGCAGTTGGTGCCACCCCTGCCTGTGTAATTTGCCTGTGGCAGTGAAAGGAGCCCTTGCTTTGGGGTCCAAGACTCTGAGCTCAGGCCTCAGCTCTGACTCAGAGCAGCCTGCCCTGGACCAGTCCCTAGTCTAAGAGCCGGTCAGCAGAATGTCCATGATGAGCTGGCCGCTCTGCCTTCAGAGAGGCGAGTGTTGGAGGTGCAGTGGGGGAGGCCAGGCACTCGTCCAGGTTTGGAGTTGGCTCCAGCTCCTCACTGAAGCCCCTGGGTCAGTGCGGGGACCAGGGGCCTTTTTGCAAAGGCTTCATGGAGAACACTTCCTTGGTCCAAACCTTGAAAGTCCTGGGGGGCGTCAGGAGGTGAGGGCCGTATCTGGAGGCACCACCCCCCTCTCACCTTGCCCCACCCCTGCTGGCCTTGGGACACGCACCTCCCCCAGGCCCTCACCCTCTGCCCTGGTCCCACAGTTCCTGAAGCGGAATCCCAGCCAGCGGATTGGGGGTGGCCCAGGGGACGCTGCTGATGTGCAGGTGGGTCTGGGACAGCCACCAGGGGCAGGGCTGTCTCCAAGGGTGACTGGGTACAGGGGGCAGGGCCTTAGGGCAGAGCAGGTTACTAAAGGAGCCGAGCGGGGCCAACTTTTGGTAGGTTTGGGGGGCATTCTCTATCCACAGAGACACCCCTTCTTCCGGCACGTGAATTGGGATGACCTCCTTGCCCGCCGTGTGGACCCCCCTTTCAGGCCCTGTCTGGTGAGTGGCAGCCCCATTGGCCCAGTGGTGGGTAGAGGACCCACATCTCCGATGCCCCTGACCGCTCCCCACTCGGGTCCGCCCGCAGCAGTCAGAGGAGGACGTGAGCCAGTTTGATACCCGCTTCACACGGCAGACGCCCGTGGACAGTCCGGACGACACGGCCCTCAGTGAGAGCGCCGACCAGGCCTTCCTGGTGAGGGCACGGGGACCTGGGGCTCGCGAGGACCAGGGCAGGGGTTGTGGCCGGGGAGTGGCAGACACCAAGCGTCACCGGGCCCTGCCTCTCCCCCAGGGCTTCACGTACGTGGCGCCCTCCGTTCTGGACAGCATCAAGGAGGGCTTCTCTTTCCAGCCCAAGCTGCGCTCCCCCCGGCGCCTCAACAGCAGCCCCCGGACCCCTCTAAGGTGCCGAGGGGAGGGACGGCAGTGTGTGGCTGGGGCAGGGGCCCCACCGGGCGGGTGGCCAGCTCTAGCCTTGGGCTTCCTTGGCCAAGTCTCTTAACCAGTGTCAGCTTCGGTGCCTTGTCTGCACGTTGTGGCCAGGACTGCCTGGATGGGACTTGGTGGACCCCACAGCCGGTGCAGCCCGGAGGATGGGAGAGTCTGTCCTCCCTGATCCGGTGCCAGCCGGCCCTGGCAGGGCGTAGGAGGCTCTGACTCTACCTTGGTTTCCCCTGCAGCCCCCTCAAGTTCTCCCCCTTTGAGGGGTTCCGGCCCAGCCCCGGCCCGCCAGAGCCCATGGAGCCACCTCTACCTCCATTGCTGCCGCCACCGCCGCCGCCACCACCCTCGAGCACTGCCCCGCTCCCCATCCGTCCCCCCTCAGGGACCAAGAAGTCCAAGCGGGGCCGTGCGCGCCCCGGGCGCTAGAATCGGTGGGCATGAGCAGCTGTTGGGGCCCCTCCCTGCAGGCCGTGCAGGCAGCAGGACTCGGGCCGTTCCACAGACCTCGGGTGTCTGTGGGTGGAGAGCGAGTGCGTGTCTTTGCGGGCGTGGCCAGGCCCCTGAATCATGGTTATGGAGGGCTACAGGCTGCGACTGCTGGAGCAAGGGCTCCGCTGCCCCCCAGGCCCCATACAGCTGTGCCTGTGGGGAATTAAAGGACTGAATCATGGCACTGACCTGGCTCTTTGGCTGGACTCCTGGGGGCAGGACTGGGCAGGCGCCTGCCAGGAGGAGCCCCTGCTTAGGACGAGGGGGTCGCTACAGGACCACAGGACCACAGGGCTGGAGGCTTTTATTTCAAGTGGCTGCCCAGCGCCTGTGAGGACAGGTGGCCTTCCTGTAAAGGGGCAGAGTGTATAGACTTGGGGACTGGTGAGGGGTGACAGTCTGAGGAGTGCCATGTGGGGTAGGGACTGTGGCCAGCATTGGCAGCTTGGGAAGCAGAGGCACCGTGAGTGGCCACGACAGGGCTGGGGCACCAAGACAGGCTCCTATAGTGCAGTGACATGGAGGCCCTGGCCCCCGGCTGCCCCAGCGCTGTCGTCCCAGGCCGCGCTGCCAGCAAAGGCGTGCAGGTCACTCAGCAGGGCCTCGGCACTGCCCCCTGAGCCCGCCGGCCCCAGGGAGCTGAGGCCTGGGCCCCCCTCCGTGTCACTGTCAGGTGTTTCCTCAGCCTGCTCGGGGCCCGCTGCCTCTCCGCTCTGCCGCTTGCCTTCTCTGGGTCCAGCCTCCCGGCCACCGTCTGAGATGTAGTCGTCCTCCAGATCCTGCTCGTCCTCCTGCCGCTCTGGGTCGTCGTCTGGTGAACCCAGCTCAGTCCGGGCCTGAAGCCAGCGGCCCGGGGGGCTGGCCCAGAGCAGGCGGCAGGTGCGGCCCCACAGCGCAGCGCCCAGGCGGGCTGGGTGGTAGTAGCCCCCTGAGTCGCGGCTGAGGCGGCGCCAGGCCAGAGCCAGGCCTGTGACCAGCAGCAGCAGCAGCAGCAGCAACAGGACGACCGTGACGGAGCTGGAGCCCACACTGTCCTCGGCGCCACCACCGGAGCCCAGGGCCCCTGGCAGGGCCAGCAGTGTCCCAAGCCCTAGGGCGCAGGGCAGAGCCTGTGGGAGATAGGCAGGGGCTTGTCACCTGGGGTGGAGGCCCAATAGGGGGCAGGCCATGTGACCTAGAACGCTTGACTTTCCTCTCTTAGTGGGTCCTCTTAGGCAAAACAGGGACAGTGAAGCAGAGAAGCCCACATCCTTATTTGGCAACCAGGCCCTGGCCCTGTGAGATCAGCCCCCCGCTCCTCCAACCCCTCCTGCCGCACTGGAGCCTTCGCGCTGGCTCTTCCCTCTGCCCGGAAGGCCCCAGTCCCTGGTGGCCGCTCTCAGCCGCTCGCTTTGGCTCAAGCAGTACCTAAGTGAGGCCTAACCTGACCTGTTACCACTCTGTTACCGCGGCCCACCCACCCGGCACTGTGCACCGCCAACCCGCTGGACTTCTCCCATGACCCCGACCACAGGAGACGGTGTTACTGATTTGTTTTGTTTATCGTTGTCTGGTCTCCCCAGCCTGAATAAGCTGCAGGAAGATGGGGATTTTTTTAGGTCAAACACAAAAAAACGATACCTGGCACATGGAAGGTGCTCAGTAAATACGGGTTGAATGTGCCTGCGTGGGCGGGGCGGGGACAGGGATGGAAGGCAGGAGACCGCAGCCTGGCTCTCCTGAAGGCTGGGAGGGTGGGGCCCAGACTAATGCGGAGACCACTGCTCACCTGCTTGGCCAGGTCCCAGGATGGGGGTCCCTGAGGCCCCTCTTTTCCCTCCCAGCCACGGGGCTGCCCCAGCTGAAGGGTTTCCGTTCTACTCCCTGTCCCTGAGGGCCCCAGGCGTGCAGGGCTAGGGGCTGTGGGAGGCGGGTGCAGCTGCCAGAGGAAGTCTGCGGTTGGAACATGCTAGGTGGGGGGTGTCGTGGGGGGCAGGGTGCTAAGGTACAACCCAGCCTCCCCCCACCATGCTCTCTGCCCGGCTCCAGGGGTGCCAGTTCCCTTTCACAAGAGGAGCAGCTGAGGGCCATCCAGGACTCTTGAAGGGGCTGCCAGGCCCAGAGCAGGGCACTGGGTGTCATACCCTGAGTCCCAGTGAACCCAATGCCGAGGTGAGGAAGAAGGTCTGGTGTCTGCCCCACGTTTGTCCTAGGCCCCATCTCTGCCCCAAGGCCCCAGCAGGGGGTTCCTTCCTCCGCTTCCAGGGCCCAGACACTCCAACCCTGACCTGTGGCCCCTGCCCCAAGAACCCAGGGCCTCCAGTACTTACCATCAGTCCACCGGCCCCTTCTCACTGGCACCCACCTCCAGCTCTGGCTGTGCTGAGCGAGAAGTGAGCTCTCAGCGCTCAACTGCAGCTAGGGGTGACCTGGCGCTTCCGCTTCCTGCCCACAGCACCCCACCCACTCCTCCGCGCTGCAGGACCCCAGACAGGGCCTTGGCCTCTCAGGACCCCCCCCCCCCCCCGATCCACGCCAAGTCCTCACAGGTCTCTCTGGATGCGGCTGGGGCTGCGGGTCCTGTGACCAGGCCTCCAAGGAGAGAATCTGAGTACCCAGCTCAAAGCATGACACAACCTTGGATGTGTCCACAGGTCTGCCTCAGTTTCCCTGCCTGACAGAATTCAGAACAGCAGTGTCTGTGGAGCTGCTCATGGTCCCTGGACCTTTCTCAAGCCTGAGTCCTGCAACACTGTCTGTCCCCAGGTGTCCAGACTCTCCCCAGCCCCCTGCAGCAGCAGGCCACGCCAAGCCTGGTTTTTAGAAAGAATTTTATTTGGAATGAAAATAAAATTTTCCCTCCCTGGGAAGGGAGCAGAGGGTAGGCAGGGGTGGGGGAGATGGTCCCTCAGAGGACAAGCGTGCTTGCCTTGGTACAAAAATCCTCCACGGTAATGAGAGCCAGGTGTGGCTCCAGCCTGGGCCAGGGAGGTCAAGTGTGACCTGGCCCCTGAGCTGCCTCAGAGACCTCGGGCAACCCGCCCAGCGTGACCTGCTGCAGAAGCAGAGTGAGAGGGAGGAGGAAGAGGTGGAGGTGGTGTCTCCGGGCGGTGGCCTACGCATCGCCGTTCTCCAGGCGGCCGAGCTGCTCCTCCAGGCGGCCGATGCGCTCCCCCTGCGCCTTGACCAGCGCCCGCAGCTCCCGCAGCTCCTGCATCACCTCCTCCAGCTTCCCGGCCTCCTGCAGGGACGCGGGGCGGTCAAGGGCAGGCAGGAGCCCGAGGCCTGGACATGGGCGGCGAGTGTCCAGACACGGTGGACCGGACGACACCTGGGGCCGCCCCACACCACCCCTGGCTGGGGGCACCTACCCTGGCTCCGGCAAGGCCGCTGCTGCTGGGGGCAGTGTCAGCAAAGGTGGCAGGCGACGTGGGGGCCCCGGCGGGCCGGCTGTCGGATAGCACGTTGCGCCGGCTGACCTTCAGGTCGCGCTGCTTGCTGGGCACGTAGGCCTCCCGGAGCGAGATGAGGATGGGCGCGGCATCCCGCCCGCTCACCCACTCCTCAGCCTCCAAGGCTGCCTCGGGCCCAGCTGTGTCGGGGTACAGGTCGTCCTGGAAGAGGTCCGACTGGCAAAGGGCAAGGGAGGTCAGAACCAGCTGGGGCCGCCATCAGGGTCCTCGTCTGAACCCAGGGTGGCCACCTCCTCATCACTCTCTGGCCTCCAGGCTTGCACTTTGTCAACCTATCCTCTCACGGCCTGGCTCCAAGTGACCTTTCTAATGCTTAAATCTGTCCTTTCACTTCCCTTCTGGACAGTTCCCTCTGAAGCCTGCCCCAGCCTTCCTGAGCAGGGCCCCGTCACCACCCTCCTCTATGAGCCACAGGGGCCAGCTGTGTGGCTTTGTGGGCTTCTGGGGGCCATATTTGTGGGCCGTGGATGGTGAGCTCCCAGGGCAGGCCCTGTCAGCCTCGTGCCCAGCGCTGCTCCCTGAGATGTGCCCGGCATCTGAACAGAGCACTCGGCAGCCGCTGGCTGGAGGGGAGTGGAGTGTGGCTGTGGCTCGTGGCTGGGAATCTGAGGCCAGGTCGCCTCGTCGTGGGAGTCTTACTGTAGCCAGACTTACTGTAGTCTTACTGTAGTCCCACTCTCCATTGCCCCTGCCGCACCCTTCACCTGGCCTACCCCCAAATGGATGGCACCACCTGGCCCTGCTCAGTCCTGCCGCCTTCGGGAAGACCTCTGGGGCTGCCACTGCCCCCTTAATCGAGGGGCCCATGTCCCATGGCTCACCCTGTCTCATCCCACTTGCCACACCTGGTATGGCCCCATTCACAGGTCACACCCCCGTCACCTCGGGTCTGTTAAAGAAGGGAGCAGGTAGGAGGGGACCAGGTGGCCTCACCTTTCTTGGCACAGTCATGACGATGGGCTCACACTTGCGCTCATGCAGTTTGTAGAACCTGCGAAAAGGGGAGGAGCCACGGGTGGGATCCCCATCAGTTCTCCGGGCTTCCCCTGCCCTCCACTTCCGGTCCCCACCCCAGACCCCCCCATGGGCTGACCTCTGAGACCCCCAGACCCTGCCCTAGGCTGCCCTGCCCACTGCCAAAAGGGGTCCTTCCTACAGGCTGACCCCTGGCCAATGGCCCGCCCGTGGCACATTCTGCTCCTGAGCAGCATCTGACCTCTCACCTTGGGTGCCTGTGGCCTGGCTCCTGTCCCCCAGGCAGACCCACCCCTGGCCAAGTTCCCTAACTGAGCCCCACCCACAGATGGCTGCCTCTGTGGCCCTCTTACCGGGCAATCTCGCACTTGCTGACGTCCAGGCCCCTCTTGGGCATGCTGCCCATGCCCCGCTGCGGCTCCTTGCTGGTGAACGTGTTCAGGAAGTGGACGTAGGGGGGCTCGTCCGTGATCTCAAAGTACCGGATGCTGGAGTCGCCCTGTGGGGGCAGGGGGCTCAGCACTCGGGCATCCGTCTCCCAAGCCCCCGCCAGTGCTGCCCTGCCCTGCCCTGCCCTACCTTGCCGCAGACGTAGACCACGCTCGTGTCAGGGTCGTAGAAGGGCAGCAGGGCCCCGTTGCTCGAGTCCAGCTCCTGCAGGGCCATGGGCTCCTCAAGGTTTTCCTGGTACGGTGGGGGCAGTCAGGCCAAGCAGAACCTCCTCCGACCCAAACCCCCCACCAGGCTTAGCCAGTCACATGCAACACGGTGTCCCCACCAGGCCCTCCTGGCTCCTCCCTACTCCCAGGACTCCACTTCCCCAGCCTCCTCCAGGCCTCGAGACTACTCCTAGGCCGCTGAGCAAGTGCTGAGAAATTCCCAAGACGGGGTGCCAGGCAGCACCAGCCTGTGTCAAAGGGGCCCTGGAGGTCACCGTGCAGACACCCTGGGACAGAGTGTGTTAGGGAAGGGCTGGGGAGGCTGGAGAAGGGACCCCCGCACAGGCCTCGATGGGCAGCTGGTGGTCCAGGCAAGCAAAGGGGGACGCGCCTTCCAGTGGGCAGGAAGGACGTGGCAGAGACGCGGGGGCAGTGGGCGAGCAGGGGGCAGGAAAGAAAGGGCTGGCAAGGTCCAAGGTCCTGAGAGCCTCAAGTGCCAGGAAGAGAACGTGGGAACCACAGGCCTCTCTAGGGTGACACCTGCCCGCCTGGCCCAGGTGGGGCCCAAGTCTCAAGCCTGCCCACGGCCACTCACTGGGTCCCAGAGTGCCAGCTGCCGCTCGCTCATCCGGCTGAAGCCTGTGGTGAACACCTTGCCATCTGCCAGGAAGATGGCCCGCATGGGCCGGGCCCCCTCGTGAGCCTTCTCTCGCTCCTGCGGGAGGACAGGCTGATCAGCACACGCCCCAGTCAAGCCCTCTGCCTGTCCACAGCCATCCTTGCCCCCTGGGGCCACGTACTGCCACCAGGGTGCCCCTGCGCGGGTCGATGACGCGCACGCTCTTGTCCTTGCACGCTGAGCAGAAGAGGCTGCCATTGCGGTTCCAGCTGACGTTGTAGATGAGGTCAGGGTGCAGGGTGTCCAGGCGGTACAGCTCCTCCGCCGTGCCCACGTTCCAGATGAGTACCACGTTGTCACAGCCTGGCAGGTGGGGGGCTGTCAGCTCAGGCCCAGGTGGGCGGCAGGGGACCACTGGCTCACCAGGCCCACTTTACCCAACCCGCGGGACCGGCCTGGTTCTCCCCACCTCTGAGGGCCTCAGCTTCCCCATCGGTGAGATGGGCCTGGGAGAGGCTGTTGGGATGTTTCAGAGACGTGTGCGGAGAGGGACGCGGGAGCGGGGCGGGGGCGGTGCAGACCTGCACTCAGCAGCACATTGCGGGCTGTCGGGTGCCAGGTGACAATGCCTACTCGTTTGGTGTGTCCCTCCAGCACCACCACTGGCTCTGTCAGTGGGGAGACCAGCCCGTTCTCTGGGATCTGCCACACCTGTGGCGGAGACAGGGACGCTGGGCTGAGTCCTCTGCACGCACCTGCTGCATGCGACCTTGAGCCGCACCCGCGACCCTGGCCTCACCATGACCGTGCAGTCCTCTGAGCCGCTGGCGATGACTTCGTCGTTGTGAGGACACCAGTCAATGTCCAGGACAGGTCCCGTGTGCCCACACACTGTTGGGTAGGCCTTGTCAATGCGGCCAGTCTAAGGGCATGAAGGGACAGTCAGGAGGGACCCAAGACCTCAGCTCCATCCCTCCCAGAGCCTTAGTCTTGCGCTCCACTGGAAGCTCCCGTGCAGGGAGCTGCAGAGTGGGAATGGTGCACTTGGCCTGGCTCACAGGTGGCCCAGATGTGTCTGTGCCCCAACCACCAGGTGAGCAAGAAACGTCTGTTGCCCCTAACCCTGACTTCACAGCAATAAACCACTTTTGCCCCCTGTGCTCATGTCTGTTGGACAGTGAATCTGGACTCTGATACCTGCCCAGGGGGGAGAAATGGGCAACATTACAGGTGTCAGGTGTGCAGACAGACACAGTAGGTGTGGCCGAGGTGTCTCCAGTCCCTCCCCAGCCCTAACTCGGCCCACCTTGCTTAGCGGGAGCACCAGGAAGGCACCCCCGCCACTGGCCTCCACAATCACCGCCAGGAACTTGGGGTTGACTGCACAGAAGGTGCTGTCCCAGGTAACACGGGACACTCGAATGTCTTCATAGCACTGGTCATTCTTGACCGGCTGCCCGAACACATGCCGGAATTTGCTCTGCCGTACCACTTTGCGGAAAGACATGTCTGCAGGACAGAGAGACTTGGATCAGCTTGGCCCATCCCAACAAGCTCCCCAAGGCTGCGTGCAGGGAAGTGGGGAGGATGCAACTGGGAGCATGGTCATTGTAACCTGCTGGGGCCTCAGTTTCCCAGTTACAGAGTGAGGTCACAGGTGCAGAGCCTGGGTGCCTCCCTCAGGTGGTGATCTGCAGGAGTAAATGCACTGCGCCCTGCACCTGGCCACAGCTGAGTCCGGAAGGGCTTTACAGGACTCTACCCAGGCCCTTCCCTGGCTCTGGTATGTGTGTGGGGAGCGAGAAGTGGCAGGCGGGGAAGCTTGAGAAAGCTTAGCTCTTCTGCAGGTCCAGCCAGCTCCGAGCAGCCTCTTTCCTTCCCGGGGATTTGGAGCCTGGGTAATGGGGAGGAAGGAGAGAGGAGGCAGGGTCTCCCCATGGTGGGGCTGAGGTAGGCCCCAGTTCTGAGTCCCAGAGAACGTGCAGGGAGCTGCAGAGAGCTCCGGCCTGGCCCAGGGGGGCTGGCACGGCCGGGCGGGGGTCGGGACGCAGCTGCCAGCCTCGGAGCATCCCAGAGCTGCCCCGGAGGAGGATCCACAGTGAACCAGGAGCCCAGCTGCCAGGGGCCCAGGCCCAGCAGAGGAGCGGCGGGCGGCCAAGGGGCGCTGGGACTAAGTGGGGTGCAGTGGAGGGGAGGGCTCCTCGGACCCGCGACCCCCCCTCGAGCCCCCGCGGCCCCGCCCAGCCCCCTGCCCCGGCCCCGCCGCGCTCACCGGGGGCGCCGGGGGCTGCGGCACCAGCCTCGGGCGGCTCCGGATCCCGGCCTCTGGGAAGCAGGAAGCGGGAATCAGGAAGTGACAGAGGAGCCGGGAGCGGGGCGGGGCGGGCGGGGCGCGGGGCGGGCCCGGTCACGCGCGAGGGGGGCGGGGGGGGCTACCGCGCGCGCCGCGGGCCGCAGACCCGGCCCCTCGCGTCCTGCGCGGCGTTGCGCGTCTGCCGGGTCGCGCAGTGGGCGACGCTGCGCCCTCCCGCCCCACCCGAGCGCTCTTGCTCCCGAGTGTGGTCTGCACCGACGGCGGATATGTTTACGCGCCTTCTTTCTAAGTTATAAAGTTCATGCTTTTGGTTAAAATGCAGATAAAACGGCGGTGTTTTAAGCAGCGAGTGGAGCCAGGCGTCGCCCTCCGCGAACAACCCCCGGGGTCCTGCCGGCCCGTCTTAGTGCGCGTCGAATGGCGCCGCCGCCCACAGATCCCTCGCGCGCGCGCGCGGTGCTTCTTTCCTCCACCTCTCCCGCAGGCCCGAGGTGGTCGGTCACAGCTTCTCCGTCCTCCAGCCAGCTCCTGTGGCAGGGAGCGCCAAGCCTGGCCCAGATCCACCCCGCCGCCCACCCTGGGGGACGGGGGTGTCCCTCTCCCTTGGGCGGCGGTTCTGGGGCCCTGGGTACTGCCAAAGAGGGGCAGGAGAAGAGTGGGAGGAGGAAAGTCGAAGGAGCCTGTCTTTGGCGTTAGGAAGCCCGCACTGTGTGTCGAGGGTGGCCTGGGGCTTGCACCATCTCATTCCTTCACCTCGGCTCGGAGAGGTGAGGTGGCTGCGTGAGGTCACCCGCCAGATCTTGATTCCCGTGGGTTTGGCTCCAAGTCGCTTGCTTTTCCCACTGCTCCACCGCGCGCGCGAGGCTGGAGTGGTGAAGAAGTGGAAGCGGAAGGCGCCACTGGACCCCAGGCACGCCAGAGGGCTGGTCACTCTCTACTGTCAAGCCCTGCTCTGACTCTCATGGCCACTTGAAGGTAAATCCACAAGCTCCCCATCCCTTCCACGTCCTCACGCCTGCCTCCTGCTTTTGCCCCCTACCCCTTTTATCACCTACCCCTGTCTTCTCCCTGCATGTGGCCCAGTTGACACTGACCCCTGTCATCAATCCCACGCCCAGGGCCGTGCACTTTCCTGTTCCCGTCCATCTGGATGCTCTCCCCCAGATTCTTGAGAAGGCTCCATCCCTCATGTCCTCTAGGTGTCTTACTCACTCTCCCTACTCACCTCCTCTACTCACTCACAGCCCTCCCTGACCACCCTCTCACCCAGCCACCCTCTCTTTTTTTTTTTTTCTTGCGACAGAGTCTCGCTTGTGCCAGGCTAGAGTGGTGCGTGGGTCAGCCTAAGCTCAAGCAAGCCTCAAACCCTCCTCCAAGCGATCCTCTGCCTCAGCTCCCGAGTAGCTGGGACTCACAGGCATGCGCCACCCTGCCGCTAATTTTTTTCTATAATATTATCTAGTGTCAATATTTCTCTATTTATAGTTAGAGAACAGGGGTCTTGCTGCTTGCTCAGGTTGGTCAACTTACTGAACTCACAAACTATCCGCGCCGACTAGGCCTCCAGAGAGCTAGGATTTCAGGCGTGAGCCACCCACGCCGCTATTCCAGCCACTCTCTGGCCTTCTCCTTGTTTCCCTTGCATTATCTTTTTTTTTTTTTTTTTTTTTGAGAAAGGAGTCTCACTCTGTTGCCCCGGGCTAGAGTGAGTGCCATGGCGGTCAGCCCTAAGCTCACCAGCACGACTCGAAACTCCTGCCAAAGCGATCCTCCTGTGCCTTCAGCCATCCCGGTAGCTGGGATTACAGGCATGCATCACATGCCCGGCTTAAATTTTGTCTCTATATATATATATTCGTCCAATTAATTCTTCTATTATAGTAAGAGGGTTCTCGCTCGGTCTCAGGCTGTCGAACTCCTGACTTCGAGCACTTCCGCCCACCTCAGCTTCCAGAGAGCTTTAGGTTACGGCGTGAGCCACCACGCCTGGCCCACTGCATTATTCTTAATCACCACCTGATGGGACATCACAGGTGATGTTACATTGTGTGCTGATTTGCTGTCTGCTTCCTATCTGCCCTGGGACGCTGTCCTGCTTCCCACTGTATTCCCCGCACCTAGAAACAACGACCTAGCACGTGGTGGACCAAGTACGTGCTGCTGAATGAATGCACGAACAGCAGCCCCACATGCTGGATTGAAAGATGTTCATAATCACAACTCACAATCTCCAAAATCCGCCGTCCCGTGTGAGGAGAGGAGGGTAACCTGTCACCCAGAGAAGGGCGGGGTCTCCAGAGGGCAAGGGAGCCACAGCCCCCTTGGGGTGTGTTAGGGGTGGGTGGCTGTGGAATGTTCTTTTGGGGGTGAGCCTTTTCATAGCCATTTTCTCTAACAAAACCTCTCTGTGGCCACCAGAACTCTCTTTATATGCAAAACCCTTTTTTTTTTTTTTTTTTTTTTTTTGAGACAGAGTCTCCACTCTGTTCCACAGGCTAGGAGGAAGTGGTGGCGTCAGCCTGGCTCACGCAAACCTCAGTCTCACGGGGGCTCAGTGATGCTACTGCTCTCAGCCCTCCCGCAGTGCTGGGACTACAGCATGACCACCATGCCCAGCTAATTTTGTATACTATTTTTTGTAGTTGGTCACTTAATTTATTCTATTTTTGGAAGAGACGGGGTCCTCGTTCAGGTGGTGTTCGAACTCCTGACCTTGAGCAATCCGCCCGCCTCGGCCTCCCAAAGTGCTAGGATTATAGGCGTGAGCCACCACGCCCGGCCATATCCTGCAAAACCCTTCAGGCATTGTTCTTTTTTCTGGATAGAAATGACCCATCCTGGGTGGAAGTGGGGCTGTTCCACTGGAGTGTGGGCCAGAATTGAAGGCAGGTCCTGAGGTTTTAGTCCCTGATGTGCCTGCCATGCTGAAAAGGCTTGGGCAGCTCTGCCCAGAGAAAGGGACGGGGCACAGAAGTCCAGGCCCTGTGCTCAGAGTGTGCACTTGGGCAGGGTGGGGAGGGAGAAAGCTGATCTTGTGGAGAAGGGGGCAGTGCGGTGGGGGGACAATACCCGGTGGGCAGATGACCTGCTACATGGGCTGTGGCCTGTGGCTCAGTATTGGTCGCAGGCCTGAGGGGGGCTGGGGTGCCCACTGGTGTAATGGAATCAATGGCCAACAGTTACTGAGCTCTCACTCTGTGCCAGGCGGGGATCCAAGCACTTCACGGAGCCCGAGGCACCATTATTGTGATCCTCATCTTACAGGTGAGGAAACAGAGGCCAAGAGTTTTGTTGACGGTCACATGTGACTTGTGGAGCCAGGATTCAAACAGCCCCGGAGGGGCCCCAGAGTGCACATGCCTAACCTCACCCATGTGTCTCCAAACTGGAAGGCTGGCCAGAAACCTAGCAAGTGCTCAATAAATATCTGTTGGGTGAGTAAATTCAACAAGTTCCCAGAGAGTTCCAGAAATCTTTCTCCCACCTGCCCCAGTGCCCACAATTCCAACACTAAGAAAGGCTATGATTGTGTTTCTAGCATCGCCCCTGCTACACCCGTGCACTTCCCATCCCCCGGCTCAGAACTGCCAGCCCCCCAAGGAGAACACTGTCCCCATTTTACAGAGGAGAAACTGAGGCTGAGAGTGAGCTAGGCATCAGAACCCAGATGTGACTGCCCCACTCCAGGCAGCCTGCACAGCTTGCTTCCTTTCTTTTTTTTTTTTTTTCACGCCGCTATTCCAGCCACTCTCTGGCCTTCTCCTTGTTTCCCTTGCATTATCTTTTTTTTTTTTTTTTTTTTTGAGAAAGAGCTCACTCTGTTGCCCGGCTAGAGTGAGTGCGCATCGGCGGTCAGCCCTAGCTCACCAGCACGCTCAAACTCCTGGGCCCAAGCGATCCTCCTGGCCTTCAGCCATCCCGGTAAGCTGGGATCTACAGGCATGCATCACATGCCCGGCTTAAATTTTGTCTCTATATATATATATTCGTCCAATTAATTCTTCTATTATAGTAAGAGGGTTCTCGCTCGGTCTCAGGCTGTCGAACTCCTGACTTCGAGCACTTCCGCCCACCTCAGCTTCCAGAGAGCTAGGATTACGGCGTGAGCCACCACGCCTGGCCCACTGCATTATTCTTAATCACCACCTGATGGGACATCACAGGTGATGTTACATTGTGTGCTGATTTGCTGTCTGCTTCCTATCTGCCCTGGGACCCTGTCCTGCTTCCCACTGTATTCCCCGCACCTAGAACAAGACCTAGCACGTGGGTGGGACCAAGTAACGTGTGCTGAATGAATGCACGAACAGCAGCCCCACATGCTGGATTGAAAGATGTTCATAATCACAAACTCACAATCTCACAATCGCGCCGGTCCGGTGAAGGAGAGGGAGGGTACCTGTCACCCAGAGAGGGAGGGGGTCTCCCAGAGGGCAACGGGAGCCCAGCCCCCTGGGGTGTGTTAGGGGTGAGGTGGGGGCTGTGGAATGTCTTGGGGGTGAGCCCTTTTTCATAGCCATTTTCTCTAACACAAAACCCTCCTCTGTGGGCCACCAGAACTCCTCTTTATCCTGCAAAACCCTTTTTTTTTTTTTTTTTTTTTTTTTTGAGACAGAGTCTCCATCTGTTCCAAGGCTAGATGTGAAGTGCGTGGCGTCAGCCTGCTTCACAGCAAACCTCAGTCTCCGGGGCTCAGTGATCTACTGCTCTCAGCCCTCCCGCAGTAGTGGGACTACAGGCATGACCACCCATGGCCAGCTAATTTTGTATATATATTTTTGTTTGGTTCATTAATTTCTATTTTTGGTAGAGACGGGGTCCTCGTTCAGGTGGTGTACCGCGCGCGCCGCCGGGCCGCAGACCCCGGCCCCTCCGCGTCCTGCGCGGCGTTGCGGCGTCTGCCGGCGTCGCCCGCAGTGGGCGACGCTGCGCCCTCCCGCCGCCGACCCGAGCGCTCTTGCTCCCGAGTGTGGCGTCTGCACCGACGGCGGATATGTTTACGCGCCTCTTTCTAAGTTATAAAAGTTCATGCTTTTGGTTAACAATGCAGATAAAACGGCGGTGTTTTAAGCAGCGAGTGGAAGGCCCAGGCGTCCCGCCCTCCGCGACAAGCCCCCGGGGTCCTGCCGGCCCGTCTTAGTGCGCGTCCGAATGGCGCCGCCGCCCACAGATCCCTCGCGCGCGCGCGGTGCTTCCTTTCCTCCACCTCTCCCGCAGGCCCGAGGTGGTCGGTCCACAGCTTCTCCGTCCTCCAGCCAGCTCCTGTGGCAGGGAGCCCAGCCTGGCCCCAGATCCACCCCGGCCCGCCCCACCCTGGGGGACGGGGGTGTCCCTCTCCCTTGGGCGGCGGTTCTGGGGCCCTGGGTACTGCCCAAAGAGGCGCAGGAGAAGAGTGGGGAGGAGAAAAGTCAAAGGAGCCTGTCTCTGGTGTTAGGAAGCCCGCACTGTGTGTCCGAGGGTGGCCTGGGGCTTGCACCCATCTCAATTCCTTCACCACTGGCTCGGAGAGGTGAGGTGGCTGCGTGAGGTCACCCAGCCAGATCTGATCCCCGTGGGTTTGGCTCCAAAGTCCTTGCTTTTCCCACTGCTCCACACGCGCGCCCGAGGCTGGAGTGTGAGGAAGTGGAAGCGGGAAGGCAGCTCCACTGACCCCAGGCAACGCCCAGAGGGGCTGTCACTCTCCTACTGTCAGCCCTGCCTCTGACTCCTCATGGCCCCACTTGAAGTAAAATCCACAGCTCCCCATCCCTCCACTCCTCACCCCTGCCTCCCTGCCTGTTTGCCCCCTACCCCTTTATCACCTACCCCTGTCTTCTCCCTGCATGTGCCCCAGTGACACTGACCCCCTGTCCACTTTCAATCCCACCCCAGGGCCGGTGCACTTCCTGTTCCCTCCATCTGGATGCTCCTCCCCCAGATCTTAGAAAGGCTCCATCCCTCATTCCTCTAGGTGTCTACTCACCTCCTCCCCTACTCACCTCCTCTACTCACCTCACCAGCCCTCCCTGACCACCCCTCTCACCCAGCCACCCTCTCTTTTTTTTTTTTTTTGAGACAGAGTCTCGCTTTGTTGCCCAGGCTAGAGTGCCGTGGCGTCAGCCTAGCTCACAGCAACCTCAAACTCCTGGGCTCAAGTGATCCTACTGCCTCAGCCTCCCGAGTAGCTGGGACTACAGGCATGTGCCACCATGCCCGGCTAATTTTTTATATATATATATATCAGTTGGCCAATTAATTTCTTTGTATTTATAGTAGAGACGGGGGTCTCACTCTTGCTCAGGCTGGTTTTGAACTCCTGAACTCGAGCAATCCGCCCGCCTCGGCCTCCCAGAGAGTTAGGATTACAGGCGTGAGCCACCGCGCCCGGCCTTGCTTCCTTTCTGAAATGCAAGCCTCCCTGGGAAGGGTGGCACATAGAACATCGCTGTCACTGACACCTGCTGGCAAGGGCCCCTCTCGGTTGCTGGAGGTCACGATGCTGAGCTAGTGGGAATGGGAGGGCGAAGAGCGGGAAGGGGCCTGGCTTTGGAACACTGGGGCTTGGGAGAAAGCTGGGTGCGGTGGGTCCCAGGAGGGTGACGGGTGTGAAAAGGGAAGCGGGCTGGGTGGAAAGGCAGACCTTTAGCACTTCCTAGATTTTTCTGCAGTGTCTGCAGCCTGAGAGGGGAAAGCTGCTTCTGCCCTAGAGATGCTGTGTGGCCCCCCAGGAGCCTTTGTCCTTTTGGGAACCCAGAGCTCTCTGTGCTTGGACGGCCTCCCACCTGTGCCCTCGGGCACTCTGTCCCTGAGCCCCCAGACAGTCTTTGTGCAGCCCCCCATGGGGGGCTGAGGGCCAGGGGGTGCTAGTTGCACCCTTAAATGGAGTCAAATTTTAAAGTCCCCCCTCCCAAGGCACAGAGGCTGCCCCCTGCTCTCTCAGAACACCTGGGTGTCCCCAGCACAGACTGGTCACCGCATCCCAGATGCTCAGGCCAGGTGGTCACCCTCCCACCTGCCTCCCCCCATCCATCCCTGTAGGCCAGTGAAGGAAAAGAACATCTGGTCACTGAGCCCCTACTGTGCGCCAGGCTCTGGTTGGGCACCTCACACACTTTCTCATTTAATCCTCACAAGAGCGGATGACATGGGAGCTCCGAAGGTGAAGTAGCTTGTCCAGAGTCACTCAGCTGGGACATGGCAGAGTGGGGTCTGAATCCAGGCCAGAGAGCTCTTGCCTCTTCTGCTGCTGCCTTGCTGAGGGAGGTCCAGCCTCACTGGTGGAGAGGGCTTGGCCATGCCAGGCCAGCTGTGGGCCACTAGGGCCTCAGGCTCCTGCTTGGAGCTGCTGGCTTCTGGAAGCCTCTCTTGTCTGCAGGGACTATTATGTTAGGCATCCTTGTGTCCAGGCTGAAGGACAGGACAGGCAGGAAGAGAGGGAGGGAAGGGTCAAAGGGAAGTCAGACAAAACCCAGGGAAAGTGCCTCCTGCTATCTTCCTCCAGAGGACCGAGGCCCAGGGGACCTGTCAGTGGGGTCTGGGGGTGGTGGAGGATGCCATTAGCTGTGGCCCAGGGGGCTGCTGGGCAACGGTGTGTGACAGGGGTGACGGTGGAAGAGCTTGGTGGGACGGGGCAGGGGACGCTCCCAGCAGACAATCTGAGGCTCTGGGCTGCTGGCCTCACCTCCCCAAAGCCCTTCCAGGCTCAAGGGACTCCGTGGGGTTTTCCAGGGTGACATTCCCCACGGCTACCATCTCTCGGACCGACTAGCTCCTGTCTCACCCTGGCTCTTCCACTGCCCTGGTGGCCCGGGCTTTCCGGACCCTCACGTGGGGCCGGCGCCGGGGGCCGCCTCCGGTGGGGCACCGCTGGGGCCTCCTCCCTCCGAGGCAGGAGGGGTGTCTGGGTTCTCAGGGGCCCCTGGGGCAGGATCTGAGGATGGGGCAGGGGCGGCCTCGTCACAGGGACTGGGGGCTGAGTTGGCAGTGGGCCCAGGGACCTGGGCCTCAGCACCCGGCCGTGGCTGGGCCGTGGGGTGCGGCTGAGGCGGGGCCACAGCTGTCGGTGGCCCTGGCAGAGTCGGAGCCTCAGGGTCCACTGGGGTCTGCGGCTCGGCCGGCCGGAAGCTGCCCGGCTGCTGCTCACAGAGGGCCGCGGCAAAGGAGGAGAGCACGGTGCGCAGCAGGGCCCGGAGGTCGGCGCTGGCCATGAGGCAGAGGAAGGGACTGAGGCAGCTGTTGAGCAGGATCAGGTAGTCAGAGTAGACCAGGGCCTCCCAGAGCAGGTAGCCGGGGTAGACGTCCCACAGGAAGGCCAGGTAGAGCAGCTGCGCCAGCTGGTAGGGCAGGCGCAGGACCACGTAGGCCGAGAGGATGGTCTTGGCCACGCGGGCGAAGCCCTGGCTGGCTGCGGGCCGGGGCTGGCGGCGGCAGCGGGCCCGGCAGGCCGCGGCCTGGGTGAGCACGTGGCAGGCGAGGAGCAGGAGGAAAGGCAGGAAGCCGCCCAGGATTTCAAGCATCCGCAGCGGCAGCTCCTCGCTGTCCCAGAAGTCCAGGCAGATGACCAGGTCGTACCACCAGACGGCGGCCTCGGGGAACACCAGCCAGGGCACGCTGAAGAGCGTGGCCAGCACCCAGACCCCAGAGCAGACCCAGAGGGGCAGGCGGGCCGGGCGGTGCCCAGGGTACCAGCGTGGGCACAGCGCCAGCAGGCAGCGGTCCAGGCTGAGGGCGGCCAGCAGGAAGAGGCCGGAGGAGTAGGACACACCCCACAGGAAGTAGTAGAAGCGGCAGGCGGCTGTCCCCAGCGGCCAGTGCCCTCCGTGCTGGATCTCCAGGATCTGGAAGACTGCAGCCGCCAGGAACAAGAAGTCAGAGAGGGCCAGACTGAGCAGGAGCAGGGCCAGCCGTGTGCCCGCCCCGTGCCGGGCCTGGGAGCCGGCCATCCACGCCATTAGCCCGTTGGCTGGCAGTCCCAGGAGCAACAGGGCCACCAGGAAGACTGTGTCCCAGCCACCCTGGGGGTAGTAGTCCTCATCATCGAGCTCTGTGCGGGGCCTGTGGCCAGTGGCACCCACGTTGGCTTCCATAACAGTGTCCATTGGGGGTCCCCAGAGTACTGCTGGACATGGAGTGGCTGCCTGGGGAGTCAACAATTGTGTGAATGACCGAGTGTGACGGAGAGGTTGGGACCAGCGTGGGCAACACAGCGAGACTCCATCTCTACGAAAAATCAGCCAGACGTGGCGGCGCACACCTGTAGTCCCAGATACTTGGGAGGCTGAGGTGGGAGGATTGCTCGAGCCCAGGAGTCGGAGGCTGAAGTGAGCTATGATGACACCACTGCACTCTAGCCTGGGGGACAGAGTGAGACCCTGTCTCTAAAAAAAAGAAAAAATGAGAGAGAGAGTTGTGCATCTCCAGGCAAGTCACGGGTCACTGTCCCTCTCCCGGGCCATCATCCTCACGTTTTGGGTACTTGGTCTACAGCAGGGACTTTGAACAGACGACCTGCTGTCCTCACGCAACCCATTTCATAGATGAGGAGAGGAAGGTTCAGAGAATCAGTCACTTGCCCAAGGTCACAGGTAACGAGGGGGAGCCCAGGACTCAAGCCCAGACTTACTCTTTCTGACAGTATGGAGTCCCAGTGTGTCCAACTGGACCAAACCAGAGACTCTCAAACTTCCTATTAAAGCTATTGAACCTTGTCTTTAAATGAAGTATGACAGGGGCTCCTGTGCGGACTAGAGCAGTGCTCGGACGAGAGGAGCAAGAGCGATGCCCTAAGGCTCCAGGGCATACAGTTTGAAAACTACTTGGTCAGCTCATCTCAAGACCCCTTTATGCCTCATATCCTGTGGTTCAAGTGTTTAAAATTCCAAGATGGGGGCCGGGCGCGGTGGCTCACGCCTGTAATCCTAGCACTCTGGGAGGCCCAGGAGGGCAGATCGTTTGAGCTCAAGAGTTCGAGACCAGCCTGAGCAAAAGCGGGACCCTGTCTCTACTAAAAAAAAAAAAAAAAAAAAAAAAAAGAAAGAAATTATCTGGACAAATAAAAATATATAGGAGAAATTAGCCGGGCATGGTGGCGCATGCCTGTAGTCCCAGCTACTCGGGAGGCTGAGGCAGGAGGATCGCTTGAGCCCAGGAGTTTGAGGTTGCTGTGAGCGAGGCTGACGCCACGGCACTCACTCTAGCCCGGGCAACAGAGTGAGACTCTGTCTCAAAAAACAATTCCAAGATGGAAGGGCTCTGGGTCCCACAGGCTCGTGGGCACCTGCGGGTGAACAGAGAGGCAGGTGGTAGGAGCCCCCACCACATGCATCCCATAGCTCAGGCGGGAAGTGGCCTCCATTTGTCTCCCGGAGCTGCTCAATAGAGAAGGGGACAGGGGCTCTGCAGTGTGAAGGGGTGAGGTGGGCTGGGGAGCACCCAACCCTGGGGCCCCAAGAGGCCCACCCTCCGCACCTCCCTTCCCCAGCTGGTGGAGGGAAGGAGTTTCCCGCTGAGGATGGAGAAAGGCCTGGTGGTGCAGCTGGGGGAGGGACGACATGCCCCTGACGGCCACTTGGCTTTAGCCTGGTGGCCTCCCCCAGCCCAGGGCCCTGCCTCAGGCTGACCCTGCTCTGCAAGCTTAGTCCCCATTGGATCAGAGCCCTGGGCACCCCCACCCCAGGCCCCACCAGCGAGGCCCCACTTACCTGTGAGGCCAGGCCGGTGGCGGTGGCAGGAGGAGCGGGGCGGGCCTGCCTGCCTGGCGGTCCAGCTGTCCACACGGCCCCTCGCTGGGGCCTGCTGCATGGCGCCCGGCGGCACTAAGGCGGCGGGCAGGAAACCCAAGCTGAGAGGACATCAATCATTCATGGGGCTGCTCGCCGGGAAACCCTAACCCCGGCCCAGCAGGGCCAAGTGATCAGGCAGACCCCCCAGCCCTGTCAGGGCCAGATGCCTGAACCCCCTCCTCGCCCTGGGCCCCTCCAGCCCAGCACAGGCTCAAGGATCCCCAGGGGCCACCTCCTCTGACATCACCCCCTGCCCTCAGTCTGGCATTGGAGGCCTCTGTGATCTGGCCTCTCTTCCTCAATTTCACTTGCTCTGGCCAGGATGTCACCCCACGGGGGGCCCCAGTAGGTGACTCGTCCTTCCCCCTTCCCAGCCTTTGCCCACATGCTTCCTCCTGCCTGAAATGCCCTCCCTGGCCCCCGCTCTGCTTGGCTGGTCCTCTGCCCATGGCACACCGCCGGCAGGTCCTCCCACCTCGGCAGTCTTCTCCCCATTTTATGCACAAGGGAACGGACTTGGAGGGGTGACTCTGCTGGCTCTCCCAAGCCAGTATGTGGCAGAGCTCAGTCTGAAGCTCATGGCAGCCACCGCGTCCTGGTGCCCCTTGCTGCTGACTGAGGACAGTTCTCTTGACCCATCTGGCTCTGCCCAGGATACCCAGGGCAGAGGGCTGGGATTAGGGCCCAGGCTGCCTACCTCACTTACCCTAATCCCCCTCCGAGCCCGATCCCAGGCCATCAGCGTTAAGAGTGGGGGTGCATAAGCAGCTTTGTGGGGCCCGAGAGCTGAGGGTGCTTGGGGTGCGGCATCTCTGAGCCCTGCTGTCCCTCCCACATGGCCACAGAGCAGGCAAGGGGGCAGCGTGGACCAGACCCGGCCACCGGCCCCCAGGAGCCCCCTGCAGGGGCTGTGGCTCCCAGGAGTGGTCCCGAGGAGCCCCCCTTGACCAAGAGGAGGAGCAAGAGGGAGAGGGGGCTCCGAGGGTCCCGGAAGGGCACCGGCAGCTCTGCGGAGCAGACCCCTGTCCAGGGCCCCAAGGCTGGGGGCAGCAGCAAGAACCCCTCCAAGACGGGAGAGGGGCAGGCAGGGCCCCCCGCCGAAGCCCCTGGGCCAGCCCCTCGTCGCCAGTCCCACCGGCACCGTCCTGACCCCCAGCGCGATGCTGCTCACAGGACATACGGGCCCCTGCTTGACCGAATCTTCGGGAAGGTCAGGTGGGGCCTGGGCAGGGCTGGGGTGCGGGGGTGGGGGTGGAGACTCACGCTACCCTGCCCCTTAGTACCAGGCCTCTTGCCTCTCCTGCCCGAGACCCGGGAGGCTGTGGGGCAGGGTGGCCGCAGTCTGGGGAAGGGCGGGTGGGGAAGGGGGGCCTGGGCAGTGAGCAGAGCAGGCACTTGCACCAGGGCTCCGTGGGAGCTCGAGGCCCCGGAGCGCCAAGTGGGCTCTCTCCTCCGGGGGCCCACGGGACTCCAGATGCCTCGCCTGCCCTGGCGGGGCTAGCCTGCCGTGGCCAGCGTGGGCGGGGGCTGGAGGAGGAAGGATGGCAGACCTTGGCTGGCCCTGGGGACATGCTGGACTACCTCCTGCAGGACCGTGAGCTGGCCCCCGAGGAGCTGGATGGTGAGTGGCTCTTGCTGCTGGGGGGGACAGGAGGTTTCCTTGAGCCTGGCTGCCTGGGCCTGACCTCCCTCCCCTGCAGAGCTTCAGGCTGCCTTCGAGGAGTTCGACACTGACCGGGACGGCTACATCGGCTACCGGGACCTGGGCGACTGCATGCGGACCCTGGGCTACATGCCCACCGAGATGGAGCTGCTGGAGGTCTCCCAGCACGTCAAGATGCGCAGTCAGTGACGGCGCCGCCTGCCGGGTCTTTGCTGAGCCTCCGGGTGCAGGGGGACTAGCAGGGGTTGGCGGGAGGTGGCCTGTGGGTGGTCCATCGGGGGTGTTGGTGGGAGTGAGGGAGGGTGACAGTTTCCAGGACCACATCGGCCCCATCAGATGCAGGGCACCAGCTCCAAGCTCTGCCTCTTGGTGTGGTGAGGCAGGCAAGCAGGGCGGCCTGGGGACCCAGGAGGGGCCCTACCCGGCCTCGGGGTATCCGCCCGGCCACTGTCTGCCTTCGCTGCTTCCACATGGGCCCTTCCCGCCTCCCTGGACGAAGTGCTCTCTGCTGGCATGGCCACCTGGTGCTCCTGTCTCTCTCTCCCTCTGTGACCCTGTCCCTCCCCTGCCCTGGTGGCAGCTGCCTGAATCCAGGTCACCCTGGCGTGAGAGGACCCTGGCCACTCTTTGTGACTGAGTGTCTGATGGGCAGCCACTGTGTGCTTGTCATTCACTGGTTCGTCCTCAGGAAAATACTATGTTCCCTTCGTTCCAGGACACCTGCATCTTTTTCCTTGTAATTCCCCAAGTGGGGGCGTGGCTTACAATCGATGTAAATAGTCAGTCGGTGCCAAGCTTCTTTTCTTCCCCTGGAGCTGTTTGACCCTTGGTGCTTTGTACCTGTGGTCCCCGACCCCTGGCCTGTTAGGGATCAGGCCACAGAGCTTCACTGTCCCCCCCACCCTCCCACTCCCGTCCATGGAAAAATTAGGAAGTGGGCACAGCAGGAGGTGAGCCGTGGACCAGCCCCACCGTCCCAGTTGTCTTCCATGAAACTGGTCCCTGGTGCCAAAAAGGTTGGGGACCACTGCTTTATGCGACTGATGGCATCTTAGCACCGAGGCACTGACTACATGGGTGTGCTGTGGAAGGCATTTATTGCCACCTACTGGGCCCCAGCGCTTTATAGCCATGAACTCCGACAGCACCCCAATGGAGCAGGTTCTCTTGTCCCCATCCAAGGATGAGGGAGGCTTAGTTAGTCACCCGACACCATGCACACCACGGGCAGAGCCAGGATCTGAAGCTGGGACGCCTGGCTCCAAAGCCTGGTCTCTTTCTCCCACACTGGGGTTCTTCACTAAGAGCAGAAGCAGCCCTGGCCCCCCAGTGGCCCGGAAAACAGGCTTCCAGCCTCCTACCCCTGCAGGCATGGCCACACGTGTTCCTTCCTGGGTGCAGATCCTGGGGTGGGTGCCCCCGGTCCTCATGACATCCCTTCTTGGGCCATAGCCCTCACCATCGTGACAATCTGCCTGGGTCCACAGTGGGTGGCCGTGTGGACTTCGAGGAGTTCGTGGAACTGATAAGCCCGAAGCTGAGGGAGGAGACGGCGCACATGCTCGGGGTGCGAGAGCTGCGCATCGCCTTCCGAGAGGTGTGGAGCACGGTCGCGGTGGGCGGTGGGTGGCCGGCTGGATGGCGTCCTTGCCAGCTGCTCAGGCCGGAGAGACTGGGGGCCTCAGCCTTGTGAAGGCCCAGAGCCCGCAGGTGGCCGGACTGGGGCGGGGGATGGGTCAGAGAGGGGTCAGCTGGCTGCCAGCTGGGGGACCCACCTGGGGAGACTTCCTGGAGCAGGAGGCATGTTCTCTTGGCAGGGGGGATGGGGAAGGTTTGGATGGGTGACGACGTGGGCAGGGGAGCATTTGGGCAGTGGCAAGCGTGGAGCCGGGTGCAGGGTGAGGCCACTTTGGGTGGGAGGGGTTGACCCCTGGCCGGACCCTAGTTTGACAGGGACAGGGATGGACGAATCACAGTGGCGGAGCTGCGGCAGGCAGCACCGGCTCTGCTGGGGGAGCCGTTGGCGGGTCCTGAGCTGGATGAGATGCTCCGGGAAGTGGACCTCAACGGGGACGGCACTGTAGACTTTGACGGTGAGTCTCCCTCCCGACAACACTCCTGTCCCTCCGGTGCCCAGGCTGAGCCCAGCAGCTCCTGGGATTCCCCGCCCTGCCCCCCGCATGCACCCGCACAAGCCCTGCCCTCCTCTCCCGCAGAGTTCGTGATGATGCTGTCCACCCGCTGAGGCTGCAGGAGGGGGGACCCGTTGCCCCTGGGGCCCTGGACCCCAGCAGGAGCGAGGGTGCACACCCTCCCCCAAGAGGTTCCAGGATGGAAGAGACCCAGCAGCCTCCAGACTTCTAACACCTGGTAACACCTGGCTACACCTGGCCTGAGAGTCTGCTTGTATGCCACCCGCCCACCTGCATCCTCACCTCCCCTCCTCGAGCTGCCAGGAGAACACCCGCTCGCCACTGCCCGCCATGCCCCACGGGAGCAAGATTAGGTCTCTCCAGACCCTCGGAGGTAGGGAGTTTCCTGGCGCTGGCAGCTTCAAAGCTGGGCAGTGTTAAAGGGATCCCCAGTAACATAGGGAATTGAGAGGGTGGCCAGACCCCTCCCACCTCTTAGGTGTATAGAATGATTTTTTTTTTAAAGTTAATTTGAAAGAAAGCAATGACCCCAGGGACCAAAGAGAAATCAAAGCTGGGGTTGTAGGAGGGAGCTGACCCTGTGGTTTCAGACTCGGACAGAGGCTTGGGCACCTGGCCTCTGACACCCACACGTGCCAGAAGACCCGTGTGAGTCTGGAGAGCAAGAAATGAACCTCCTGGGAACATCCCCGGTCTCAAAGGGCTATCCTGTTCTTGAAACAGGGATTAAAATATATCCTCCCTGACCAGCCCCTCTCGGGGCCTTCAGTTCCCCTGGAGAACCTGCCTATATATATCGCAAGTGGGAGTGCGGTCTATCTCCGGGGTGTGACAAGCTAAAAAAAAAAAAAAAAGCTGCTGAGAAGGGGCACTCTTTCAACCCTCGTGGACACATGAAACTTCTAAAAACACAAACAAAAAACCCTGCTGCTCCCAGAGGTGAACTCATGCTAAAAATTACAGGTTAAACGAGGAAACAAACCACCACGAGGAGGCTAGAGGGATGCAAAAACAGGAGATTTGGCGTCTCAAATCGTAAATAATAGAACTAAAAGAGACCCCAAAATAGATGCAAAAAAAGAAAAAAAGCAATAAAAGAAGGAAGAGAGAGTAATATCATAGTATGAAAATAGAACGGGAAGATTTTAAAAATAACCCAAACAGCACTTCTAGAAATAAAGTCTAGCCATTAGAATGAAAAAGTAAATGGATGAGTTAAAACAACAGATCAAACACAAATTTAAAAGATTAATGAACTGGAAGCTGTATCTGAGAGATTCCCCTATAATGTAGCACTGAGACACAAAAAGATGGAAAGTGCTGAAGGGTGGTTAAAGTCATTGAGAGCCTCGGAAGGCAGAAACATAGAGATTGGGCATGAGGCTATAATTAAAGAGATGGTGGCTGAAAAATTTCCACAAAGACTTCCAGAAGCAGTAAGTGCCCAGATTGAAGGAGCAAACTGAAGCCTGGATAAAATAAATAAAAATCAATGTATATCTAGATACATCCCAGTGAAGCTGCAGGATACAAAACTAAAATCTCAAGAGAGAAGTCAGATTGCTCACCAAACATTTTTCATTGGCAACAATAGATGCCAGAAAACAATGGATAAATTGTTCAATATGCAGAGAAAAAATAATTGTCAGCCAGGAAACCCAGATCTAGTTCAATCATCATTCAAGGATGAAGGTGAGGCCGGGCCCGGTGGCTCATGCCTGTAATCCTAGCTCTCTGGGAGGCCAAGGTGGGCGGATCGTTTGAGCTCAGGAGTTCGAAACCAGCCTGAGCAAGAGCGAGACCCCGTCTCTACTATAAATAGAAAGAAATTAATTGGTCAACTAATATATAGAGAAAAAATTAGCTGGGCATGGTGGCGCATGCCTGTAGTCCCAGCTACTCGGGAGGCTGAGGCAGGAGGATTGCTTGAGCCCAGGAGATTGAGGTTGCTGTGAGCTAGGCTGATGCCACGGCACTCACTCACTCACGCTCTGTCGCTGAGCAACAAAGCGAGACTCTGTCTCAAAAAAAAAATATATATATATATATGTATATATATATAAAAGATTAGCAGTCCCAGCTACTTGGGAGGCTGAGGCAGGAGGATTGCTTGAGCCTAGGAATCTGAGGTTGCTGTGAGGTAGGCTGATGCCACAGCACTCTAGCTCAGGCAACTGAGTGAGACTGTCTCAAAAAAAAAAGTTATAAAAAAATCAAGAAGAGACTAGAATAATAAAACCAGAAGATGGGAAGGATTCTTTAGGCATGCTGAAATACTTTTTGTTGTTGTTCTGGAGGAGGATAGATTCATTGATAAGCTTTAGCTCTTGTTAACCACTTACCGGTAACTATTAATATAATAGAAATAGAACATACCATTCAAAGTCACATCAATAGAGGAAGAAAAGGGAAAAATGAAAAATTCTTGATTAATCCAGTAGAAAGCTGAGAAATAAAAAAGAAAAGCAAAGAAAAACAAGGTATACAGAAAACATCAAAACAGAAGGTAAAAACAATCCTTTAAAAAAAAATCAACAATTACAATAAATATAAGCAGACTAAATTTGTTGGTTAAAAGTCAGAGCATCCCAGTCACAAAAGAAAATATCAATATTAGATTGGGTTCCCCGTAACAAAGAACAAAAATAACAATGCCTTAACCTGGAGAGAAATTTATTTCCCCCCCAAGAAAAGTCTGTAGGTGGAATCCAGCTGTACAGAGTCATCGAGGACCCAGGCTGCTTCTGGCTGGCTGGTCTGCCATCCCTACGGTGTGCCCACATTTGCTTGTTTTCCCGATGTCAGGAGGGAGGTAGGAACAAAGAAGAAAGGGGTAACAAGTATGTAGCACTTATATCTTATTAGGCAGACCTTATCACATGGCACACTTACTGGCAAAGGGTGCTGGCAAATGCAGTCTTCATTTGGTGGTCAAATGCCCGGCTAAAAACGAGGGCTCTTCTCGTATGAGGGCACAGAGCAGATACAGAAGGGCAGATATCAGGCTCTTCCCCACAGCTGAGTGCAGGATATAGGAGAAATACTCAAAACATACTGACAAACAGAAGGCTGAAAGTGATGGCTTGGAGAAAAGACTTACAAGGAAGAAATTAACTAAAAAGAAAGTATAACTACAAGCACAGACAAAATGGGCTCAAATCAGACAAATCAGACAAACATGGGCTACCAGCCAAAAGCATTAAGGATACATTGAGTCACAATTCACTAAGGAAATCTAATGTTCCTAATCTGTATGCTCCTATTAATGTCTTCAAACTAAAAAGAAATTATATATATTTAGAATTTAAATCTTCATTATTCCCTGAGAAGCGTGGCTGCCAATCCAACCCGGGTTAGATAAATGAACAAGCAAAAAATCAAGTTCATTGGTCACATTAAAACTTTAAACATCGATATTCACAGTGTTCTGTCAAAGCGCTTACATAGACTAAATGTCGGCAAACTTTTTCTGTAAAGGGCTAGATGGCAATTAATTTAGGCTTTGAGGGCCACATGGTCTCTGTTGTAGCTGTTCACTCAACTCTGCCTTTCAAGTGTCAAAGTCAATATATAAACAAATGAGTGTGGCTGTGTTGGAAATTTAATTAATAAAACTTTATTGACATTGAGATTTGAATTTTATATAATTTTATGTCATGAAATCTTATTATTCTTTAACTTTTCTCAGACATTACAAAACATAAAAACCATCCTGTATTCATGCTGTTTTAAGGGAGTAAATAAATAAATAAAATTTAAAAAACCATTCTGTGGACTATATCTTGCTGATTCCTGATATAGACTTATGGGGAATCATCACTTCTAGAATAACTTCCTGTTAAGATTGTAGAATGATAAAAAGTTTTAAGTGTAGTAATGACTCTTTGTTAATTGCCTATTTGGACACTTTTTTTTTTTTTTTGAGACAGAGTCTGTCACCCCAGCTAGAGTGCTGTGGTGTTTGTCTAGCTCACAGCAACCTCAAACTCCTGGGCTCAGGTGATCCTCCTGCCTCAGCCTCCCAAGTAGCTGGGATTACAGTCAAGTGCCACCATACCTGGCTAATTTTTTCTATAGATTTTTAGTTGGCCAATTAATTTCTTTCTATTTTTAGTAAAGACGAGTCTTGCTCTTGCTCAGGCTGGCTTTGAACTCCTGACGTTGAGCCATCCACCTAAGCCACCAGGCCCCCGGCCTGCATACTTTCAATGAATGGTTTTTGTCATTTTTCTTTTTCCTATGTTCTACTTATTGAAATGTAATTTTGTCTGATTAATCTGATAAACTGTAGGCTTGTATCCGGTATATCTTTTTAATTTCATTTTTCTAGTTTTTATTATCTTACAAAGGTATTAGTCCCTGGTGGATTATAAATGAAAGCTGGTCCTTTGCCACAGCTAGTATGGGAACTACTGGTTTAGGAGTTCGGGCATCCAGTGGGTGCTCCCAAAGAAAGTGACTTGACTGGGGGCTGAGGGTGGGAGGTCTGGGTGGGCCTGGGGAGGAGGAAGGAGAGCAGGGGCCTAGGTGTTCATGCAATGTCCCAGAACTCTGGAGGCATCTTTGGGGCTCGCTGCTGCAGACAGTGGTGAGGGGGACTTGTGCTTTAGAGGGGGACATACTGCAAACACGTGGGTATACCGACCGGCCTCTCCTGTGCCTGCTCGTTCAGCAGCTCCTCCACTGGCTGCTGGGGCACCACACCAGGTCCGTTTCGGTCTCCTCCCTCTCCCCCAGTGTCACGGAAAGGGCCCTGGAGCCCTGGGCCCTTATGCTCTTAACTCTGCCTACAATCTTCTGCTGTCCTTGCATGAGCCAGTCGTCCTCTGTAAAATGGGCCTGGGTAGGGAGGATTACAAACCCTAACCTGTGGTAAGTGCTCCTGAGGCACATGGCCTGGTGTCTTTCAAGAGCTCACTCACTGGTAGATATTATGATCTCAGATTTCAGGGTTCTCAAAGATTCTGTTTCTTGGTTACTAAGATTCTGAGATGCTCTGATTTTCCAAAATTCTGAGATGGTCAGTTTCTAACATTCTGTGGTTCTAAGCGTCTTTGACACTGAGGCTCTCGGTGGTGCAGGCCCTGCTTCCTCCACCCTCTGCCCCTGGGCTTCTCCCAACCTCTGTGCCTGGGAAGGAGGGCTGTGGGTGGAGGAGGCATGGCCCACATTCAGGGCTGGCTGTGGCAGCCCAGGGCCCCAGAGCCAGGCTGGAACTAGGGTACCAGCCTCCAGGCCCCAAGTCTGCGTCATCTGAGTGCCCTCGGCCAGCGCCACCAGAGACAGGGACAGGCGGAGCCTAAGGGCTGGGGCTGGGGCAGGCTGTTCCCGCCTCCTCCAGGGTCAACGCAGAAGAGTCCCAGGCCCGGTTCTGGCCCAAACGTGCCCCAGGATCTTGGGCAGGACTCAGAGCACCAGGGCGGTCACGCCTGCCTACCGTCGGGTTCTGGAAGCCCTGCAGACTCTGGCTCAGTCCTTTTCTCAGCCTTTGTGGGAGGGGGCGTGGTCAGGCCGGTGGGCCGGGCCAGGGGTGACGCGACAGAAACAGAGCAATTGTCTCCGCCGGAATTACTCTTTTATTAGCCCAAAGTAACACCAACCTAGCAGTCCCAGGGCCCGAGAATAAGTTAAGGCACTGAGCGGGCGAGGGGTGGCTTGCCCAGGGCCAGGCCTGCCCCAAACTTCCCGAGCAGCCTCCCGACGGCGCTGGGCTGTCGAGGGTCCCGGCGGGCGAGGGAACGGAACGGGCGCGGGTCCGCGGGGCGCCGCTCACTTCTCGAAGTAGGGCAGGTAGAAGAACTGGAAGCCCCGGTGGCCCTTGACGGCGCAGTAGATGAAGATCACGTGGTAGACTGCGGGGCGGGGCCTGTCAGCGCCGAGGCCCCGCCCCGCCCGCGGCCCGCCCGCCCCGCCCCGGCGCCCGCTCGCACCTCCCGGGACCAGCAGCAGGAAGCCCGGCACGAAGAAGATGGCGCTGGAGACACCTGCGCGGGAGGAGGGCCGGGTCAGGGCGGAGGGCGGGGGACGGCTGCGAGTCCCTCCGGCCCTGCCAAGCCTCACAGCAGAAAAAGGGACCCTTTCCTGCGGGAGGTGGATGGGCTTGCCAAGAACCCGCAGGCACCAGGCCGGGGTGACCGCTGCCTGTGGGGGTTCGAGGGGGCGCTCACCTGGAGAGGGGGCCACCTCCAGTCCCACGCCGACCACGATCAGCACTGCGCACAGATGGAGCCGCGGGGGTAAGGGCATGAGCCGGGGTGAGGGCGGGGACTTCTACCGCCCACCAGGCTCAGCCCTAAGGGACTGCGTCAACCTAAGCCGGAGGCCCCCTGGGCAGAGACCCTCCCCAGGAAGCTCACTGAGCTCTGTGTTTTCAGAGCAGGGCACTTGGCAGGCCCTGGGAAATATCTGTGAGATGAGAGATTTTTGACTGCTCCTTAGTGTGGCCTTTCAGTCATTCAGCAAACATTTATGGAAAACCTACTGCGCGCCTGTACTGGGAATCCGTGGTGAAAGGCAGATGAGGTCCCTGCCCTTATGGCCCTGAGTTAGTGGAGGGACCCCGAACATGAAAGCTACAACCCAGGTGATCAGGATATGGGGGTGGGAGTAGGAACAGGGTGGTGTGGGACCCTAGGGGAGTGGCCTGGACCAGCCTGGGGGACCAGGGAGGGGCTTCTTGGAGGCAGTGACATCCAAGCCCAGCAGGAGCAACAGCAGTTCATATTTATTGACCACTTACCGGT